TCCATAAGGTACACATGGCTGTCAATAGAGACCGATACTTCAGTTCAGAGATGGATTTCATAAAAGGACTTGTCAGATCATGTGGTCGAAAGAGGACCAAAGGTTGTGAGAAAACAATAAGGCTGACCGGGGTAATGAATTGACTTGGTTGCAAAACCCGACAGCTCCTCGGTCCAAGTCATCACATCACCCAAGCGAGATCGAATCATCGTCCCTCCCTTCGCTTGAAATGGGCTGCTTGGGCGCCTTGAAGCGGGCGGTCGTGTGATAACAAAAGGTGCCCATGATGCCGCCTGTCCTGCGTGGAGCCGTGGACCAACTTACCACCCGATCCCTGAGTTCACCATCCGTCCGTCATTCTCGAGCGCCGAGGGAGGAAACGCATAGCAACTAGCGGTGACCTCTCAATGCCACTGGCTAGTAGCTACCCCTGTCATAACCGAATGGGATCAGCAGGCGAAGCACGGATCTTGGTGTCATATGTAGTGCTGCCTTCGATCAGGACGGGAAGATCGTATTCTTGCTTTTTTTTGTTCCCTCTCTGTTTGCTGACTGCCGGCGCACGAGCGATCTAACCGAGCATGGGTTGACCTTGCATCACGGCGCCTGAGCGCCTCTTTTCCCTTGGTCTCCGTTGGTCTTTGAGGACTGAGGCCCAATGAGTGGTCCCGAGAACGCTAGCTCTTACAGTAGAGTTTGCGTACCGTCGACGCAGGCTGATGAACAGAAGCGGCAAAAACAAAATGACGGGTATGGAAAACGAGTAGAGTGGACAAGTGGTCAAGTCGAACATTGTCAAGAAGGCGCAACTCAGGTCAGATGGACAAGTGAACAGCCTGAGTACAGAATGCCAGTCAGGCGGACTAGTTGGGTGAAAAGCAACTCAACCGCCCTCCGGGTCAGCCTCGCAACAATAGACTTTCAACCACCAGCGGTCGCTCAGCGCTCATTGTGACCTCTGCAGAACCTGCTACATGTATAAGTTAAAGCTAGAGATAATATGCTACAAAAACCCAACCAGTTGACGTACTAGACGTACTACCTGGAATACGACTGAGCGAGAGTCACCTGAAGTCAATGAAATCACTGAATCTGACGCCAGTCGGACTGGTGGCCCCGTGGATCTTGAGATCTTGGCGCGGGGTAAGAAGAAGAAGTTTAACTGATACATATGCACTCCAGACGCCGTTCTGAACAAGTTGGTTCGGTCGGTGAAGCTAACAGTCTCTAGCAGACTGGATGGGATTGAGAGGTGGTCCTCTCGGCTTTCCATTCCGATGACCAAAGCGTGTTTACTATTTACACTTTACAGTCCTGACCACATCCGCTGTAAAACTGAGCAGTACTGCAGTAGTAAAACTATAATAGTCTGAGTTTAGAATACGTGAATTACATACAAAGTATGTACTGTCGAATAGATGGATCAGAGACTCCGAGAGCGAACCCACAGAGACCGCTTCCACAGGCCCGAGTCAAGTCCTCACTTCTTTTTCCCTTCGATTTCTTGTTGGTCCCATTTGCGGCTTGGAAGGATCTGCTCAGGGCCTGAGGGTAAAGCCACGGGCGGTCCGATCCAGTCACAAACCCACGCTTGTTCCACGCGAGAGTTGGTCTCGCTGAGTCGGTGCACGATGGATAAGGTCAATACTTGTGGACCCATCCCTCCTGGGTCGCTTGTCCTCTTGGGTCAAGGATCGAGCTCGGGTCCAACAGTCGCATGACACGGTTGTGGGACTGCCGCATCGTCCGGCCCACTGTATGGTTTGGAGGCGACAAGTAAACAAGACGATAAGTTGGAACCACCTATGGATACAACTTGAGGATAAAGATGGAGAAAAAAGGATGATAGGCCGAGCGAAAAATTCGTTTCAAAAGGAAGATGCACATTCGGTGCAAGAGTCCCCACGGGAGGGAAGGGAAGGAAGGGAGGAAGGGAGGGCCCACATACCACGTTTTTTTTTCCCGTGCCTTCTTTTGCGTCTATGCCCCTTTCAGTTTCGATAGTCTTTCCGTCCTCTCATTTTTGGCCCTTTTTTGACAGTCCAGTCCCCTTGTCGCGAAGATTGCATGTTTGCCAGTAACCACCTTCTCAAGTCGGTTCTCTCACCTCTGTGATGTATGTATCCGCTCATCCTTCCTTCACCAATCTCCTTGTTTAGGGACTAACTCAACCCAGTCATACAAGGTCCTTCGCAGTCGGTGCAACCCTACTAACAGAACTCACTTCAAATCGCATCTACTGTAGATTGAAATAGCGGTGGTAGCTGACTCACCGGTCCGTAGTTTCAAGGTGTGAGGGCCTTCAGCCTCGATTTCTTCACTTGTAATGTACAATGCTGAGTGCTCACTGCTCAGTGCAGCAAGATGTCTACGCGAATGATAATAATGTTGGCTTCCACTTCTTTCGAAACAAGATTGTCCCGGATCCTGGTCGCTAAAAAAAGACTGAATGCCCGTCTCGACCTTCCCGTTTGACCAGTCTGTCTTCCACAGAGTCCTCGTCTACTTATAGGGTAGGCTTCCAAGGTCTCAATCAAAGCGCAAACTTTCCATCAAATCTTTTCCTCCATCATCCCGCTCCCTATCCGCAGAGCCCGGGGCCGAGCCCGAAGGTAGATTGAACGGTTCTGTCTCGGACGATTTCCCTATGCAGCCATTCACTTTCTGGAACCAGAAAAAGAATCCTGCGCCCTGTCAGACGCCCGCAAAATCTGTTTTTTGATGGCCATGTCCGGTGCCGACCGATGATTGCTCGACCATTTCAGCACCGCCCCCCCCCCCCCCCTTCGCCGTCTGAATCGAATCACTGGAGGCTGGCGCAAGACCATGCACTCGCTGCGTCTCCATGGAACGCTGGATCTGAGTCCGGACCGCTCCTTTTCGGAGCAGGAAGGTGCTTCGGTTACCCTGTGGTTGGAATTTTGGGATATCCAGGCGATATTTGTTCGTGAGGAAGCTTATTCTTACTCTCTCAAAGGGCGACCTCCTTTTTCCCTCATACCCTTAATTCTTTTTTCCCTGGTTCACCGAGTCTTCTGCTAGCGTACCACACGAAATTTCGAGGTGCACTGTCTGATTTCCATAGATAGGTCGGGTCGCACTCACGAAACAGTCAAAGTCTGGTGCAAACTGGAAAGTGGTAACCTCAGTTGTAGTAGTGTACCCAGTAGCCATCCATGTACCAAATGCTTCTGCGTCACTGTCATACTCAGTCAATCCTGATATGGTTCCATCAGTATCTTTGGTTTGCTTCTACTCCGATGATGTTTGAGTCCATTCTCGTAATGGAAGGCTCAGTTCAGGCTCGGCAAAAGAGACCGCAACGGCACTTCTGGTGCCAAATCCTACCTTCAAAATAGCAGTGAAACTAGTTGTATCACGGCCATTGGTTCAGCAAGTGGGCCGGTGTTGTACCCCGAAGCGGAATGGACAATGGTGTCTGCAAGCTTGACCCATCTCAGGGAAGATGGCACGTACGACCGTCAGTTTGACTTTGGACAATTTGCAGTCCGGACGCGACTACTACTCAAGCTCACTTTTATCTGGATCATGGATGTGGGCGGAAGAGCAAGGACAAAAGGAGTGGGGGTTTCCAGGGATTGGGACTTGGGGTGTCCAAGGTTTCACCTAGCGGGCGCGCCCGATAACGGGCCGAACGCGGCCGCGCGGGCGCTTGCGGTGGCGATTTCAATGTATTGTCAGCATGAGACACGGGCAGCCGGATGATGACCAACTCGAGTGTTCAACTTGCCTACTGACTTACTGACAACACTGCAGTACCTATTGTACATACTATTTGTAGTTCTGTACTGTACAACAGTCGATCAATAGGTGTCCATGGATACATTTGTGTCACACATATTCAAGGTTTCTCAAAGCACACGAAGATAAATAAGCATGTCATTCACCACGCTCGACGTTCCGACTGAATTGGGCATACTGGATCTGACCCAGCATACCTTATGACCTCAGGTTTCTTGAGCGACAGACCCTGAATGGATGAACTGAACCGATAAAGGTAAGTAAGACTTTGATACTAGGGACTGTCTCGAGGCGAACACTTCTAATTTCAAGTAGACAAGTGTACCCTGAGGTTGAATTACATACAGTGCATAGGTATCTAGGTAGCAAGCTGCCGCTTCCCTCGACCTCAGCATGGAGCTGCCCGTTCACTCCCATCAAGTATCAACTTCCGCCGGTCTTGCTACAGCGAGCAGTCGATAAAGGATGGGAGTCGCTGGCGAGTCAGAACCTGGAGTTTGCATATAGGAACCACAGTTTGTACCTAGCTGGGCTGTTCAGCGAGCCACTCATATCCCCTGCCCATTTCTTGCACTCGATCACTTGCTAGGGGGAAGAGACCGATCGACAGAAGTCGTGAGTAGTTCTCGAGTCTGTACCGGGGTACTTTGGGTAATGAGGAGCTAGAGGGATAAAAACAGGTAGAGTCTACCTCAGGTGACAGTGCTGAGATGGAGCCGTGACGGAACTGTGCTATCCATAGGTTCTCCTAACCCATGAAGGTCTTGTTCAGCCATGATGATACTGCAATCCATATGATCTTTTTTTCACTCATGGAGCGACGGTCGACCTAGTCGTATACCTAGCCACCCTGATCGACATGCGCTTGCCAGACACCACCAAGGATTTCCGAGTCATTCCAACTGCCTGGTCTATGAGTATTCGAAACTGGTCATTATCGACGAAAGAAAATGAAGCGACATGTGCTCACTTGACTGACAAGTGTCAGTTTTGAATCATATATGCCGCTAGTTCAGCCGTTTCAAGGGACAGAGAGGGCATGAACATTATGCCTGATGTAGATTGACATCCAACTACCACTGATGAGCACGTGGACTTGCTATTTATTCTCTCAAAATTGTGCATCAACTTCCTTTCTGATCCTCATCGATAGTGTGTATGTTCACCGCACGGAAATATATGCTCCACGTCTTTCATCCGGGGCTCAAAATGAGACTCTTGACAGAGTCAGACATGCTCTAGAGGTCAGGCATAACGACGCTGTTTAGATAAGTGACCTGCTCCATGTAATCCACGTCAGTGATCGAACTCTTGGCTCTGAAGGTTGGGTGATTCCAGCAGTACTCCACGCAACCTGGAAGCCATTGACCTTGGCCAATCGACTTGACGTGGTGACAAAAACAGGCGGTGAGAAGGGTCAAGGTCGTCTTTCGACAAAAGGCCCTCTGTGATAGGAGACGTGGTAAATCACTCACAAATGGTTCCAAAATTTCGATAAGTGTGGCAATTCGATCTTGCGTATTTGCGCTGAGAAGGTCATCATCTGTGAGCGGACGTGCGAGCGTAAAGCTGCGCAATCGTAACAATAGGATACTTTTGTGATCTGCATCGTAGCCCTAGAGCCCAGAACAAGAGCATTAGAATCGGCAAATGAGATCGCACATGAAACGAGCAGAAGGATCAACAGATGGAATGCTCGATACGCTTTAGGGGGGGGGGGGGACTGTCGGCCATCACACCCTTGACGGAGTGACTGAGAGACAATGCACCAGCCGAGGCTTGCGTAATGTCGATCTCTTTGAAAGAGGGGATGGGAGATAAGGATCGAAGATGTAGCTGCTTTTTCACTTACCTTTGGTTTGGTTTTCAGCGCAGACTCCCGATTTGCGTGGGCAAAGGCCTTCATTATCTCTTGATGATCATCAGAAGCCCCATTGAGGAATTCTCGACGCAATAACGGTTCGCCGAGAACCTCTAACCAGCTATCTACATTCTCATCAATGTCCTCTCTCAGGGCCGCCAATGGCCCGGCTTCAGGACACCATAATCCACAACCTGGATAAGCAAATGGAGCACATTAGCCAGTTTTTTGTGTAGGTGTGTGTGACGAATAAATTGTCTGCCTGAACAGGTGCCCTGGAGTGTGCATGATTCTCAGGGTTACAAGACTTACCCAGAAAAGAAGAGCCGGGCTGGAAATGCAGATAATATGCTGCATAGGGTCCCTTTCTACCCGTTCGAGACCTGAGTATACTTTAGATCATTGATCGCTTGCGAAGCGAGTCTTGTTGATTTCGATTGGACATACCATGCTGCTGAAAAATGATTCTACCAAAAGGTTAGCCGAACAGATCAAGTACTGCTGGTGTATAGATTGCAACACGGGGGATGGGAGCCTCGAGCATGGCTTGCGTATTGAGTCTTGCAGTGCATATGGTTCTTGGGCTGAGCAGACTCCAGTTGGCAGTATGACTCGTACCTTGTAGGGAAGGGGATTCTTGCTGAATCGAACATCACGATGAATGCGGAAGATCTGCAAATTGGTTAAATGAACATAGTTCATGTCCCACGATTCAAAATGAGATAGCGCACCAGATCTTTGACGGGCAGCTCTGGAATGGTCCCGTCCTTTTCCACAATTTTCGGGGTCAAAGTTTCCACGAAAGTTTCAAAGTCTTTCTTTGCTGCTCGGTAATCCGGATCATGTCCTGCAGATTCTCATATGAGCCAAGTCTGGTCATCCACCTCCAGCTTCAAGCCCCATGCCTGGAATTGAGCGAGGCGTGTGAGTAGAAATATAGCTAGATCAGCCTACCTTTGAGCCACTCGCGATCATTATTTTTGGTCAAATCGATCAAGAACAGCCTAGTGTTGGGATGCAATCTCTCGTCTTGGTAGGGTACCTTTCCCGGATCCCGTGCTTTGGGCTTGGGTATGAAGACCTCCTTGCCAGGTCCCAGGCCAGTCCGCACGCCCTCGCGCCAGAGCTCTTTGCCCTTGAGAAGGTCGCTGTCGATGTTACTGCTCCGTGCATTCTTCTTCGATCTTGGGCGAGACTTCTTGTCATCCTCCTCACTCTCACTTGGCTCTTCAGGTTCGGACTCCTCTTCCGCTGTTGCATCGGACGGGTCACCCTCTTCATAGGCCGACTCCGAATCATCTTCTTCAGGCTCACTGGGTTCACTTGTCGCTGTCTCCGATTCGACAGAATTGTCTGCTTCAAAGTACTTGCTCGTTTTCGCTGTGGATTTGACGGATTGATCTAGCAAGATGGAGGAGGATTTGACTCTTTTGATCTCGTTCTGCGCGGCCGAGAGTCTGGCTGACGCGCGCCGCTTTTGTGCCGTTCCCGACACGACAGATGGCGGTGAAGTCACAGCGGCCTTTGAGGGTCGTCGTGGCATGATTAATTACTTTGCGGTACTTGGCAGAGCCAAGTCAGAGAGAGATGACGCGACTTGAATTGTAGCTTATGCCAGGAGCTGATTTCGTGTTGTGCCCGAGACAGAATGTCGTCACCGGCGACCGTCTGTGCTTTGGCAGTGGGTCGACGGTGTTTGCGGCTCGTGCCGAATTCTCCACGGTTTGGCTGGAACACACAGGTTCCGCTTCAAGACTGACGCTGGGCTGGCACTTTAGGTACTGAGAGAGCTATCAATGACAGAGCAGACATATCCGTCCGGTGAGCTTCTGCAACGATAGAATCAAGTGTCATGAGTCAGTCGATTTCCGCTCCTCGGAATGACGTGAAGGACAAGAGCAAAGACGATCCTTTGATGTAACAAGGGGCACGAGGCATACCTGATAGTTAGTCAAAGCTACCTTTCACAGACGGTGAACCTCTGAATGATTTACCTCCCTACCTAGTAGTAGTCTGCAGCAGGGGTTTTGGCCAATTTAGGTATGACTGCTTCTCTTGATCAGTTGTGGGCGAGTCTGCTCTAAGTATTCGGCGGCTCTTTCTTCCATCGCCCATCAGCCCCTTTCTGTATCATGAATGTGTCGGTGCTTTGCACCTTTCGGCCTATTCGGGCACTGCAGAGCGTCGGAATACCTATGTTAGCAGGATGATCTCAATAAGAGTGGAACTCATGTCAATACTATGTGGCACCTAACTTCATTCTCAAAGCTTCTGATATATTCCTCAAACAATTGATGATCCTCCCGTTTGATCAGACCCATCAACCCTGGCGGGCTTAAGATACTATGTTGCACTAAAGTAAGTATTGGGCCTACTATAAGACTTGAGCAATTATGCATATCATTTTTGGCAGACCAAGTCCATTGTTTGATGGTGCCTTCCAGGCCAGGGAAGAATAGCTATCACAAAAGTCTCGGCCCAAGGAAGTGCCAGCACCGTCAATCCCGTCATCCTAAATCTACTTCGTGCTAGTGCGAGAAGGAACTTGCAAAAGATCATTCTTTCATGGACGGAGGAACTGAAAAAAAAAAGTTGCATATTCTGCAGGTCTCGCTCGCATGGTAGCTCTGTTGAACTCGCAAATCGGAAAAGAAAAAAGAAAAATCAAATGAAGGAGCCCTCTTGGGGCACGCGAGGGCGTAACCTCAGATGAGATGCAGACTTGAAACCCCTACCCATTAACAAATTGATGTGAGTCGGCAAGTACCAAGAGTCAACCTGGTGAGGACCTTTCAGATCACTGGATAACGGATTCTCAACAATTCTATCACCTTTTTGCGCAAACTCAGCAATAAACACTCTGGGCCAGTATTGAAAGGGTGGACCAGAGAGGGCGTCTGAATATCAGGCGGGTATTCAGACCCAGTCCACCGGTAGAATCTCGTTACTCACCAGATGGACTGGAACCACTGGTCCACCGGTTCATCGAGCTCCAGGCTTGCGGGCGCTGAGCGGATGGCTCTGACCAAAAGCGGGTGTGCAACGAGCGGGGCGCAGTCAAGGCATAAGAGGTCGAAGTTGAAGTACCTGCAACGGTAACGCTTGGGCTGGCGGCCTGAGTAATAGGCGACTGCGCCATCAGCTGGCCAGTTTGGACTTGGTAGCCGGAAAGAACCATCTGTCGGAGGACCGCCATTTCAGCGTTGACGGCAGCGGCCCATGTGATCTGCTTGGCCGACTCATCGTCCCAACCAAACCACCATCCGCCAAACAGTTCAGATTTTCCGTAACTGACATCGTATGTCTGCAGACCGCGAGGAAGAACGAGTGGGCGACCCAATGCGATAAGTGAAATGTACCACTACTCAACATATGTCAGGGTCATGTGGGGAGACGGATGAATAACGCTGGTCAGGGATTCGACTTACACTCAGAGTTTCGAAATTGATGTCATGCAGCCAGCCAAGAGTGTCAAATGGGAAGTACGCAGCGGCCTGAGAGTGCATTCTACGCACTGCTTCCTGATTTTCACTCACTTCCGCGAGAATGTACTTCATGCGAGGTGTGAATGCAGGACACTGCATGCCGGCCCGAAGCAGCTCGGCCAGAAGCACCTCATCTAAGCCGACAACTCGCTTGCGTTGCATTTGCGTAATCAATGAGACGATCATTCCCTTGAGGGTTACAAAGAGCTTGTTGCGAACGTGAACGGTGTACAAACCAGATTCATACCACGGGAACTAGGACGAATGAATACTCAGCAACTGTTAGTCCCACAAGAGCACCACTGACTTGGTGGATCTCACCTTCCAGATCGTGCTAATGATCGACTCATAAGTACGCTGAGGTACCTTTGACGAGAAAATGCTCTAGAAATGACGAATAAGCGTTGGTTAATCGGAGTGAGCTTAGAGCATCAAGATGGCGTCTTTTTGACTTACTCGGCTAGGCTCACGCGCATGACGTCCGGTGCAGAACAGCTCCTCGTCGGTGAGGAAACCATTGAAGCCGGTCGACCACTGCTCATCCTGACGCTTTGGAGCCTGCACAGGACGACCACCCTCCCATTTGATGGACTTAGCCAAAGGAAAAATAGCCGCCATAAGTTCACCTGCAGAGCTCATGGTGACTTCGACTGGGCGGTTGCCAATGCGGGGGCTCTGGTTGCCTTCACACATCCCCAGAATTCGCTGAACGGCTTCTTCAGCACTTTTCTGGGTCTTGAATTCGACGTAGCAGAAATCCATTGTCTTGCCAGTAGAGCGCTCCATGAGAATGTGAATAGGCCAGTTGTCAGCGAGTCCGGTAGATCTGCCAAAAAGCTGTTTCACCTCTTGACGGGTAATAGTGTAGGGCGCCTATCCCAGAGTGATACACCTTAGTAATTTCAAACGTCGAGTGGAAGTGAAGACAGTCAATGAACCTACATTTTCAATTTTGACGACAGCAGGACATGGTCCCAAGCTGGAGCCAACCTCGTCCCCAATAGGGCACTGGTCTGGAGTTAGTATTCGGTCAAGTGACCTTCCATGGGGGGCCATCTTTATCTTTCTAGGCCTGAATGGATCTCTCTGCCGACAGGAAAGCTGAAAGTATCAAGCATGAAATGTAGTTCAGAAGCTGAAGGAACGAGGGAAATAAATGAGGTTGGGGAGGTAGAAGAAGGAGAGCGTGAGCGACGTGGAGGTCAGGGATCTTGATTGTTTACCATCGCGTACTTCAGATCGGAATCCTCTAGTGGGTAGACCAGACTCGAAAGCGTGTCAGCAAATGCCGAGAGAGAGGTTTGTCTCTAGCTCTATACACTAGTCCCTAGAATGCTCGACTTATTTGCCAGCTCCGGCAGATCCCAATGGGCGATAGCACGCCCACAAAGCAAGATCGCAGATTCCAAGGCCTCTGCGGATTCTATGTAAAACTCTGTAGACACATGTCGTTATGCAAGTTCATCAAATCTTTAGAACTCGAGATGAATCGTCAGCGCTGGCTAGTTGTCAAATTTGAGCATCGGATGGAAGTAGAGAACAGCAAATCATACCGCCATTGTCATTGCCTCTGTTTCTGTTGTCTTTGCACATTTGTACTGAGTTGCGAGGCTTGCATTTGTATGCATGAACATTCAAGTCCTGTTTGGCTGGCAGAATTCTTCCAGCTTCAATGTAGTGAGATCTCGATTGAAGAGGCGGTATGATAAGCAGTGGCGGAAGATGTAGGAAGTGAAGTTCTGACGAGGCGTGCACGGGCAGACAAGCATCGTGGATATAATGACACAGACATGGAATGGCTTAGAGTCTGAAACGGTTTTAGTACCTCTCCGCAACAAGGACACAGTAGATTATTTGACACATTATGATGCTGTATGTGCCAGAAAGAAATTCCAAGAGCGGGTAGGAGCTGGCCAGTGAATGTAGATGTATGCGAAGAGCCCCATACTCTTACAGACAACATTTGCCTCTTTCATTTCAAGGTCTGGGTATGACAAGGTACTTAAACTGACAGGGACCTGAACTTTGTAATTACTGAGACTGTCGATAACATACCTAGTATCTCAGGATCAAGTCCCATGTACTGGAACTGTGGGTGCATTTAGACCACCCAAGTAGTCATCTAAGCAGATGTGGAAATAGAGAAAACATTCAAGACTGAGAAAAGACAATATATTGGAATGTGTGTTTAGACGATCCGTCTTGGCCTACCAGGCGCAAGAACTGAATACAAGGCGGTCGTCTGCTTATGCAGCTAAGGTAGCTTTCGATGGGTTCGGGTGCCAATGTTCAGTCGAACTATTTCTGGATCAGCAAGCAACCACGTGCGGTCGAGCATTTGGGGCAACAATCTTACAGGCGTGAGGAAAGACTCGGCAACAAAGCGAGCGCGAGCATTTAGCTGAATTTGTCAGTATTTGCCTATGTCGGTAAGAATCGAGGTTCGTGATAGACGTACGAATAGCTTCATCTCGGAGACTGTATCAAGTTGTGTCAGTTAATCTGGGGAATTTAAGAGCTCCTTATGGTGCGAAAGTGGCTTACTCTCTTTATCAACTTCCTCCATACTGCGTCTGTTGTCAATATCAAGTCCTTCTTGGAGTCCATGGCGAATGTACTGTTTGACTCACAATTGGATTACAAAGTCTACGAGCTTGTGCTTCAACATAGCCTCGGTATGCGCGTTGGTTATCAGGAAGGAGATATCGTAGCCCTGTTTCCGGTGTTAGAGAAGTGATACAACATCTCAACCTGCAATGTCGGACCGAGTGGCTTCTGAACCCATTGTTGCTCTAGGCTTTGTGAAGGCAAAGTCTAAGGATGACATACTGGCATGGGCTTCCTTCGGAGGATGAAAAATGATTCGGCACGCTAGTAGACATTGTAAGTACGAGCTCACGTCAATGCGGGGCTTATCAGTCTGAGCCTACCTGTGTGAGGAAGCGAGTAAATTTGTGGACTAGGATGTGCTCAATCTCGTCCGCTTGTTTGATTCGAATAGAGAAGCGGACAGAGTTGACACCTGGAGTGTGTCAGTTTGTGTCAGGACCATTGGTGCCCCGAGGAACACAGCGTGTTGGACTGACTGGGCTCAATGAGAACTTTCTCGTGCTCATTGCGGCTGATTGTGACAGGGTTCAGGATGAGTTCTGGAGAGCTGGCGGCCTCCACTTCGGGCACGTTGCTGAGGGTATACATCAGTATCATGGTATGTTCAGGTGCTCGGAGTCGATTGCGTCGTACTGGCGCTCACTCGTCTGGGATGCGAAATTCGACACTGTTGCAATAAGCTTAATATTCGAGATGCTAGTGTGTGAATCATTCTTACCTGCCAGAGCAGCAGTGAGACTGACTCGGACACACTGCAAATAAGGGCGGAGACTTTGTGACTTCCGGACAGTTAGCATCCTTGCCTAGAGCTAACACTGGGATCAGGCGCACCATGATGGGCAATCAAATCAGCGTTATTGCGCTTTGAAGACAATTGACTGGCCACTTCAGTTTATATCGAGCTTTCGGGCCCTGGCACGAGTTTCAAAACAGTTTGAAAGGTTGTCCAGTCGCTCGGTTATCCTGAGCTGAGCGGCGGCAGGAGATGGAGGGGCCGGGAGCGGAGGTGCCGCGCCCTCAGCCCGCAAGGTTGAAAGCGGTGACGTAGCCTCTTGTTTTCTGCCCCACGCCTTTCGAGCATCTTCCCCAGGAACCACGAGCTTGCTCCTCTTACAACCATCACATTTCCTTGCCTTCTTATCTGGAAATTCCCGGCTTTTCAGCTATTGACGAACATGTCTTCTATACCGAGTGAGTCAGACTACGTCCGTGAAATAGAATATGGATGTCGATTGTGATGACTGACCCTCCCTTCCATTAGTCATCGTTAAGCATGCCGGCAAGCGCCACGAAGTCGAGCTCGACCCCGAGGCTAATGGCGAAACATTAAAGTACCAGTTATTTTCTTTGACTGGCGTTGAACCGGAGCGACAGAAATTTTTGGTCAAGGGCGGACAACTCAGAGATGACACTCCTTTGTCCTCTTTGAAGGCCAAGCCCGGGCAGGTGTTCATGATGATGGGCACGCCTTCTGGAGCACAAGGAGCCGCTGATCTTGGCCGTCCCAAGGAAGCTGTCAAGTTTTTGGAGGATATGACAGAGGCGGAAGTTGCACAGCAAGAGGGTGCCACTCCCGCTGGTTTGCAGAACCTGGGGAATACGTGCTACCTCAACTCTACTCTTCAGACATTACGGGGTGTTCCGGAATTGCAGGAGGAACTCCAGCGATATCAATCAGCCTCCAGCTCGGGCCACTCCAATCTTGCGGATTTGGGAAGCTTTGGCTTGAGTGGCTTGGGCGGTTCCAACGACCTGACTGCGTCTTTGCGAGATCTATTCAAGCAGATGTCCGAGACACAAGAAGGCGTCCCACCCCTCATGTTCCTGAACGCTCTACGAACCGCTTTCCCTCAGTTCGCTCAACGGGATAGAAACGGACATGGCTATGCGCAACAGGACGCGGAGGAAGCGTGGTCACAGATCGTGAATCAATTGCGAAATAAACTCACGATCTCAGGTGGCTCAGGTGACTCATCTACTGGAGGCTCTTTCGTCGATAAATATATGGCCGGTCGTTTTGATTCAGTGACCGAGTGTGATGAGGCAGGTGCTAAGGAAGCGAGTGAAGAGCCGAGCAAGTCCTCCGACGTTTTCTTCAAACTCGACTGTCACATCGGCAAGGAGACCAATCATCTTCACGATGGAATCATGGCTGGTTTGGAGGAGCAGATCGAGAAGCAGTCACCCACCCTCGGCCGCAACGCTCTGTACACCAAGCGGTCGCGAATTTCTCGCCTCCCGAAATATCTTACTGTCCATTTTGTGCGTTTCTTTTGGAAGCGTGAAACTCAGAAGAAAGCCAAAATCATGCGTAAGGTGACTTTTCCCGCCGAGCTCGATGTCGTGGAGTTCTGTACGGAAGAGCTCCGGAACCAGCTTGTACCCATCCGCGACAAGGTCCGTGAGATTCGAAAGGACGAAGTCGACCTTGAGAGATCGCGCAAACGCCAGAGACTGAGCAACCAGCGGACAGAGGACCAGAAAAAGGCTGAAGAGGCGGATGTTGAGTCGCGCAAGGAACCGATGCAAAAGAAGAAGGATGCTTCTGAAGGGAAGTCCAAAGCCAGTGACAAAGACGGGGATGTGAGCATGGAGGAAAACTTCAAGACGGATGCCGAGTATGAAGCAGAAAAGTTGCAAGAGATCACAGCTGCTAAGAAGGAACTATACGATTTGATCAAGCAGCATTCCTCTGGGGACAGCGGAAACAACCAATCTGGCTTGTATGAGCTTCGTGGCGTGATCACCCATCAGGGTGCCAGCGCCGACAGCGGTCACTATACCGCTTATGTTAAGAAGCAAGCGCGCAAGTCAGCCGGTCCCCAAACTGGCGACAAGCGTCGTGACGAAGAAGAGGACGGCAAGTGGTGGTGGTTCAATGACGACAAGGTGACTGAGGTCGAGGCAGAGAAAATCGAGACTCTTGCTGGTGGTGGTAAGTCAACATCATTTTCGTCCAGAATCGGCTCCCTTGCCAGGGCTGCGCGCTTTTTGATTCGGTTTCAATATCTGACACACTTCCAGGTGAATCTCACTCAGCGCTCATCTTGCTTTACCGAGCGATCGATTTGCCAACTCTCGAGCAGTGACCATGCGAGGTACTCAGCGCCTGGGCACACGTTCTAAGTATTTGTCTTTGCGGCAAGAGTTGCTTCTGTGCGCCCTGAAACGAAAATCATGAAAATAGATCAATACATGCACCTAGAAATGAACAGACAGTTACTCTCATTTTTTTTGGATCCGTCGATTTTCTAAATCTCGCATTAGAGTTGTAGATGCAAGTGCAGGGGCCTGCGGGCCTTGCATGTCAAAGCAGCCAGGTGATAAGCCGGCCGAGGATCTTAGTTGCCGGGTCACGTGAGGCCGTTCAACACGTGTGTTCCTACTCAACACTCCACCCTCCAGCCACCCTTTTTGCCGAGTGAACAGGAGATGTGAATGAAATGCAATCTCGAAGAGTCTTACAACTTCCACTTCGGGTGCGCGTCCAGCAGATCTGCTGGGTGCCCCAAGTCGTGTGCGCGCCAAAAATCTCAGTCCGAAGCCTCTATAGCACTGGCGCATCCGCAGACTCCTCGGCTCAATCGTCGCGCTGGCCGCGCCGACTGATTTACGCGGCCGTCTTCGGTGCTCTTGGCGTGAGCGCTGGAAAATGGATGGACAGAAAGGTTGCAGCACCACCGACTCCTGGCTCTGAGATAGACAAACTGCAACTACAAGATATCCAGCAAGTGTTTGACCGCGGGCTCCCTATCGTACAAAAGCTCCGCAGTGACCCCGATTTCGTGGAATCGGGAGTCTACGAAAACTATTCGGAGGAAAGCAAACAACATCGACTTACGACGGGTCCGTTGGCTGGAAGTCGAGGTTTCGGATTGCAGGTATGTGGCCATCATTGTCTCATCCTCGGCTTGCCACTTTGACGCTCCATGCACGAGGCAGCCCCTGTTACCGATGCAGCGTGATGCGCAGGTATTCAGGGGGTCTATGTTCAAATCTCACAGCGGCCGAGGCCCAGCGAAAACTGAGTTCTGACCAGCATGACTACGGGTAGAGAGTCTTTTGGAATGAAAAGGAGAACCAACTGGTGACAGTGGTGTTCATGGGATCTGGCATTGAGGGTTGGCCCACTATGGTACATGGCGGCGCCCTTGGCACAATCATTGACGAGAATCTTGGTCGCGCTGCCTTGCGACACTTTCCAGAACAAACTGGTGTGACGGCGAACCTCAACATCAACTATCGCGCGCCTGTATACTCAGACAACTTTTACTCCATCCATTCCACTATCGATCTTGACCGCAGCACGGACCGAAAAGGTTATGTTAGCTGCACGCTCCGGGATATGACTGGTCGGGCCTGTGTTGAGGCCAACGCTCTCTTTGTGGTTCCGAAGCGGCTTAAGCTTGCGAAACTGGGCGATTCTTTCTGACGCCACCCCCGATCCACGGCTTTGCAATAAACATGCTGTATACTACCTAGATGCTACTGGAGGAGACGCGAAGCGAGTAATTTGTCGGCCATTTGGTCACTTGATCTGTTGTCAACCGGAGCCTTTCTACTGAAAGTACATACCCATCGAGGATTCAAGAGATTAACCTTTGGCGGAAGGGCGCATTTCCCCGTGCCATGAATCTCGACACCATTGTCTGGGGATTGCTATCTCAGCCGCGAAACGCATGATGTGAATGATACATTGTCTGTTCAGAGGCCCTTGCACGCCGCAATCCCTCGTATTTTATTGAGCCTCGTACCTTTGAAGCACGTGAAGCGCCAAGGGATGATATCTGTCCTCCACTCACCGCTACCAGCCACTCATAATGTTGGAGGAACAACCTCAGTTGCAGTCTGCATGAGATGCTGCCCTCTAATAACCCCGTCGCCCCAAGAAATTTCGTCTGAAGCTCCACCGTGTCTCGTCATTTGGTCAATGCTCCTCCGGTGGGCAGGAGAGTTTACCCTTGAGAACTTTCAAAGTCACTGCAGTTAAAGACCAGCCAACCGTCAGAGGCCGTAGGGAACAATCGAACGAATCTCTTCGGCGTCAGTCAAATTCCTCTGCTCCTGCCGCTTCAAGGCAGCATCCAAGTGCTGGATTAAGTTACAGTTTCGGGGTCGAAGCCCTTTGCGGAACCCATCTCCGGCCAAGCGGGGGATCGAGACCCGCAAGTCAATGATGGCATCCACCTTCTCCACGTTTTCCCCCGCATTTCTTCTCCTACCAACGACCAAATTCGCCCCCCAAGAGGGCCTCGCTGTACTCAAGACTTCCAAGGAAATGCTAAGCAAATGCTTAGACAGCCTCGGTATTTTGCTCGTTTTCGATCCTGTCTCGCCGGCTATCGCTTATGCCCCCTCTCCCCAACCCCAACCCAACTCGTTCCCGAAATCTTACTATACTCATTGGCCGCGTGCGCAGGCGGTTGTCCCAGATGCAAGATAACGTGTGGGCCTCCTTATGATTCCTTTGGTTCCACAATGTCTCTAAAGCAGCTGCCATGGTGATCAAGCTTTCCCAGTCGTTGTGGGTCTAGAGCTCCCTGGAGATTTCAGACCTATATCTACTCCTCTTCCCCGCCTGGGGGATCGGCGTTGCAAAGGTCGTGTCGAGCAGGGGATCCGAATCCTCCTTTTCCGATCACCCTTTCCAGCTTCTTCAACCTACTTGAAGCTCCTCGCGGTACTAACAATAGCTTGTCTTTTGTATCTTCAACTTCAGCTTTCTGGCATTAGCCCATCATGACTGGGTCTATTGATGCTCACAACCTAGCTCATGGTGACGAGAAGGTCGCCATGCAGCATAGGGAAGACATTCGCCCAATCGACGGCGATCTTAGCTCAAATGAAGCTCAACTTCACGAGTCCGAACAGGATATCCCCGTGAGTGATCCTCGACAAGTGTGCCGTGTCATAATAAGGGGGTCTCACTAAAATGGTCTGGAGCAGATGACCTTTCGTCGATTTATGGGATTCGCGGCAATGGCATTCCTGTGGACTGGTAGTCAAATTCCTGTTTACCTGTTCGGTCAGTGAACCCGCCTTTCACAGTAGCCCTTCCTCCTTTTGCTCAGCCCATGCCTTCTGTTTTCCCAAGGGCAATGGGCTAATGATTTTGATCAGGCGGTATACCTCCATACATTTATGGCTCAATTGGTGGTGCAGATCGCTGGATTTGGTTTGTAAGTTCTATTACAGGATATAGCGACAAAACGGATATCCTGAGCTTAGCTGACAGCTGCCCAGGTTCTTGCGAACTTGCTCGCCCTAGCAGGCGTATGTCCTTTCGTCGGGTCCCTGTCAGATTTGATCGGTCGCCGTTATGTTGCGATTATTGGTGCCTCGCTCGTCTGCCTAGGCATGATTGTCAGCAGCACTGCAAACAATATGAACATTTTTATTGGTATGTCAATCCCCTTTACGCTTGCAAACATTCGATGGGCTAACCACTCTGGCAGCCGGAATGGCCATCGCCGGTGCTGGAGCTGGTATCAATGAGCTCACTGCATTGGCCGCGACTTCAGAAATGGCGCCTACTCGTAAGCGCGGTGTCTATGTTGCGGTGCTGATTTTCACGATCCTACCCTTCTGTCCATCGGTTCTCTGGGCCCAACTCATTGCCGCTCACTCCAACTGGCGCTATGTCGGCGCATTTTGCGGTGCATGGAGCGGCTTTGGTCTTCTCATCACTGTTCTCTTCTACAAGCCTCCTCCTCGAGTCAACTCTGAAGGTTTGAGCCGCCGTGAAATTATTGGACGCATCGATTTTGTTGGTGGATTCCTCAGCATCGTTGGTCTCATCTTGTTCATGGCCGGTATGCAGTGGGGTGGTTACATGGTTAGTCTCATGCATGCCCAAGTTCATCACGCTCTCATGGAACTTTCTAACAACTGTCGTTGCTGCTTCTTTAGTATTCTTGGGGTTCCGCTCATGTACTCGCTCCTCTGATTCTTGGCTTCCTGATGCTGGTCGCCTTTGGCTTCTGGGAAGTCTACGGTGCCAAGTACCCCATCTTCCCGACACGTCTGAAGCAGGAGCCTCGTACCCTCGGCCTCACGCTCGTCATCACATTTATCTCGGGTGCCAATTTCTTCTCAGTCATCATGTTCTGGCCTACCGAATCCTTCAACGTCTATGGACATGATCCCATCGGTGTCGGTGTTCGTAGTCTTCCGGTCGGGTTCGGTATCTTAGCTGGTGCTTGCATTGTGCTTGTGCTTCTCAGTGTCTTCCGAGGACACAATAAGGAGCTCCTCATCGTGAGCAGTATTCTCATGACTGCCGGTGAGTCTTTCAATGGTTCATTTCCGAAGTTGCAGATGCTGACTTATGATATCAGGCTGTGGTGCCCTCGCAATCGGCCGCGTCGATAATATCAACCAGATGTGGGGTCTTCTCACTCTTGCCGGTTTGGGTATTGGCGGAATTGTTGTACCAGCCTCGATCATCACAACAATCATTTGCCCTGATGATCTCATCGCTACGATTTCTGCCCTCACTCTTTCCATTCGTGTCGTCGGCGGAAGCGTTGGGTACTGCATCTACTATAACGTCTTCATTTCCAAGTTCATTCCGGCAGCAGAATACTATATCGGAGGAGTGATGGTCACAGAGTTGAACATCACGAGTGTTGAGACAATCACCGAAGTTATTCAACTTACTGGAGCATCGCTGTTGACCGAGATCCAGCAGATTCCGGGCATCGCCGGAAACGAAACCGCTTACCAAATGGTGGTTGGTGCCGGTCAGATCGCCTATGCTGAGGCCTATAAGTGGGTGTACTATGTCAGCATTGCTTTTGGTATTATTTCGATCATTTCTGCGTGTTTCTTGGGTGACATCACCAAGTACATGAATGATCATGTGGCTGTTGTGATGTGAAATCTAACGATGCAACCGGCATGGCACGAAAAAAGGCCGTCACGTGCCAGGGTTATTGCGTTGTATAAGGTTTTTTTTCATTTCGACTGAATATTTATTATGGACATAATTTGTTCTTGGCTCATGATTACAATAAGTTCCATCATCTCCAAACTGGAGTCTCCTAGACAGAATAGTACTGAGCAGAGGCTGCAGAGCTGTTCTCACACAGCATACTATGTACCTCATAAAACCTGTAGGACTCTGTATAAGCGTTTCATATCATGACCTTTCAAGGGCATTGACAATCTTCGACAGTACTCAAGAGATACCCAAAAATCGCAAACTACCACGTAGTGCGTACAAGTACCTGTCTGGTCGGATGAACACCAGACATCAAACTGCAATCAGCCAAGCACTGATCCCAGCCTTAATACCCACCTCGAAAGCGGTCAAATCATCAAAAGCCCCGTCGAGGTTCCTCTGCCGCTCGGAGGTGGGGCCGCTGGCTTTAATTCGTGTAGACGCCAGGTACTCGCAAGTTTCTTTTTTCTAAACACTCACGTCGCTGACCTTCCATCGCTTGAACGCCCGCTGCCGCTGGAATGGCTTCCAATATAGCCAAGCGAAAACAGTCCGGCCCTCAAGGGCTCTCTGCCTCCACTGGAGCTGCAAGAAAACGAGCCAAAACCTTTGATGCGCGAACTTTGGCGGCGCAATCCACTGATGCCGCTCTCTCGGCCACAGGCGAGCTCGATGTGGCCGCATACGCTGCAGCTCGGGCATTCGAGATTCAAGCGCTGGAGGACGGTATGCAACGGTCCAAAAATGCTCTTACTACTCGGGCATTTCAGAAGGTCCCCCGTGCGTTGCGACGTCGCACGGCTAGTCACAATGTGAAAAGAGTTCCGCGGAGGTTACGAGCGCGAGCTCAACGCGAGGTATGAATGGCTTTTCCGGAAAATTCAACGATTAGCTTCAATGTGACCTGTCGCTGATAATGGGTAATTCTAGATGGTTGAAGACAATACACCAACTGTCACTGCCCGGCGTCGCAAACCTAGTCAATTGATGCGCATTCGCCTCGAAGCTGCTCGCCGCCTACAGAACCTTAACGCGAAGTCGAAATCAAGGCGCTCGGCGACCAGGGCAAAAAGTGATCAAGCAAACGGAGATATGGAGACAAGGGAGGACAGCCACGCGTTCAAAATCGCGCCTCGTGTGCCAAAGATAAAGAAAGGGAAGCTGTCTCGTCCGCCGCCCCCCGACTCGAAATTTCGTAAGCGCCAAAGATGCAAGACATGGTTGCCAACACATATGTATCATGCCAAACGGGCCCACATGGCAACCAGCAAGGATCCAATTTGGCGCTTTGCGATTCCCATATCTCCCACTGAGAAGAGCTATCGGCCCACACACCGAGCCCAGGGCGCCCGAGGTGCTGTTGCATGGGACATGAGTTACATGTCTACCGTGCAACTCGAAGGCGAAGAGTCTGGTATCGAATCCGTTCTAAGAGCAATTGGTGTCGTTGGCGATGAGGCGTGGGGCACTAAAGGGAAAAAGTGGAGGGCAGGGACACGATCATTACAAACGTGGGCTTTCGAGAAAGGACAGTCCACCAACCCGGTAGCACCTATCACCCTTGTTTGGTGCGTACAAGCAAAGGACGAGGATACCGAAATGCTAGACGCGGAGAAGCCTCCACCTCCCCGGAAGCCCTTGCGCCGAAAGCTTTTCATACGTGTTCATCCCTCCGCTTTTCTCCAGCTTTGGACAGATTTGCTGGGCATTTCAAAACAACAAAGCCCACCAGTCATGATCGAAGATCTTCGTTTCGAAATAGGCAGTATCGAAATCACTGGACCCGGGTCTACCGAGGCTCTGCTGGCTACTCTGCAACCTATACTTCGCTCAGAGGAGACGAGCGCACAAACCCCAGAAGCTACTTGGCAATCTCTACACGGCGTGTCCAACCCTTCATCGCTTCCAAACAACGCGCTACTGTCGTTCTCGGTCACAGATCCTCGTCTGCGATTTCCCACGCCTACACTCAAGGTTTTGGGGGCGAGACTCACATGAACAATCTAGCAAGTTTGCTCGCAGCCTGGACGCCAGATCAGACACAAGGTCCGTCCCTCCTCTTCGACCGGCCCAGCCGTCTTGCGGCTATCAGGCAGCTTCCGAGCCAAAAAGCGATCAACCGCCGTCGAACCGTCGCGGGACCTGGCAAACCTCTCCCCGCTCAACCAACAGATCCCAGCATCCCAGTGATGATTCTTGCCAGCCGACCCCAAGCTCGCGCAAAGAGAAGCTCCGCTCCAGGTTCATGGACTTTGCTTCTGCCCTGGAATTGTGTGGTTCCAGTCTGGTACTCACTCATGTTCTATCCCCTCTCGAGTGGTGGCAATCCCCGCCTAGGTGGATTAAAGGAGCAACAACAACTGGCCTTTGAGGCCGGTCAGCCTTGGTTTCCGGGTGACTTTCCGGGCACACGTGCTGGCTGGGAATGGTGCCAGCGAGAAAGTGAAATCTCTCGACGTCAGTGGGAGAGACGGCCTAAAGGCCGGCGAGCCGAGTTTGATAGTCTTGTCATCGCCGCCGGACACTCAAAAGGTGAAATCGGCCATGGATGGGCCTGTGACTGGCAGAGGCTTGTTGTAGGATCATCGCAGCATGTAACAGACCCGGTCGATGCTGAGAAGCAAACCGCCGCTGCGAGCTCTTCTGTCCCGCCTTTGGGTATTCGAAACATACGTATTGTTACGGGAGAAACGAACGCTGTTCTCGCCAGCCTTGCCAAAACTAAGATCGAGCCGTCGACGCTGGCTACAGTCCATCTGACACTCATTAATCGGGGGACGCCTGTGCCTTGCGCGCGAATCTATCGTCTTCCCACGGATCCAGTGCTCAGAAAACGCTGGCTTGATCTTGCCAAGTCATCGAAGACGACGGGGAATGCAAATGAGCGGACACACGAACCCCAGCGAGCATCCCTTTCCAAGGAGGAAGCGCAGCGCCGACTCGCGGAGACTTTGATCTCGGCTGCGGATTCGTACGAACCACGAACCGATCATTGTGACTGTCCTGCAGAAGAAGACCTTATAGGGTTCGTGACGTCTGGGAACTTCAATCTCTCTGAGGGAAAGGGAACGGGAATCGGCTCGATCCTTTTGTCGAAGGTGATTGCGCCGGCTCAGAAGCCAGGCGAGCGAAGGATGTGCATTGTCCGAACTGCGGGCGAGAAGGTTGGGCGGTTGGGAACTTGGGAAATTGTATGATAAAACGGAGACATTGAGGCTTTCGATACCCCCACGGTCGGTTTCATCCCGACTGGAGACTCAATCCATCGATCTTATAATTGGACGATAAGATAGGGCAGAAGTAGTCTGGGTTGGCAAGCTACGGAAGGGAACTTAGAACGCTTGTCTCGCTGCAGCTGTGCCCATGCGAGCCAAAGGCCGAATCGTAGACGAGGTTCTCTTCTAGACACAAACACCACAGCGTATGCAGGCTGAGACTCATATAAAACGACTCTGATCTTTTGATGATCAAGTTTCAATAACATATGTTACAATGGCACGCAATTAACCGACAACACGGTCGACAAAGGCGGCCTCCATCTTGGCGACCTCCTTCTTGAAATTCTCAACCTCCTTCCAGCAATCCAGAGGTCGCCTGTCGTGCACGCGCAGACAGCTGACCACATCGGCCTTGGCCTTCTCAACACCCTCGTCCAGCTCCACTAGCTTTCTCCGCCCATCAAGACGGTTGCGCAGCACGTCAATCTGGCTCAGTACTGAATCGCGTGACAGCTCACGAGTGGCAGAAGGTTGCGGCTGCGCCGGCTGAGCAGCCGGTTCTTGAGGTGCAGCAAAGACGGGTGGGGCATCGTATTCGCGACCAGCGAAGGGGATACGAGGCGCATCCAGGTTCAGAGATCCAGCAGGATATCCAGAGGAGTAGGCGACGGGCGCAGTTGCGGCGCTCACGGGGATTGAACCATTGTCCTTGGCTTCGGAGAGACGCTTCTCAATCTCGGCGAGGGTTTGTTGTTCGCGCTCTTGGAGACGCTTGAGTTCTTGAGCGACGCGGTTTTGGATCTCAAGCTCGAGGGCTTTGGCGCGAGATGAGTCCGTCTGCGAAAACAAAAAAATTCATGTGGTGTGAGTATCAAGTGCGTCATTTGAGTGATTTGCTGTGGCCTCGGAAAAGTTGCGTGCGGGTAGATCACTGACCTCGGAGGTAGACTGAAGGGCCTCAACTAGGTTTGATGAGAATTGGACAGGAGAATTGCTACATGGAAAGCGGAGTGAGTTAACCAAACTGTCTCAAACAATGATCTGGGCCGCATATGGGCCAATTGAGGCGTATGTTGGTGTAGTTGCGCATCGCCAATCCGGTTCTCGTGATTCCGTTTCCCGCCTTGATTGCAAAGGCGCAGTGATCAAAGATCAGCATCTGAGATCCAACTCACCTGGAGAAGACATGTTGGGAGCTACCCGCCTCTGGTTTAGAACTGCTAGCACCCATTGTTGTAGGTAGCAGATGTGATTACCGTCGAGTCGGTTGGGCCTGGAGGGCTTCCGTCACAGCATCACACTTGACCCGAAGCTCCGATACTTCGATCACGTGTATGCTTAGTCAGGGGCTGGTCCGGCCGGTGCGGTGGGCACCCTCACTGTATGTGCCTAGCACTGAGCTGAATGCTATCTCCTGTTGATCACGAAGGTTTGGAGTCCGAGATTATGCTTAATGACCTAGTTATGAAACATTCACGAATGTGAGACTATCTAGCCATGCTTCCTGTGGCTCGGGTTTCTCTGGAAATAGATGAGTGATGTTTTGCGTTCGATCAAATTTACCGCCAGATTGGGATGGATCTAGAATACTCTTGAAAGCTATCCGTATGCGTTTCGTGCATGATCTTATGCAGTCGTGTCTAGATTTTATCCCGTTGCATTCATTCGACTTATGAATCAACAGAATTTGCCCCATACCTTTCAATGTAGGTAGGTCGAAACTTTTTTCCTTTGATACCACCGAAGTGAAGGTGGTGAAAAGATTATGCACAGGCCTTGCTCAGTAAGTGGGACTTCAAAATGGGCAGTGGTTTGGGATTTCAGGCACTGGAAGAAGTGGGTTAAATGCGTCACACACCCATGAATTCCGGCAGTGAAATGCGCTCAAATATAAGACAGTGTAAACAAGTCTCAGAAACTTGCTCAGGGCTCAGCAAAAGCCTCCCGTCATTGATGGATTGTCTTATGTAGTGAACGAGATTATGGTTCATGACTTCACGGTTACCCAAACGACATGTCCCCGTGTGCCGCTGTCCACAATCACACACTCGGTTACGTGCTAACTGGCCTGGAGTGTAGAAAGTGAAAAGGTACATTCTCAGCATTTCCACTCTAATCATCGGTACTGGATCATGCAGTAGTCGTGATGGATCCTGCGTGATAGTTTCGAGATAATACAGTTGGACGTCTGAAATGTCTGGCGCGTAATTCTTCGACGCAGTAGAGCTCCAGTCACAGAGCTCACTCCCCATCTGGAAGGGCGCGGTATGTGCAGCAACGCAGAGATCATATTGCATCAAATGTCAGATTCAAACAATCTTTGCTCATTAGATCGTTCCAAGGGAGGGGAGAAGGGTGGCTGCGGTAACCACAGACGGTGTGGAGGGGAACCCCCCAAATGTAACCAGGAGGGAAGCTTTTCAGTTCTGTAAAGATCGGTTTGGAGGATCTAGCGCCGCGATGTTGGGCTTACTACGCCAGTACTCCCCAATCGATGTGTGGATACAAAGATCTGGCCGGGGGAGCGACGGTGGTGTGTTTCATTGTTGTAGTGCCATTCTTTACCGTGTAAGCCGAAGAATTTCCCTTTAAAAAGGCATTTCGGGGGTAAATATAGGCTGTTCCAATCCGCAAACGAGTGAAGCTAGCTGCGTTTATGCTTGTGTGGTCGCCAGAGACGGGATGTGTGTAGAAAATATAAATCCATTTGAAGTGGCCACTTGGGCGCAATATCCACTAAGTTTCGAGAATGGTGGGCTAATTAGTAATCAGGTAGCAACTAATAGGCGATTAGTTCGAGATAGGAAGATGACTCGGAGTAACACCTGTGATTACCTACTGAAATTGAGTGGCCTTCCCAGTCAACCAGTATGGCAGCCGTACCCTCTGCGTTTGCCAGAGAGTTGATATGTCTCACGACTACCTCTTTGAGCGTAATTTCGGGATCGTCTATGACTGTCTCAGTCTCTCCGCTTAATACAGAGGACATCTCGAATCCATTTTCGGACTAAGACATGGAAGAGATGGAAAGTTCACCGAACCCGAATATTTTGTCGGTCTCTCCCAGCAGTCGGGACTCGGGACAGCAACAGTGCTCATCATGCCTTAGGCAGCCGCAGATCCGACGACGGCGCTGAGCTTCCTTGCTTCGGCCACGATGCTACCATCCGTTCATTGAGAGGAAGAGAAACCACATGATAAACAAATTCTGACTCCATGAGGAGCCATTGGCGTTGGATGCAGATTCCAGAAGATAATTGGTCGAAGCGGAAAAGCCGAGGAGACGAAACCTGAAAATGAACTGTGGCTGAGACGCCTGTATGTTCGTCATATACGACTTCTTTTCCTATTCCAAAATCTAATCTCTGGTGTAGAATGAGGCAGAGTTACATCTGAAATGGCACCAGATCCATTCAATCCGACCCGGAGGAGCTGAAACCGGAGTGGTAAAACCTCAACACGCCCAGAAGACCTCAACAGTGAGCAGACCCTTGCGCGCCTCGCTAACCGCACGGGTCCAAATGGCTCATCTATACATCCCGACCGATATCTCAGATTCTCCAGACGGAAGGCGACTTGGGTGACTGTGCTGACTGCCGACTCTACCAGAACCTTTCTGGAACCCGTACTGGCTTTGATATTACCAGGACCTACTCACGACAGGTCGGTAGGAAGCGAGAAATTAAAGAAACTAGCCTCACTTCTGAGTTCTGACCACTCGGACGACGATCGGGTTATGAATCCAGTCCTTTGCAGAGATATCAGACTCAATGGATCCGGAGCTCGGTTCCTGATCTACCGTTCGCTTTAGCATGCATGTCTATTCTTCGACCCAAACATGCTCTCATATGATAATGCTTATTACCTGCCAGTGGCTTAAGTAATTCACGTACTGCCCCTTGATGAACAAATTTGTTCATCGTAGTGAGGGTTCGATCTTCAACCCTTCTTTTCTAGAATTCTTCCTATTTCGATCCAGATAAACTCTGGATTACGAGTCTCAAGACCCCACTCTTCAGCTAGCAGGTTTGCACCATCATTAGTCACAAAGTTAGGGGAAGAAAGTCGAGAGTCGGGATTCCGAGGCAGATCGGCCTATCCGACGCGATTCGAGCGGTTCTGGATTCGGGTCGCCGAGTCACGCGAAACAGCCGAGTGGCTCCCGGGATCCCGAGACAACAACTCGTCTTCGTAACTTGTTCCTTGAAGAATACAGAGACTTTGAAACTGTCGACCCTCCGCATCGCTAGCTAGTTCTGAGGTCGCTTCTGGTCAAAGACGTCAGACTTGGACAGATGATTTCAAGTGTCACTGAGCGATCCATGAGTAGGGAGATGGGTCGCCCTGACGCCGTAGGCTGAGTGACATCCCGGAGAGGGTTGCCTCCCAGGTACAATGAGCACGCTCGCGACCCCATGGAGAAGAGCTTGCCTAACCCAAACTCGTGTGCAGTGATGCACACAATTCAAGGGCATCTCAACAGACCACGCATCATTCAGTCTACCCAAGCTGGCAATTTTCTTAGCAAGTGAGCACAGCCCCGAAGAATCCGCGTTACCAAGACAGATTGAGATGCGCCAACACCGTGCATTGACACTTTCCCTTCCCATCCAGTACTATTTCCCCGTCCCCTGTCCACAATGACCCATAGTTGCCCCGTCCTCTCCGTCTTCTCCGTAAGGGCCTAAGCCACGGTCGCTCACCGGTGAAGTTGGGGGAAACAGGGGAGTACTGCGACCGCGAGAGCCATGGACACGATAGTTCCGATTACACAAACAATGTCCCAATCTGGATTAGGGTGAATCTCCGCGCGGTGGTCAGCGAGAACAATAGAATCGTCGACAGCAGGGAAAGCGTCCATGCCGTCATGACTGCGACAAAAGTAGGCACGGGTCGTCTCGGTGGCTTGAAAAGTTGGGCCCCACGGGGGTGTATTCTTGTATTGGGACGTATTTGGTGGGTATCGAAGATTCGAAAGAACGCCCTGGATTTGCCAGATGCGGTTGCAACTTTTGCATATTCATGTAGAGCAGATCTTGGCTTCACTTGACCAACTGAACCTCAAGGAGCATAGGCAGAGGACAAGCCTGGCTCTGAAACAAACATGATGTACACATGTACGGCGTACTCGAAGGCCAGCCTAATGAGGCGCTGATATCACAATCGGCAAAAACGACTAAGTTCAAAAGTTGACGACGCAAAAGAAATTCTCGAATCACTTTTGCCAATGCTGTACAATAACACAATTTGTAGGGTTGTATATAGTGACATACAGTACGTCGGAACTCCCATAATATCACTGCACGCCAGAGTGCTGATGGCGCCGACTGGAGACCCGCGCCGATGAACCCGAGACTGGTGGTACTAATACAAAATCATATCGTATCTTCAATCGCATCCAGCCAGCAATGCTCCCCAAGATGGGAATAAATTACAAACCTGAAACAGTAGCCATACGGTATTGTCAAGTTTGTATCCATGTTCGCAGACGGACTGACCTCATGGACCCCGCTGTCATCCCACTTGGCACGCGCTGAATTACCCTCGTCGTTGCTTTCTCTAGAATTTTCCTCAACGTAGCCTTTTCTATCTTGTTCCCATCTTTCACTTCTATCCGTGTCATACTCTACTACTCGGCTTGGCTGTACACTTGCCTTGGTATTATCTCCTCTTTCAATTCCATAATCATTCGGAGCGCTACAGACTATCCTTCATTGCCCCACCATGTCGTCTGCTCTGCTGAACGAGGCCGAGCGCATTGCGCGCGAATTTGACTACCCCGCGGAAGAGGTGAAGCGCGGCGTCGAGGAGTACATCAGGGAATCAAATGAAGGCCTGGCAAAGGAGAACGCGACACTGAGCCAAATTCCCACATTCGTCACCGCGGTTCCCAATGGCACAGAAAAGGTAGGTTGAAGTCTTCCGCAGTCCTCCGCAAGTAATTCACCGAGTGCGACCTGAAGGCTGACCACCCACACTAGGGTCTCTATCTCGCAGTCGACTTGGGTGGTACCAACTTCCGTGTCTGCTCTGTTCAGCTCCACGGTGACACTACCTTCTCCCTCACTCAGTCAAAGATCATGATTCCCCGGGAACTCATGGCCTCCGGAACCTCCAAGGAACTCTTCCTTTTCCTCGCTCGTCAGATCGAGGCCTTCCTGCGCATCCACCACAATGAGCACTTTGAAGCCCACCAGCGCCGCCGCCGCGACGGTAACAAAATTGAGGACCTGTTCGATCTGGGCTTCACTTTCAGTTTCCCCGTGCGTCAGTTTGGTATCAACTCGGGAACTTTGATTCGTTGGACCAAGGGCTTCAACATCCCCGATGCAGTCGGTCAAGATGTGTGCGCTCTTCTTCAATCTGCCATTGATGAGCTGAACCTACCTGTGCGCGTGGCTGCGCTCGTCAATGACACCGTTGGCACCCTCATGGCTCGCTCGTACACTTCTCCTGGCGAGACCGGAACCCTGCTGGGCGCCATCTTTGGTACCGGTACCAACGGTGCCTACGTTGAGAAGCTTGACAAGGTGACCAAGCTCAAGGACATGAAGGATGCGCAATATGACACCTCCACCGGGGAGATGATCATCAACGCGGAGTGGGGCAGCTTCGACAACCACATGAGCGTGCTGCCTGACACTGTGTATGACCGTGAGCTCGATGCGGATAGCAACAACCCTGGTGTGCAGATGTTCGAGAAGCGCGTCTCGGGCATGTTCTTGGGTGAGATCCTGCGCCGCGCTCTGCTGAGCCTGCACAACAACCCCAAATTCGGTCTCTTCAAGTCCAGCCAGAACTCCAGCGTGTCCATTCCCTCTGATTCCCTCTTCTATCGCCAATGGGGACTGGATACCAGCCTTTTGAGTCAGGTGGAGGCTGATACCAGCAAAGACTTCACTGAAGTCAAGGCCGCGCTGAAGGACCACCTGAACATCGAGAAGCCTAGCAACGCAGAGTGTCAGGCCGTCAAGACTATCGTGCACGCCATCGGCAAGCGTGCTGCCCGACTCAGTGCTGTCGCTATCGCTGCTGTCTTGATTCACACCGGCAAGCTTGAGACCGAGAATATGGTCGATGTGGGCGTTGACGGCAGTCTCGTCGAGTTCTACCCCAAATTCGAGGACTACATCCGTGAGGCCATGCGCGAAATCCCACAGGTCGGAGTTGCGGGCGAAAAGAAGGTTCGCATCGGTATCTCTAAGGATGGTAGTGGTGTCGGTGCCGCCTTGATCGCCCTTGTTGCTAGCAAGGATGATACCATGAAAATGCCCACTCAGAAAGAAAACTGATCACGATCGTCAAGTACGAATTGTGTCTTTCTGCTAGCATCTTCATGCCTCTGACGACCTGTTTAATCTCTTTCTTTCCCAAACCCACTTTCTGACTCCTGGCTGGGCCAGTTTTTGTAAAGGAGGCGCGGGGCGGTCATTATTCTGCCTGCCAAGTCGAGCTGGTGGGGGTATCACATTGTCCCCGGCGTGTGACGTGTTGCCTTGGGCGACTCTAGACTGCTTGCTCCTTCAATTCGAAAGTTGACACTCGTCTGACTCAGAGGGCACACAGGATCATCACACAACTGAAGACCGGTGTTTCAATGAGGGAGCGACTGCCAGCTGGACAATGTGAAGAATCGCCAACAATCCTTGCTCCGCAATCCCGTAATATCAATATCCTATTTTTTTTGCCTCACCTGTCACACATCGCGATTTGTCTTTTGACGTCCATCTCTTCCCTGCTCACTGTTCTCCAGCGACGGGTACGTAGTCGCACCACACATTCTGGGGTAGTACGACGTTTATGAGTATTCTGGTACATACATCAATCAATACACTTTAGAGAACTTTATCATCTGCATCTCCATTTACTCACTCCGCAATTTTCATTGTTTTTTTTTATAACCTACGCTTTGAGGAACACGTTGCGAAGTAAACAGAGAAAGGATGAGCCATCAGATCTTGTATCAGGCCTACATTAGGTCCAAATTGCTAGCGTAACAATTCAACTTGTCCTTTCATATTATGCATAAAACTTTCACATTGAACGACTACTTTTCTCCTGCTCAGTGACCGGGCTCATATCCGATCGCCGTGGGGGCTTTCACAATCTCGACCTGCCCGCCAGTGCCCGCCAAGCCGCTGAGTTTGCCCGTCGTGGTGGCCGGGTTGGCACCGATGAAATTGCTTGGGAAACCGGGGTCGAAGGCGATTGCTGATTCCAGGAATTGAATTTGCTGCTCGGTCAGACGGATCGACAGGGCTTGGATGTTGTCATGGAGGTGTTCGACTTTGCGGCCGCCCACGATGGGGAAGACGTTGGGGCATTTGCACAAGACGTAGGCCAGAGCCACTGCGGTCACCGACTCGATGCCATGCTCGGCGGCGACCTTGGCCAACGCCTCTGAGACCCGACGCTCATCCTCGCTCTGGTCTCCGCCCATGATACTGCGGAGACCCTCGCCCTGTGCTTTCCGGGCCTCGATGGCCTTGGCAGTCTGGAAGTGGCCTCCGCCCAGCACGTCCCAGGGTGCAAGGGCCATGCCAAAGTGTTGAGCCATCGGGATGATGTCGCGCTCAAAGTCACGACGCATCACGTTCCAGCGGCCCTGGTAGATGGAGAAGGGGGTCTTGCCGTGTGCGCGAGCGTAGGTGTTGGCTGCTGCGACGACCCACGCGGGACTATCGGAGATACCCAGGTACATAACTTTGCCTTGCTCGACCAGGATGTGTAGGGAGTCCATGACCTCCTCGATGGATGTAGTCCAATCCCACCAGTGCAGATACAGGATATCGATATAGTCGGTTTGCAGTTTCCGCAGCGAGTCGCGAACACTGTTGAACATGCTGCGCTTGTGATTGCCGGTCACATTCGGGGCATTACCCTTGCCCAGCTCCCAGGTGCGGTAGTCCGTGGTGAACTTGGTGGCAAGGACGATGTGATCACGGTTCTTGCGAGCCGCCATCCACTCGCCGATCCAGGTCTCGGATTGCTCGTTCTGGTAGTTGTTGGCGGTATCGATGAAGTTACCACCGGCCGCGACGAAGGCATCGAGTAACTTGAAGGATTGCTCCTTGTTCATGCTGCCCATGAATTGATTCCAAGCATCACCGATGGACATGGCGCCCAGCTGGAGCGGCGACACTCGAATGCCGGCAGAGGACGAGAGCACTCGGTAACGACCGAGGGGGGTCGCAGGCTCGGGGGCTGGCTTGAAGATCTCCTCCATTGTGGAATAACGGTCCTTTGAAAGCGAGATTGATGAAGTTGACAGGTAATGTGGATTGTACGCCGAAGGGAGTAAAGTGAGGACTGTGTCACTGAGGTCGACAAAGTTGAAATGGATGATTGTGCTGAAGGAAAGGTCTAATGATGCTTGATCTAGCCCTTTATACTAGACTGAACGGGCCTACGTCAACTAAAAGCTATCTTGGGGGCTTCCGGGGAACGAAAGCAACGCTTGTCATCCACCCGGAATTAACTGGTCAAGCTCCGATCAAATGAACTCTATCCGGTCGCCACTGGCACCCACGGCTTGATCGGAGATGAAGCTCTTCACAATCGAGGGAGATTGAACGTGCAGCCCCTCCATCTGACTGAGTCAGTCATCACTCGGAAATAGAGGAATTCCGCTGAGATATTGCTGACAAAGGATAAAGCAACTTAAGAGAACCCTGACTCCTGATTAGCTCTACGGTAGTTTATTTCCTGTATGCATGCTTCTTTTGGATACATGCTCCCCTCTACCCTCTACCGATTGGACTGGCTGCAGTGGTCGGAGGGGGGAACATGCTGAGATAAGCACTACTCTCACCCATGAACGCCCCGGCAGCTCCATGATTCGAGTCCGTATCCCGATGATGTCATCGGCTTCATATATCCAGGCGCTGCACGGTCAGCGTGACCAGCATGGCATACCTGATACCTGGTGCTATAGAGCTGTCACTGAACCTGGATTGACTGTGCTAATACGTGTGGAAAGGTTACAACGTGGGCAACTTTGTAGTGATCATTATCGAATCTAACATGGCATCGCATCGCATCGCAGCCTGGCAGGGGCTATGAGGACCTCGTAAGCGGCAGTGGAGAACCCCATACTTAGTCTTCTTGGCACGGGGCAAGCCGCTTAACTCCAAACTCCGTGATTCATCCTCTGTGCGATGACCTCGCGTCTCAGCCAGACTCCAGAGCGTCTCCAAGAGGGACCCCAAAGACCGAAGTCAAGCCTGGGCGCCTCAAGGCCCAGGCGAAGAGGGCTGCCTGCCTGCAGACTGCAACCTTGCACAGTGCACATTAGTCTTACTACTTCGTATGTCACGTCTCGGCTAAGCTGTGAGTCGTCCATCTGTCGGGACCTTTGCCTCCTTGCAGAAAGCCGATGATCGCCCATCTCCAGCCACCCATTGGAAAGGCCCAGACGTCTTGGACAGCACGGTCGCATACTTATTCAATGATCTTTCTCACTTGCTTTGTCCGTGCTGAGCAGCTTGTCTTGGCCGTCTGATCTCATGGCCGCTCGATCTGGCCCCTAGTCTTGCTCACCCACTCGGATTGGGGCTTCATTCGAGGGATTCGACCACAACTGCCAGTTTTGGCTGCGCCAACTATAGGGTGCTCATCACTGTACAAGTATACATAGCGATTAAAACGTCTATCGATCGCACGCCGGAGCACGACAAACGAATACCTGATCGTGAGCCAGACCAAGCAGAGGAGCATTCATGTCGTCCTTCATGAAACCCAAATCAAATATCACCCAAGAAGAAAATTGATGCCCCGATCATGGCTCAGCGGCAGACAACGCCACGAATGTCAATGTTCAATTGACGAGTTGACTCTGTCCCCATGTGGATGTGCCCGATTTCCGAACATCAGCACAGCGCTATATCCTGGTCAGAAGACGTGCAATTCATGTTTCCCCAGCTCGCCCCGATCGGTCCGAAAGACTCGACTGACTCGTAATTGCTTCTTCTCATTGTGCCATCTGGGCTATTTTGTTTTTGTTTTTTAGCCCCTTTCACCCTTGGAAAACATCGGCCATACGCGCAGGCCTCACCGTCATCGTGGAGCAAGGGACGACCCTCTTACTATTGAATATGCACGGGTCCTAGAGAACAATCCAGAGGATCCATGCGGTCAGTCCCTCCGGGATCCCCTCCCATCTGCCGCTCCGTGGGTCCCTTAAACAAGGCAGCGGGACTGAACCCACTTGTGAACCTTCGATTCTTCAGGCTTTGGGATCTAGTCGGCGATCCTTGCAGCATTGGGACTGGATACTTGGGGGTCCTGGTCTTGGCCCAGACGTGGTTTCACCTGCTCTGCCAATAGCGGAATGTGCCTTCACCGAGCTGTGGACGGAACGATTCTCTTTTCTTGGCTCTCTGGGATACTGAGGATATCCACCATATCGATCCAGGAGACATGGGGCAGACAACGTTGGCAGGAAACCCCAGGGGAAGGATGAAGTGGTCGTGAGTGGCGACCCTGTAAATATCAATTGCCATCTCTTGTAGTAGGCTGAATACTGTAGCAAATTGCAACCACAGCTGGTCCTTGGCTAACTACAATGACAGACCGCTCCGGACAGTCGGCATGAAAATTCCATGGCGTACTGAGCTGCATGTACGACCTGCCCAGTTCATGCGACAACGCCATGACCCCAGAATTCGACCAGACGTGTTCCATATAGCCCACTCACAAGAGACTGTGTGACAGTCGGAGTCACAGTCACAGGCTGCGTCTTGGTTTGAATTGACCTTTTGAGATGATTCTTGATGCGCTGGCCAGAGACTTCAAGGGTGGAGAACATGACCAATGCCCTTGAAAACTCTAGCTGCCTGAAGATCTTCGTCCCACCTTGACTCGGTCCAGACATATTGATAATGAATAATCTCTCAAAGAAAGAGTTTGCATCAGCAAGGTCGCGCGCAATTTGCAGATGAGACCTGTACACAGGGGCTCAGACGAAGGGGCTCAGTCGGGACGAAAATCATGTCAAATGCGAAAGCCATGCCTATTCTGCGTGGCCTGCACGTCTGCTGGCCTGCATCTCCGGGGGGTTGCTTTTCGTTTCTCTGTCACCTGCACTCGATTCTCTACACATACCGATCTTCTCTGATGTGCAGGTGATTTTCAAACAAGCTCGCCCCTATCCTCTTCATCTCCTTTATTTAGTGTCCCAATCCTACCATCCAGTATTCCACTTCGTCGAATCCTCAGGTCAAGACACCATAAATCAACAGTATCTCGAAAGCTTCGGGAGCTCTTGCCCCACTATCCGGTGTGAACAGGCCGTTCACAATGTCAACATTCTTCAACTCGGCCAATGTGCCCAAGGAGGCGGGGTCCGAAGGACCCTCGATTATCAACCCAAGTTCTACGGCGAACGGAGCGACGCCCGCGAGTATTGCTCCGAACATTGTGTTGTCGTCTGATTCCGATCCGTTTGCTCGAGATGGGACGTCTCCTAGGCCCCCCAGTGATATAGAGAGCACTCTGGTTGGGGGCTCCACCAGAGGTCCTACGCCTATTGACCAGGTCAATCAGAAGCAGACTGTCCCCGAAGATCACGCCTCGCAGGTTCCATCATATGAGCAAGCCACAGAGGGATCTGACGAGAAGCGCTCGACGCAAGACCCGGTAGTCAAGGATGATGAGAAAAGCTCAAGTGATAGTGATGCGGAGAACAAAGATGAAGGGCCGGAGCCTGAATATCCCACGGCGTGGAAATTGGGCCTGATATCCATTGCCTTGTGTTTATGCGTGTTCTGTGTGGCGTTGGTACGTACAGGTCTTCATTGCGAATATGCTTGATTCGGGATTTCTCGGGAAACATTCACAACATGAAAGTTAAGAGGAAGAAGAAGATTGGCCGGAAGCTTACTGATCTTGTATCTGCGTATAGGACAACACCATCATTGCTACCGCAATCCCTAAAATCACTGATGAGTTCAATTCACTCAATGACGTGGGATGGTACGGAAGTGCTTACTTACTCACGACCTGTGCCGTGACCTTGATGTTTGGCAAATTGTACACGTTTTACCCAGTCAAATGGACATATCTCGTCGCGCTCACCATCTTCGAGATCGGTTCCTTGGTATGTGCAGTCACGCCCAGTTCAGTGGGCTTGATCTGTGGTCGAGCAATAGCCGGCCTTGGAGCGGCGGGTCTCTTTTCGGGCTCCATCTTGATCATTACGCAAAGTGTGTCCCTTGTCAAGCGTCCCTTATACACCGGAATCCTGGGTGCGATGTTTGGAGTTGCCAGCGTCGCTGGGCCTCTGTAGGTGTCTCAGAATATCTTCACAGCGGCGTTCCCCATGCCGATAAACTAGATCACAGCTTTGCTAACGTGGAATCACTTTCTCATTCTTCCAGCATGGGCGGCGCATTTACGGATCGACTTTCTTGGCGCTGGTGCTTTTATATTAATCTGCCCATTGGTGGCGTCACCTTCTTTTTCATCGTCTTCTTCTTCAAGGCCAGCAAGGCGCTTAAACCGACCTTGAGCTGGAAGGAGCAGCTTGCGGAAGTTGATCTTCTTGGATCCTGCTTCTTTCTGCCCGCCATTATCAGTCTGTTGCTTGCGCTGCAATGGGGCGGAGTCAAATATCCTTGGAACAGTGGGCGCATCATCGCTCTATTTGTCGTGTTCGGGGTGTTGATTATCATCTTTGGGGTGATCCAATGGCGAGGCCAAGACCGCGCAACCGTCCCTCCACGATTGATCAAAAATCGAAATGTTTGGGGATCGGCGTGGTACGCACTAGCGATTGGTGCCGCCTACTTTGTGTTTGTCTATTATGTCAGTATTCTTCCTCGATCGTTGCAGAATTTCCGCATCGTCGCGATGTATCAACTTTGCGCAGCGTTCTCGGGCTAATGATCAGCAGCTTCCCATCTGGTTCCAAGCGATCAAGGGCGCATCCGCAGTCAAGTCGGGTATCATGAATCTACCCACAATCATCAGCGTTGTGCTTCTGTCCATCCTTGCGGGTGGACTTGTGACAGCCTGTGGGTACTACACGCCGTTCATGATCGCCTCATCGATCATCCTGACCATCGGTGCCGGTATGCTTTCAACCCTTGCAGTCGACTCGGGCCACGCCAAGTGGATCGGGTATCAAGCGCTCTTCGGTATCGGCCTCGGTCTAGGCATGCAACAGCCGATGATCGTGGTGCAAACCGCCCTCAAACCTGTTGACGTCCCCAGTGGTACAGCCCTGGTGATGTTTAGTCAAACTCTGGGCGGGGCGATCTTCATCTCGGTAGCCCAGAACATTTTCCAAAATCAACTTCTTCACTATCTGCAGGTGGAGGCCCCTGACGCGAATGCCGCCCAGCTGGTGGCAGGTGGAGCAACCATGCTGCGGCAGCTCGTTTCGGGCACCCTCTTGCAGCAAGTCCTGCATGCATATAATGATGCCATCACGCAGACTTTCTATGTCGCTGTTGCTATGGGAGCCTTGTCATTGATCGGACCGATCTTTGTCGAATGGCTCTCAGTCAAGGGCAAGAAGGTCGAACCCGTTGCCGCCTGAAGAAGATACCGCGGCTGCCTTTCCCTCTCGATCACAGATCACAGTATTGAAAGAGGATTATTGAAAGAGGATATAGCATGTCTTCTCAAACGAACATCTTTCAAGGTCTGACATACCTCCTCTCCGCCAACTAAGGGACTCCGGGACTCTCCCATGCGCCCGATATGAATCGGTTTACATCTTAATGCGTCCCCTCCTCCGCCCTAATCGCTTAATTTCCTGCATCTTATAATTTCTGTCATGTCTGCCAAAATGAATCATGTGAAACATGTTTTTCAATTAACGTCCATCTGCGATACTGGCGGTAGATTTGCCATATCATCAACGACAATCAACATCGATCTATCTATCTCAAAGAAGTCGGGGTCATCAAATCTTCTGAGCTCTCAAACAATAACCGTGGAGAATGCCATAAATTGTACGCGGTTGTGTACCAGTGGGCGAGAAAGGAGCGCATGTGATAGGTAGCACAAAGCGTATATGGTTCTAGCATTGGAATTCTGATGACAAACAAAAACAGATAGTTCCATCAACGCGTGCAGAAAGCAATCAAACAACAGCATACAAACTCAGATAAACTCCCCATATGACACCGCATGCGCTGCCGAAGACGACCCGTCGATCGACTGGAATGACCGTATACATCAGGGTCGAGACCACAGGTCGATATTTGAGCCGCGCGATCATGATGGGGGCGAAATCCTATGCGAAAAGTGTCAGGGAATTCTCCGAACACGTCACAGTATCCAACAATATCAATTGTGGCATGTACACTCAGGAAAGAAAGCAGGTTTCTCCGAATCGTCGCTCATGCTTTCAGAAAATCAGGAGGAGGGGGGTTAGGGGACGAAAGAGTAGAATGAAAAACGGAAGAAAAACATACCAAAACAACCAGTTCCCAAACTGTCCTCAACGCCGCCCCCTTTAGGAAATTAATCAACACGACAAAGAGCACAATATTCATCACTCCAGCCACCGTCTGATCCAGCAAAAACTTCATCATAAAGCTATGCAGTCCGGATCGCTTCGTCTGTGATGACCTGGGCGACCAATATCGACTGTCATAGTCGTGTTCATACCCATCTTTTTCCTTGAGTTTCTCCCTGTGTCGGGGCAAGAAGGCATCCACGTTGATTCGTGGTGCAGACGATCTTGAGGAAAAGAGAGACAAGGGGGACATGGCGCGCAGAGTAGATCGGGAAAAGACAGCAGGCCAGGAACGCCACGCGCGGATGAGTTCGGCGCGTGAGGGAAACCCCGGATAGCGGGTTTCCAAGGCGCGTTGCCAGTAGAAGTTGATGGGGACGATGAGAATCCCATATGTGATGAATTGCAGAAGCGCGAGTGTGTTGAGAGTGAAAGGAGTCTATTTGATTATTAGCATCGGTCTTCAAATTGGACAACGCCTCATGCTCTTTTTCTTTTCTGTTTATCATTCGGTTGTCTTTTTTTTGATTCTTTTTTTCTTCGAGATTAGATGGCTTCCAAGTGATCGGACAGAAAAAAAAAAACACAAAGAGTCTCTGGCGAAAGATGTTCCAAATCCTTCATGTTTTTTTCTTTTTCTCCCAGAAATCTGAGCTCTTTCCACGTGCTCATATTGCCTTCCAGTGTACCTTGGACATCTCGAAGTCGAACAGAAGAATCACATGCTGAACTTGATCTATTTCTCTTCTCCTACTTACGGTACTTTTGCGCTGATCGATCAATTGCGCGAGGATATTAGAAATGGCATTCAGCACGGTGGACTGTGCAAAAGTCACCAAAAGAGCGGACGGCATGATCACCAAAAGCTCCTCTTCCTTACCCCTTGTAGAACGAATCCATCCAGGGCACGAGAAAGAGTAGATGATTCAATATTCGTAGAGAGCGGACTCTGCGCGACACTTGATGCAAAATGAGAGGAATTGGTTGCACAGAGGCAAGGACCGATAGGGACATGGTCGTGTGGAAAGTGCTGGAGGTTCCTCTTGGGGGCTGGATTGTCGCGCGGATCGCCAAGAAACGCGCAACCGTGTCCCCCAGACTTCCCAGTCACCGCCGACGAAATCTCGATCACGAAGCTACTCATATTAATGTCTGGCCACATATTTATTTCAAGGTCAAGTCTGTTTATCTGATGAGTGTGACTGGAGAACTATACTCCCACGTCATCTCAATACGAGAACAACAATCGAATGTTTTCTCCGGAGTCAACAAAGGAGCGGGGAAAGTACTAAGAAGTTGAAAATTGCAAGGCTTTCATTGCAAGTCGTTACAAAATACATTCAATCTATGACGGTATGGAAGCTGAGTTTCACATATCCCTCAGCGGGAACAGAAGAAGAAGAGGAAGAAGAGGAATACGGAGCCCTTTGCCTGGCGAGCCACCCAAATTTTCGAACATTTTTCATGCACGTCAATCATCAAGTCGAGTCTGAAGTTGTTCATCCGTCATGATGATCCCGGCAGGACCTTTTGAAACTCGACATTCGGTCCATTCTTGGCGCTTGTGAAATGGTCCACCAGCGCCAAGTGACCGTTCGCATCCTCGCCCTCGCGATCTGCCAGAGTCATGTCGAAGAGGAAGATCAACCGGGCCAAGGTCAGCCGCATCTCCATGAATGCCATGCTCTTGCCGATACATCCTCGGGGTCCAATGCTGAATGGACAGAATGCCCGGCGGGCGACCTCGATGTCCTCCTTGGTGCTAGTCCATGAGGCGCCACCCGCCTTGCACGTGGCGCCTTCAATCCAGCGTTGGGGGATGTAGGTTTCGGGTTCGCGATAGTATTGAGGCTGTCGGTGAATGGAGTACGTGGGTGTTCCGCAGTCGGTGCCAGCGGGGAGGAAGACTCCGTCCACCACGGCACCGCCATGCATCACCTCACGAGGCGGAGCACCAGGAACAGCTGGTGCCAAACGGAGGGCTTCGTCGATGCAAGCCTTGAGGAAGACCAATTCGTTCAACTTGCTGCCGCTGGTGATCTCCTCCACGGAGGAGAAAGCATCGCGAACCTCCTTGGTCAAGTGGGCCAAGGCCTCGGGCGTTCGAACCAGATAGAAGAGCGTCGCCGCCAAGGTGGTCGAGGTGGTGTCGCTACCGGCGATCATCAGCACGTTGGCCTCTCCCCAGAGCTCCGGGGTCGACAGGCCCTTGCCGGTCTCTGGATCCTTGGCATTCAAAAGGTAGTAGAAGAAGTCCTTCTTGGCCTCACGACCGGCCATGGCACGTTCCTTTGCGCGCTTATTGGCCTCGACACGGGAGTTCATGATGAAGTTCCAACGGTCCTGAGTCAATTTTCGAATGAAGATCTGGTCCAAATGCCATCGATCGAGAGGCATCCACAGTCCGCACTAAAAAAGAGAGAGAGGGAAAGAGACCGGGGTAAGCACGCGCTCACTGCAGAAGTGAAAATGCAATCATCGTCAAACTCAAGGAAGAGTGATCTCGTGGTGACAGAGGGGAGAAGCAGCGAAAGAGGATCTTCAACTCACCACATAGTGACGATTCGCAGCCCGATCAACCAGCCCGATCATGTGTCGTCGACCGTCGGCAACTAGCATGTCGAAACTCTTTCCAAAGCACAATTCTCCCATCACGTCATATGACAGATAGCTGAACCAATTTCCCATGTTTCGCACGACACCCTTGCTGTCACCATTTTGATTGCCGCCCTCGCCTGCCAATTCAGCGCACAGCTGTCGAACGTGCAGCAGCATGACATCCTCCATGCCCTTGAGAGCGGTTTCGGAAAACGCCTGACTCAAGACACGTCGCTTGCGTCCGTGCATGGTCTTATCGATGGCGTTGTGGGTGTTATACACACCCTTGATCGCGGGAAAAGCGTTGTAGAAGTCGGCCTTTTGAAGACGCTTGCCGTGACCGTAAATGTCGTGCAGACCGCGGTCGGTGTTGACTGAGACAAAATTGGGTGCGACGCGAACGTGTGTGCCATATTGTTGATGGAGGTGATGAAGCCAGAGGTGGCGGTCACCTTTGAGGCCATGGTATAGTTGAACCCATGGGGTGATGGAGGCCCAGAAGGGACCGGGAATGTGACGGAGAGGATGAACGAAGCGGTTGTAGAGAATGTAGGCGATGGTCTGGATTTCAAGAAGGATCTCTGGTTAGCAGCAAGAACAAAATGAGAGAAGCCTGAATCAGGCTCCATCTGGGACACCCGCCATCTCCGAACGGGGATGTGCCAATAGTGACAAGGTTTCAGTGAATGGGTTTCATACGAGGACTCCCGCGACGCCGAATAAATCGACCGCCAATCTTTGCAAGGTGACTTGACTGAGCATCGGCTCGACCAACATATTCGCTTTCGAGAGAGACGAGCCTATTTAGAAATCTCGTTTCACCGTTCAATTTGACCAGTTGATTGTGTTGTCTGTCAATTTGTGGCAGCATACAGCGTCTCCGAGACTTGAGGTAGAAAGCCACGAGTTGCAGGGAACGAGGGAACGACAAGATGATGAGATGGACAATGGGAAGAATGGAAAGTCGGACCACTCCTACGTTTCACACTTTGAACATGGACCAGCCCTTTGTAGGAAATCACTCTAGTTCGAAACGTAAAAAAAAAAAGAGACAAGGAATGTAGACTAATTATAAGTGTTGTCAATGAGATCTGACTTATCGGTCCCCCATCAGTACTACAAAAGACTATACTCGTGCTCGACATCCACCAACCTCACAGTGTGTACATGCGGCCCTTCCCCAGCTTCCCCGGAGTCCGGCCACCGAAGATACCCGCGATCAGCCGGCCGAACCGCCGAACAATGACGTGCGATCCACCAAATCGAAGATAAAAGACGGCCGGCTGACGTTTAGCCGCGTTTCGGTGCGAGTCTATCATCGGAGCCAGTCCGGTTATGGTCGGTCTCGGATATTTGATAAGCGGTTTCTCGAGGCTTTATCAGGATTGCTCCAAGACAGCTTTCTACTTCTTTCGTCTGGCTCATCTTTCCAAATGGAGATGTAGACTAAAGATGATACTCGGACATCGTCCGGCTGGAAAACACCCAACATTGACTCGATGCCTTCAAGGAGACCTCATGACCCATGGATGCTTTTGTGGACGCTTCCAGAGCTGATTAATTTGTTGGTCGGCAGACTAACTATTTCCAGCGAACGGTTGACCTGCAGGTTAAATCTGCATGCACGCTGATCAAGGATAGTCTACAACTCAAGACTTTGCACGAGGACCGTGCTTCCAGTGATGATGGGTGTCGGTGTCGGATATCGTGTACAGGTATAGCTGAAAGGTCTGCCCAGGCAGACCAGAGATCTCGAACGGCAAGTTTTGAACGCGGTCAAATATTCCCAAGGGGAGAAGGTCATTGTGTGAAATCATACCGACTCAGACCCACGACGCATCACTGTTCAAGTGTCCAGTGTCCAGTGTCCAGTGTCTACTTTGTGAAGGGAATAACTACATAGATGTGGTTCTATACGCCATGCGATATCGGTCCGTCCCGTGGAGTTGACCCTCGATGTGCTGTACATATGTGACTCGAGTAAGACATGCAGATATCTATGCCAATATGTATGTAGTCAGACATTGATGAGCCAGTCCTGCGGTGTGTACCGCTAGTATCCGAGCTCTGTTTCACACCTTTCGACGGTAGCCTGTTTTTCCAACTCCCTATGTCCAAGGCCGAGTTCAGTCATGGCCGACAACGGCCCTCATGAGCCCATTGATGGTGGAGTTGCTGATCCATTGTGAAAATGAAAGAGCGTTGGGGCATTTCTGCACGACCGGCACCTGCCCCCCCCCCACTCGAATCCCGGAACTGGGAAACATGGTGATGGAAGGGCCACACATGTGAGCTTCCATAATCAGCACCGACTTGATACGCTCCAGAGGCCGACTCTGCAGAAGTTGGGCTCAGTCTACAGGCTGTCCCTTTCCGGCTGGACCTACTCACTCAAGGCGTGCATGTCACAAGAATAGATGCTAGAAGTTGTGAGACAGTGCCTCAAACAGTCTCGTCGTGGCCGTGCAAGCCCCCATCAAGAATCCACTGCTCGTTATCATCATTATCATCCTGCACACGACGCCAGGTCTGTTTCCGCTCCGCCCGATCGCCCGCCGAGGCTTTTTGGCCCTCCGGAGCGCGCCACACTGGACGCATCAGCCCTCCCGCTGCAAGAAGCGGGTTGTGGCTGAAGGCGTGGCCTCGGGAGGATGATTGCTTCTCGGACTCCGCGGCCTCTTCCGGTTCGGGCTCATCGACGGTCGACGGGTTCTCGATCGGAGCAGACTGATACACCCGGCGTACCTTGCCACCTCTGATATCGAGACTCATCACGGTCTGTTTCTTCTCCCATTCCGGTCGAGCCTTGTCCTCAATTTCTCGCTGGATACGCTGCTGCTTTTTCAGGGCCAAAGCGCGCTGTGCTGGGCTCATCCACAAGGTGGACGCCACATTGGGAGTCTCGAAGTCGGCCGCCTCGTCAACCACTTTGGTTCGACGTGCGTTCTGTGCCTGAAATTGAAGAAGTTTGTCGCGGTGGGCACGCGCGGCGTCGAGCTTGCTGGGTGCGGCGGACCCTGCACCCGTCGGCCGTGGGCCACCATCATGGTGGACACTGTCATTGTGAGCGCGCATTTTCTCCTGTCCTCGCTCGGCACGGAGCTCCTTGATCATGCTTTGAATCTCCTCTTGGGAGAGCAATGGGGTTCCACAAAAAGAGCATGGTTGTAAACCTTCCAATGAACAGATGATTTTACCACAGTTGATACAGTTGGGGGCGGGATCGAACAAAGGATGGATCGTAGCATTGCATGCACATTTGCGTTTCTCGCCTCCCAGAGTAGGATTGGTCGACAACTCCAGCATAGCAATCGCCGACGTGAGGTCGGAGATATTATTCGTAGTGAGAGTGGCGCCTGACTTGCCAGTATTACCACTACCGGAACCACTTGCTGCCCCCACTTGTGTATGTCGCGTTGATTTACTCGGTTTGGATCGTACATTGGGGAGCAGATCGGACAAAACAGGACCGGACGCTGAAGGTGGTGGCTTCGAGGAGACCGAGGGTTTGGCCGGAGACTGAGCTCGAGATGACGATGAGGATGCGGCAGCAGAGCCCAGAGAAGGGAGTGCCGAATGATGCATCGAGGGCTTAGTGGCCGACATGTAGTCCTCATCCTGTCGAGACTTCATGTAGCCACCACCCACGTCGCCATAATTGTCTGGCCGACGTGGAGGACCCGCACTGTGTAGCGGCTTCTTTTCTTTCTTGGATTTGCCCTTTGGTCGTTCTTGAGCTTGTGGATCTCCACCAGACGGCGAGGAGCCTTGCACAGAGACGGTCGGGGCGGGCACATCGGAACGTCGCACATTGAAGGAGGTGATAAAGTCAAGGGCTGCGGGGGAGTCACCCAGGAGGTTCTTCAAGTTTTCGGCGCAGGCGTCTTTGGGCAGTGAAGCGGAATAGTCAATGATCTGCTTGAGCGATTCCTCGTCCAGAGGCATGAGCTGGCTGAGTCGAGGCAGAGCCCAGGTTGAGAGATCAGGCATGGTGCGTGAATGTGTGAGACCTGACCCGACTGGCGTAATTTGACAGGGCGCAATGGGAAGATTGGGAACTTCGTTTGTTGAACCAGGTTGCGGATCCTAGAAATGACGCCGGGCTGCCTTCCCCACATGCGTGATGACATGCCTGTGGCTGATTCCCAAAGTGTACCCCGACTGTCCCTGCGGCCGGCAGCGGACCATGATACATGTATGGATTGACACGCTTTTCCCCTGTTCAGATAGATCTCACGTCGAATACCGAGGCACATGGGCCTCTTTTCGGAGGGAGGAAAATTCTCAGCCTTCAATACCCCGAAGAGTCCACAATAGAGGTTTGGTCTACATTAGGTCGATTCACGGTTGCATAGCAATCAACCCTCTAGTAGTCAGAGATGCATTACGATTGAGCGACATTCCTAGAGATTGAATAGATTAATGACGGACTACCCGTTGCTTTCTCCGAGAGAGCTAGCATCTCAATCTACTATTACCTGGTTGTGCACTAAGACCACTAGAGAATAAACAGCGAATGTTTCGAATCTGGATCATGCGATCAGTACTTTCTCTGTTGTGAACCGTCCTTTGTGTCAGGTTCCTCTGTACGCTCCGAAGTGGACAACCTAGGAGGATGCGTTCAACGCGAAAGCTGGGCACGCAGAACGACGAGCCTCGGAAACTCCCTATCGAACTGTAAAGAGACGCGCTCGTCCATCAGTGATTACATGAATTGGGCAAAACAAAATTGCCGTGGCGCGGCTCCAAGGTGATGGTATGAAATAATGTACAATTCTTCTGAGTCCTCATCACCGTCGTCATCTATGCAAGAAATGCTGGAATGGGAACATACCAGAACCCAGATACGCCCAAATGGAAAAAGACACCCGGACACCCCAAGACCTCAAGTGAACGCCGGGCACACCATTCCGAGAAAAAGGGGGAACGACAAAGGAAAGAAAGAAGGAAGACGCAGAGGGGGGGGGGAGAGAGGGAGAGGGAGAGGGAGAAAGAGAGGCAGAGGGAGAAGGAGAGAGAGAAGTAAGAGAATGAGGAGGAGAATCATCAACCGCCTGCCGAGGCTTAGCTGACCCAAGGCTGAGACCAGGATGCCACATCTATTCGGCATTCTCACTTTTGACGTCCTCGTCATGGTCTTCGACCGTAAAGGAGTTCTTCAGCTTGCTTGGACCTGGCTTCGTCTTGGATGCCTTTTTAGAGAGTGTGGTCTTCTTCTTTTTGGTGGGACTAGGGCTGCCATCGTCGTCCTCATGTGCACGCTTGGAAGATGAGCCAGTCGGGCTGCTGGCATTGCTTCCAACACCGTCAACGGGGGTCTTGTTTCGTGTGCTGCTGTGGCGCCCACCAAGGTTCATGCAGCGATCCAGGTGCTGCGCGACTCGGTTCATCACAAAGTATCGAGGGCAGATCGGGCACTTGCTGGTGGGAATTTCAGGGATGGTACTATCTTTGTCCGACTTCTTCTTTTTGGGATTGGGCATGACAGCAAACATCTTTCCATGCACATCATGACCGGGCAAGGTGATGAGCGGTCCATTCTGACAGTACTCCGCATTCGGATCCGGTGGAGGACGATAGCCCACGCCGATGGGCGGATATTCAAGGCGTGGCAGACGGCAATCAGGGCAGATGATCTCCTTTACCGTTTGCAACGGATTCCCTTTCAGGTAGACCTTTCCACGATCGAAAGTGGCCGCCTCCGTCTCCAGGTGTGTGGTGGCCAGCTTCGCCGCATCGATCATCACTTCCTTGGACTTTCCATCAGCTGGCACTGACTTGCTGGGCGCCTCATCCGGAACAGTAGCTTCTTCCTCCGCTTTTTGACGAGCAACGACCACAGCGGAGCGCATGCGAGCCACTTTTTCCTGGCGATGGACCTTTGCGACCAGATCGTGGATGATGTTGTGGAAGGTTTCATTCAGGATGTCCGTGGACTAGATTCAAGACCATGTCAGAATTGTGTGCTTGCTCCAGATACCTCCATCTGTCTCCCATGGAGTTTAACGATTGCGGGGTTCGTCGAAGATCTCATGCTGCATCACCTACCACTTTTGCAACCGTTCCAGCAGGGTAAGTCGGCCTGCGGCTCGCAGAGCTGGATTCGGCCATGATTGAAACACAAGTATTCGCAAAGTAGACTGTAGAAAGTGTAAATGTTTTTGATTCGCCTCGAAGAAGCACCGAGAAGCTCCAGGCTGAATGTGCTGGCGACACACTTCGAAACCACTTGTTGCGCCTCGGTTCACAGGTCTACTTCTCCATGCGCCGGAAGCAGGAACTCAAGTGACGACGGGTCGAAGAGGGTGAAGAAAAGAGAACACGTCGGAGAATTTCCGAAATGTGGTGAGAATATCAAGCATATGTAGTGTGGGAGACAGAAATAAATAAGAAGATACAGGCAACAGGCTGTTGTCGCGGTGGGTGTTCGTGCGGATCACCCTAGCGTCACCACAGTTGCGTTAGTTGGTGCCGTAAAGGTCGTCGGAGGTTGCTGGGAGGTATATGGGGCTGCGCTCCGCCTTTGAGGAAGGCTGCGACGGGGGAGACGGTCAAGCAAACAATGCGACTTGTGGTCACACATGCGATGCAGCCTAATATCCAAGGGTCCACCATGCGTCTGGAGAACTGTTTGACACTCACCGATTGAAGAGCCCACAAGCTGGAGACAGCGGAGGGAGATGGGGACGGAACTGTCATGATGAGGCTGGGCGCAGGGTGACAGTTTCTCACCGGTGCTTATCTTATCGCCATCTCCGCATACAAATCAGCCCGCACGCGGCGAGTTGCTTGCACTCTCCGGCCTCGGGGACTGTTGTTTACAAGTACTTTCAAGGCACCAACCTGTTCGCTCTTTACTGCCACTCAGATGGCATACCAGCTATACTCCAGAGGCTCAGTACGGTCGGCAACCCCACAGATATCATCGCCTTTGCCCCCGACGACAAGGCAGCCGCAGCCACCGATTCATCCAGTGCCCCCGCAACTGCCGCGGTCTGCTGCGACAAGCCCTCGCGCAACCGCAGCCGCAACCACAACCGCTCAGAGTCAGGAAAGTTTGGCGCCATATCGAGGAGACTTTTCGACGAGCCATTCGACTCCACATCCGCACATCACCGTTGAGAGTGTCCGGACGGTGCATATACCATCGTTGACGCGGATCACAAGCTTGCTGTTGCCTATTCGCTATCCAAATTCCTTCTATACCAACATCATCACGGACCCTGTTGTCGCGTCACTGTCACGCGTCGCAGTTTACCATGACCACCCAGTTGCCGCTGTGCCCAAATCAAGTGGTTCTTCTGGATCAGAAAAGGTCATCGGGGGCATACGTTGTCGCCTAGAGCAGCAGGACAGTAACTACCAAATCCAAGGTCGCGTTGCAACGAACCTATATATCCAGACCCTCCATCTGCTTTCACCTTACCGGGGCCATGGCGTCGCAGCGTCGCTGTTGGACTCACTCCTATATGCTCCGTCGGACGACGTTGGGAGGAAGCACAAGGTCTCTCATATTGTGAAGCATTATAATATACGGTCTGTGACTGCGCATGTTCACGAAGCAAACGAGGATGGGTTGCGATGGTATGTTGCTCGTGGATTCAAGGTGCAAGATGGAATTGTCGAGGGCTATTATCGACGACTACAGCCATCAGGCGCAAAGATTGTTCGCCTGGATGTGCAGTGGGACGATCAAGCCGAAGACCATGATCAATTTTGTGAGGCACATGTTGCTCAAGAAGAATCTCCAAACACTACATCAAGTGATGCTGAAGATGAGGGATGGGAGAAGGTAGAGGCTGACCATGACGATGACAATCACGGGGTCCAGCCGTTGGATGAATCCCGTGTCCTCGATCGAACTGACTCGACTCTATCTCGGAAGCGCAAGGCCGAGGAGGAGAGTGCCCACCTGCCTCAGCGGAAGTAATGATTGCATTAGTTTCCTTTCCCTCCCAGCGTTCTACATTTTTGAAGCCAACTGTCACTATATTCCCCCTTTTCATTCTTAATACCCATCCATGCCGGAAAGTATCATCTTTTGAGCCATTGACAACTTCATACTGAAGTTGTAAGCATTCTTCTTACGCTACAACGAGACACTTTCATTACATATGCATTTCTATTATCTGTGACATCATGATATGATTACTATGTCAAGAGGAACTACCCTCATTTGCTGGTAATAAGTAACCCGTTGAGGTGTGCAGCGAAGGATTTCATTGAGTAGAGATTGAACCTGTCATCGACTGAATGAAGGATCACTCTCGTGATGAGAACAAGTCTCTGGTTTTTGGCGGAACAGCAGGTGTTGGCTTTCGATGAACGAACTCATCAAACGTTGTAGTTCTCTGTATGCAGGAAGATCTCATCTTGCGAGGAGTCATTTATCACCTGCAGCTGAAGTCCGGCAACGGTACTTGCCACTTCGGTTCGCATGCTAGGAGGCCCACACACAAACACACAAGCACGCCTACCAAAGGTCCCAGAGGCTTCCATGAGCATCTTCGCAATGTCGGGACGGTAATAGTCGGCGCGCCAGTTCTCCCGTTGTAATCCAGGCGTAAAGTGGACAGCATTCTTGTCAGGCTGATGTTGGAAGTCATCGGCAACACAAGGTCTGGTGTGTGCGCGAGGCAGGGTAGTAAGTCCACCTTGCCTTGCGTCGTGAGAGGTAGGATATTCGCTTTGAACTGGGTCCTCGGCTTTCTCAGTGACATTATTCGAAGAGCTATTGCCAGTGGCTTGCAGCATATCACGAGTCCTCGTTTGCGCGGCATTTCGATCTCCATGTACGTCCCTCACCCCGGTCAAGAAGAGGTGACATTGAAGAATCCCAGCGGGAGCGTGATCCCTGCAGATGCGAAGTTCTCGCTGGAACCATTCCATCGTTTCAGGCCCTTTCAGAGCCCAGATCACTCTGACCGAACGGGTGATAGCCTTCCCATCACGAATCTTCTTGATCAGATTCAGAAGCTGACTGATAATCGCCGTAATTCCACTCCCGCCCGCGATGAAGACGACACTGTCAAACGCGGCCATCTCACGTTGCATGCCTCCGTATGGTCCTTCCAGCAACGCTGAATAAGTATGGAGAGGGCCATTTATTAGTGCTTGATGGGCAAGCCGCCGCGTGAAACCCCCCATAGGTCGAAAGACCAGAGTGCAGTCCCGATAGTCTTCGCCATATCCAGAGGGAAAGTCATCGCTGCACAAGGACGCAATGGTGAATGGATGACTCTGAAGGAGAGCGACACTCGGCACGCTGAGATAAACATATTGACCGGGTCGCCAGCGCATGCGCGTCGGTACAGTCACCTTCACAGCGCCTTGAGGAAGCAGAGTCACAGTGCACTCTTCCCCAACCATGAAAGACTCGAACCGAATTGGGTTCAACCAATTTGAATGGAAAGTCCTGAGGACGTAGGTGGCAATCCAGATAGCGACCGTGGCCCACAGATATCCCCATGAGAACAGAAAGTTCTTGCTGTGCCAGAACAGCATGGCCACAAAGATCCACGAGAGGGGGATATGAACTATCAGGAAAAGTTCGTACGCATGTCGTCTCAAAATTGGGAGCGAGTGAATGCACAGCACCAACAGAGGAACAAGAGCCGCTAAGCCGGTCCCGTAGACATAGATTGGGATCGTGATGAACTTCCGATAGTTGATCAAAGCCCCGTTCTCCCAAATTGGAGTTATATAAAATGGTATGGTATGCACAAGACACAGGAAAAGACAAATGTACGCGGACCAACGGTGAAGCCCATTCAAGCGCTCAGGGCTGACACCTGTGAGCAAGGAGATCAAGTTGGCCTTGATACCCAAAGCAACAGTCCAGGGAACGATGGCTATGGCGAGCATGCCGGCCCGGATGGCCAAGGGAGGTGATCCGAGGGCGATTGACGAGTAGTATAAAGGCTGAGGAAGGAAACAGAAGCAGGTCACGAAGACTAGAGCTGCCAGCACAATCGCCGTTACTGCTAGTGACGGAAAGACGATGCAGAATGTCCCAATCTTGAGAACGGGCACGGGTCGATAGAATATCCAGCGCATCAAGGAAATGACTTCTTGCAAAGGCAGGAACCTACTGAACCAAGATGCTTCCCGCTTGGTATGTGAAACAAGCCGCGTCTTCGGAAATATATGAGCAGTCGAAGCTTCTGTACTGGCGCTGGTCGTGACATGATCCGCGCCACTCGAAACGCACAGATCAGAGCTGTCAAAGAAGACAGGCTGGCGTTCCTTGTACTTGGCGATACGGATCTTGTCTCCCCAGATGTGATAAAATCGGACCAGCAATGTAAATGCAAGCAGCACAAGAGAGAAGTACACAAAAGCATGCCCATACTTTGCGGATTGCGACCATGGATCACGTTTTGTTTCCGCAATCTCCTCGGGCGTATTTGATGCCGTGATAACGACATTGACGCGCTTCCAGATCAACTTGTGGAAGACCATCTTGGGTGCCGATACGAGAATAGCAGTAGGAGTATCTGGAGAATGACCTGCGCGATTTCATGCGAGTGACTCGGAATCAATTCACCAGTTCGCTTTTGCTCATCGTCAGCTTCAGTCAGGGAGTTATACCTTATTTCCAAGAAAGCACGTGCACTTACTCGAGTCCATTCCACTGCTGAATTGAATCGAGAAAGATTCCGCTTATCTCTGAATCAACAATCGTGAAGGTGGACTCTTTCTCAATGCCACAGGTGATTTCGTGGAAGGACCTTCGGCAATTGGAAGACCATGCGGTCAAAGTGGCTTCATATGTCAACTCAAGTTGTAAATCATCACTCGCATGAGCCCAACATCTAACAATTCGATTTGATCCATAAAGTGGAGGGCACTGAGCAGCCATGTACCAATGAGTCACGAGTGCCGTGTGATACGACTCGTTAGACTGCATATACAAGCCCCAGATTCCTACCTCCGACCTCAATTCCTCAAGAGCTGTCGGGTTCACGGCAAGCTTTTGCGATATTGGAGCGAGAGCCGTTTGTTCCGCGATTTCCCCGCGACGGGACTTTTTCGGCTTCTTGAACAAGCATGAAGAAGACCAGTCCATGATGCTTGAGTATCATTGTGTCTGGCCACAATTGGTTAGCAAGGTGATTCCGAGTGATATGTCTGCATTAGCGCGCGACGGGAGCAGGCACGGGAGGCTGGACGAGCTGAGCGAATGCGAAGGATGAGGTGATGACTGTGACTCGCCCTCAATGGAGTCTGGTGCCGTTGCCCTGACCAAGCAGATCTATTCTATCAAGTCGGTTGCTGCTGGTGGGCAATATACTTGATCGAACTTCTATGAGACCTCTTTCGAGAAAGTCTAGTCAACAGGAATGTTTCCTGAGTAGAAAGATCGGGGTTGAAGCATGTGTACGGGAGGGAGGTCTAGAATTCTGGGAGGGCGGCATAGTAGATAAATTGCGATGAGAACGCCTGTTAAATGCTCTACGTAGCTCATAGCAAGAAGATTATGAGGTCGGTTAGGAGGAAAGCTAAGCTCATTGGAGCATGCTACTTCTCTGGAAGACACTTATATCCATCGGGGTTGGTGTTGGTCGTTGCACAGCAACTTTGCTTCTGATTTGGGACTCTGGAGTCTGGACGCATGTGGGAGTGACGGCCTGAGGTGACAACAGAGACCGCCTTTGATTCAGCACGAATTCTGCCGGCGGACGCTCGCTTTTTCATCCGCGCCAAGTTGCAAGTCGAAGAAGCTTCAAGTGCTTTGAAAAGCTTCCATCAACTCAAATGACGATGGTGACCTCGGCAGCTGCACCTGCGCCTTCTAGCCGACCTGCGCTATCTTTGCCCCCCTCTCAATTCGCGCGCCTCCAGCCTCACGCCTACCTACTTGCCCATCTCTCTCCGCCATCAACGAACAATCAACCCTCCATCCGCGCCAATGGCCGCGCTCCTACGCAATTCCGAGTGACATCAGCCAATGCAGGCTCTCTGACACACACCAATGGCAGTGCCGTAGTGCGAATTGGTGATACCGCGGCTGTTTGTGGAGTCCGTGCGGAACTTTTGCATACCGAAGATATCGCCTCGTGGAGCGTGTCGCAAGCGACTAGCTCGAACAAGTCCCCGCGCTCAGTGGATCAGACCGAGGAGTTGGGTGAGCAGGATGACAACGAGACCATTGAGCGAGAACGAGCTCACATCGAAGATCTCAATTTACTTGTTCCCAATCTTTCATTGAGTACAGGTTGCGCACCAGGGTTTATCCCGGGTTCAGCACCGTCATCGCTCGCACAGTCTCTCTCTCATCAGATTCTTTCCCTCCTACATAGCACTCGCCTCGTTCGCGCCGATGACCTCCGCATATGGTATCAGCCGCCTTCAATGGGACCGGAGGAGTTGGAACGACACAATGAGGAGGAGCAGATGGACGTGGACACGGCCCAGAATGACCCCGTTGAAGAGAGCCCACGGGAAATCAAAGCTTTCTGGGTGCTCTATATTGACATCATGATAATTTCTCTTGCCGGCAACGCCTTCGATGCTGCTTGGGCGGCTGTTCTCGCTGCTCTCCGAGATACGAAACTTCCGAAGGCTTGGTGGGATGTTGATAACGAGACCGTGGTATGCTCGGACAGCATCTCCGACGCTCGCAAACTTTCTCTTCGAGGTCTGCCAGTGGCCAGCTCATTCGCTGTATTTGAAGCAGATGCTGCTGCAGGGTGGCGGGCAGTCGTGATTCCAGAAGCGGCAGAGATGAAGGCGCAAAGGCTCGCAAGGAAAGGCGGCGTGTCAGAGAGATGGCTTTTGGCAGATCCGGATGGCTATGAGGAAGGTCTCACTCAGGAGCGAGCATGTGTTGTCGTTGACAAGGACACTGATGGAAAGGTCATCATCTTGGAGATGGAAAAGAATGGGGGATGGACGATCGACACGGAAGATCTGCAACAGCTGGTCGACCTCTCTTCACAGCGGTGGGAAGATATGAAGAGGATACTCGACGAGTGTTGAACATTATCTACATATTTTACGAGAAAGGCCGGCATGAAAGATACCACTACTGAAATGGACACAAAAGCATTGACACCAATGAAACCTGCATGCCATCATACACACCATTCACGTAGATCCTTGTCTATGGCAAATTCTGGCAACATTGGTCGGAGACGTGTATGATTTTCAATATTTGATATTCCCCGCATTAACCTAAACGTGTTGAGTTTCAACGTGCGACTGGCTTTCTGGGAGTCCCGCGTCTTCTTTTCAGTGGAGGCTCATCAAGTTGCTCGCCGGCTTCAGAAATGGCCACCACCGGATCAGCTTCTTCTTCCTGAGCTCCCCCTTTTTTCCCTCTGGTTTCTCTGGGAAAGAGATTGAGAATGAAACCAAGTCCTGCTGTTCTTTGGACTTTGCGTCTTTTGTCAGATGGCTGTCTGATACCGGGTTCGCAGACAATGTTCCTTCACTACTCGCCTCACGCTTCTTTTCCTTCGCCATCATTGATTCATCGTTTTTCGAACTTATTGCAAGATGACTCACGTCACCCGAAAAGATTCTCGAGATCAGTCCCTTCTGCTCGCCGAGCTTGGAAAGATCGCTTCCAGCTTTCGCGGCATCTTCTTCTTTGCTCTGATTTTCAGCATCAGGGTCTTCGTCTGCCTCGGTATCTGAAAAGTTCCACATAATGCTGGTCTCCCCGCGGAAGAAAGCGGTTCCCCACAGGGAAATGAGTACACCGGGAACAAGATAGAGCAGAGCAGGCTGTGCGTGATTTGAGTATTGCATGGCAAGCAAGGTTGTGACCATTCCAATTATGTATCCGATGACACTCGCCTTGAAGTAGACTTTGGGGAAAGATCGCGCGTCTGAATACGGTGGGGTAAGCTCAGGCGTCTGCGGCTTGGCAGCTGAAGCCCAAAATCGTTCTCCCCAAGCTCCGGTGGCGCGCTGATATTGAGGCTTGACAGATTCATCTGCCAGTCCTTGCAGATGTGCTGATTCGATGCCTTTTCGGTAGTAGTAAAGGAAGAGATCGAACCGTAATGCCAGCCCAATCATCATGCCGGGTACAACAATATCCCCCAAACCAAGCATGGCCAAAGATTGAACGTTTGATTCATCGCCAGGACTTGGTGGTCTTGGGAAAAGCAATTTGATAGGAACATCCAGCTTGGTAGCCACAGTTACCATCATGGGGGTGAAAAAGACAAAGTAGATGTCGTAAAAGAACAACGAACTCAAGATCAGGGACCCGGTCCAGAAGGTGGAAGGAGACATGAACTGCAAGGTCCCATAGCTGAAGCTGAATCCCAGGAAGTTGGTCAGCCACCACGGCTTCTGAACAAACGCAAAGTAGCCAACAGCGACAAAGGCGAAGATTGCACTGAGAAGGTCGAGAAGACCAACTAGGATCTTGACGTTCAGAATACCTCGAACGTGAGCTCGTACTTGTAGGCGTTGGTAACAGACATTCCGAGTAGTCCACAGCAAGGACATCACTGGCCGTGGAAGTGGGATTGCACCAAAGATGCCAGGAAGAGGAGACTGGCGCACCGCTTGTGTCGTGTCGGCCCCATTCGTCGATCGAGCAATGAAGATTTGCCGAGACTGACTGACAACCCACAACTTGCCTGCAGACTTGTAGCGACGGGGAAGCATGAAGGAGCGAGACATCATCAAGAAGTCTTTCAAGAAAGCGACAGCAAAGAACACCCCCATTCCCGAGAAATAGAAGCTTAGGATCTTGTTCAAGATTGCAGGGTCCTCCAGCCACTTGATCACAAGATAAAGACCTCCTAGGGTTAGGCCTGCAGTGACTGGGAAAATCAGAGCATCGGATGGCTCGAGCCCTTCCATTTTTTGATCGGGGCCTGATTCATCATCCGAGTCATCAGAGGCAGTCTGAATATCCTCAAAGTCTTTCTTCTCAAGCGCTTTAGCGGCAGATGAAGGTCGAGAAAGGGATGCATGAGCCCCAATCCAGATTGGAAACAAAGCCGCCACGATAAGATGTCCGTATGTCGGAAGCAAAGGCTGAAGGCGTTCAAAATGGTAGATCGCTTGCCCAAGCAGCTCTGCAACTGGGCTTATGTCTTCATCCATTTTTGCTCCCGGCGAAATGACCGCCCCGATTGAATATGAGAGTCAGATATATACCAAGGGAAGAGAGAGTTACAAATCAGAGTTTGTAAATTTGGCTTGAACGAGTGGCTTAGTCCATCTTGATCGGGACGCGCTTAACAGAGTGTTGATGAAGTTTAATTGAGCCGAAGGTAGGTCATGTAACACGCCGAGCCAAGTTCTCCACCCGCAGGCTCACAGCTCCTCCGCCGGACCGCTTTCCATCTACGCTTTCTTCTCAACTAGTGCCAAGTGGGATTGCTGCACCACTGTTGCTCCAGTCACAGCAAACTTCGCATTTCACGGTACAATATGGCAACTGACGTGGTATTTGACACTTCAATGGTACCCTTATCGAGATCCCTAAATGTCGCGCTATCGCACAACTAACACTGCTACAGGGCTCATTCACGGTCGAGCTCTACAACAGTCATGCGCCCAAGGTTCGTAAGAAGATCAACTCGTCCGAAGAGAAACCAGTTCTGACAGTGCTATTTCAAGACATGCAAGAACTTTGCGACCCTCGCTCAGCGCGGTTACTATAACGACGTGATTTTCCATCGTATCATTCCCAACTTCATGGTCCAAACCGGGGATCCCACAGGCACCGGGCGCGGAGGCAGCTCAATCTACGGTGAAAAGTTTGAAGACGAGATTCGCAACGATCTAAAACACACTGGCGCCGGGGTCTTGAGCATGGCGAACAGCGGACCAAATACAAATGGTAGCCAGTTTTTTATCACACTCGCGCCTACACCATGGCTGGATGGGAAACACACAATTTTCGGCCGCGTGAAGAGTGGGATGCGAGTCATACAGCGCATGGGTTTGGTCAAGACCAAAGGAGAAGATCGACCAGTGGACGATGTCAAAATCATTCGAGCTCGTGTGGTGGAAGAAGGGTCAGAACCATGAACAATGGACTACCCACCCTCAGGACCATGAGCATGCCCGAGGAATCAGTCTTCGCCTCTCAAAGCCTGGGTCGCGAGTCCATCTCAGTCTGCAAGTTTAAAAGACACCTGCTTCACTGAGCAGCCACGGGGTGTTCGAGCCCTATGTTGGCGCCGATTACGATGCCTTCTCAACCCCATAATGGCTGAGACCGGGCTTTGAGCCCCATCTACGAGCAATCCAGAAATGATAATGGGAATGCTGTGGTGCGCTTGCGCCATTGTAGCAAATGATGATTGAATGAATGTGTCACTACAAAACGAACCGCTTCTGTCACATGTTTCCATCCAGAGCAGCAGATACAGAGTGAAGTCTCCTCTACCACTCCCATGACAAGAACCAGTGAAGGTCATTTGTCAAAAAGTCCGGATTGTCATTACATGGCAGCCGGACTGTGCTAAGCACCGAGAGTGGCATAGGAGAGAAGAAAAGGGAGGCACGAGGAATTTCCATTTAAAGTGTGTTCGTGCGGCTGTGCTGAGGTAATACAGCTCCCGCAGGGGCCGCTGCGAACTGTAGGAAATTAGGAATAGGTGCCCGCTCGCCAGCCGGGAACAATCACGTGGTTTTCTTTTCCTGCCTTTCTGCCGTAGTAGTATGAGATGGATGTGTTTCGTCGAATCTGATTATCATTAAATAAGCACGCTATATTTAACAATGCCAGTCTCAGGACTCTGGGCATTCTTTTGAATGATGCTGCTCACCGAGAAATAGTTGTTTGAACAGGTGTATCTCTTTGGAGAGAGTGGCTTCAAGGGCAGCAGGGCACGAAAGCCCTGACCGCTTTCCCGCACTAAACCCGGAGCTCTCAAACGTGCGGGTTTTTTTTCTTCTTCTTTCCGTCCATCCCGCAGAGTTACCAAAACACACAGGACGTGGCAGCAGCGCACTGTTCACGACTCTGGTACTCGGACATGTGGCAGACACAGTAGATTTACCATTCAGGATTTTGAGAATGCCTCCTGCGACTCACTCTTTTTAGTACCGCTCACGCACTTACAAAGCACAGCTCATAGCTCGGGTCTTATCGCTACCAGCAATGGAGTCCTTGTCAGAGCAGCCTTGGGATGTAATCGTCGCAGGCACAGGCTTAATCCAGTCTCTCCTGGCGTTGTGAGTGTCTGCCGTGATTCTTCCTCGGCATGGTCACATTGCTCACCCTGTCCATCGTCAGGGCATTGTCGAGATCCGGGAAAAAGGTCCTCCACTTGGATCAAAATTCACATTATGGGGGCTCCGAAGCCGCCTTCAGTCTGGACGAAGCTGCCGAATGGGTTCAGCAAATCAATCAACGTGGGTGGCGACCGCTCGGAGGGCTCCTCGTCCCAGCGCCTGGCTGATATTTCTCAATTGGCAGATCCATCCCGGACTCCATTTGAAGATGCCACGATCCAGGTCCTTCGACCTGATTCAGACAATCAAGCAAAATTGGCTGCGAGTCGTGCCTACACTCTGTCATTGTCACCATACTTTCTGTATACTCGGTCAGAACTGATTTCGGTTCTCATCTCCTCAAAGGTGTACCGTCAGTTAGAGTTCATGGCAGTCGGTAGTTGGTGGGTCTGTTCATCAAAGGAACCTGACAATCAAGGTCATGACGGTGAAGCGAAGCAACTCTTCCATCGTGTGCCAGGCAATCGGGAGGACATATTCTCTGATGGCCAAATCAGCATGAAGGCAAAGCGAACGCTTATGCGTTTTCTGCGACATATCAGCACAAACGGAGATGATGAAGAGCAGAATGAATTGACAGATGACAATATGTCGGAGCCATTCACGAATTATTTGTCCACCAAATTTGGTGTCCCGGCTGAGCTGCACAGGCCTCTGCTCTCCCTGTCGTTGTCTCAACTCAATGAACAACAGACATCGGCTAGCTTCGCAGTTGCTCGTGTGAAGAGACATCTCGCTTCCATCGGCGCTTTGGGGCCCGGTTTTGGCGCAGTTGTGTCTAAATATGGGGCTGGTTCTGAGATCTTGCAAGTTGCATGCAGAGCGTCCGCCGTGGGAGGAGCTGTATATGCTCTCGACACGGCAATTGAGTCATTGGCAGACGATGTAGGAGACGAAGTGACTTCGGACTCCAAGTATCCTGTCAAGGTGCGCCTCTCAAACGGGGAGACGGTCAGCAGTGGCTTGGTCTTCGGTTCCGCATGGGATGTTCCGAGTGAGGAGCAGCCGAATTGCACGAAGGTTGCTCGATCCATCACCATTGCATCGTCCAGCTTTGCCTCGCTTTTCCCGGTTACTGTGGAGGGTGCACCGGTACCCGCCAGTGTGGTGCTGATGTTCCCGGGAGATACACTGGACAGTCCCTCGTCCCCACCAGTCTACCTCCAGGTTCACTCGAGTGACACAGGCGACTGTCCACGACAACAGAGTAAGTCTCTCCTTGGTCTTTTTCGGCCCTTGTTGCATGCTCTCCACCCACTCGTATGATGATCACATTTTACTTATCTACATTGCCTGATTGCTTTGATGAATCCTAATCTATCATTCCCTGATTACGAGTCTTTGTCTCCTTTTGTGAACGTGCTGGCATTGGTCAAGTTCTATGTGCTAATGCTCGCTCTCACAGGTGTCATCTATGGCAGTATTTCAATTGCCGGATCCGAAGGTCAAGCTTTGCTAGAGCGTGCTGTGGACCGACTCCTCCAGGCTGAAGGTCCTGAGGCCTCTGCTCTGTGGTCCCTGCGATACACTCAGCTTGGTCGTCTGGCCAATGGGGGACCGGCGTGTAGTCTTCATTCGCATTCCTCTCATGTGTTCAGCTTCCCCCCTCCCAGTCTTGATCTGGCGTTTGAGGACCAGACAGTTGATCTAGTCAAGGAAGCGTGGGTACATGTTGTCGGAAGCAGTGTTCCTCATGATGAATTTATGATCTTTGAGGACCGCGAGGGCACGTCGGATGAATGAATCTAAAGCTGTATCATCTAGGCATACCATTAATGCAGCACATCAACATCGAACATGTACAAGTGTACTTCATCTAGGCTGTTTATTCATAATGTGGCTCAGGCATCGAGGCTTTTACTTGAGACCGCGGACGCCATCGGTAGCATTGTGGACACTTCTGTCTCCGACTTCCTGCCAGTGATTGTAGACTATTCATCTATGCTTTCGGGCCCGCTGAATGCACGGCGGGTTGGTGGGAGCGTCACAAGATAGTTGGAAACTTGCTGTTGATTGTTCGTTAGAACTGTGCCATTGAGCCATGTCAACTCAGTGATTTGATTTGTTGTCTTGTCCATCGATGCACATTGATCAGGGGTTCCGAGTCCTGCTTCGAGCGGAATCCAGATGATCGAAGAGGTTCCATAGTTTTGACCACATGTTCGGAAAGTTTCATCATCACACACACAGACGTTGGTCTATTCGGCCGGAAGCCCTCCTAACGTATGTACGAATATTCCGGTGCAAACTCCCAGCTCTGGATCATATGAGGTGCAAGCATGTTTGACTGATCAGAACCGTACAAGAAGGAACCTATCGATTGACTCGAAGCAAGTTAACATCGCTTCCTTCCATAAAGGCTCCCCTGAGTGCCATTCCTCACTACATCTGGTAGCTCAATGTGATGTTGTCGGCACGAACCGTCCAATGAGAGGCAGTAGATGATAGCAATCTGATACAGTAAACCTACAGTATGTGATGTCTGCATGAAACCAGCTCATGCTTCGCTCAGATCAATCAGGCAGGCTGCGGTCGAGGCTCAACACGGCGACTATGCACGTGCTTGCAAACACATTTTGCGTGTAACTCTATGCCAGCTTAGCAGATAACATTGACGCGCGCCATCTGGAGCTTTCCAAGTTCTTGAACATCGGCACGCATGTGCCCACGAATCGAATGGTACACTAGGGCGGGTGGCAGGAGTCCACGGAAAGATGGCGTGGCCTATCCACAGGGGCCCCAATCCTATCAGGCTGGACGATCAATCAATGGGACCGAAAGAATGTTTCTGAAGTTCTGAAGATCGCAGTTTCATAAGTGCAGGGCGGGCGGGTCAGGAGCGAGAAAAGGACACGCGTAAAGTGGAGCCGGTGGTGGCTATCACTTCGCCTGTGCACTGGGAGGCAAGTCGATCTACACCTGCCACCTGCCACCGAAGTACTGTATTACCGTAAAGAAACCTACTGTAAATCAAGAGGCGTCATGAATAGGTCATTCCATGTAAGGGCCAGAGTCCCCTATAATATCAAGTTAGACTGGAAGCGTTGAAAGGTTCACTTATAGTGGAAATGAATGATGCGACCCCTCTAGGAAGTGTATTCTTCTGGCTTCCAATGTGCCATGAGGTGTTTGCATAATTATCAAACAGCGCGAACTATTCTATTTCTGTGTTGTTGAAGACCCAGAACCCTGGGCGGATCCAGCCATGGTCGGAGACCCCGGGAGATGATCAATATGTGCCACTGTGTAAACCTTGACGTTTTCTAGGCCTCAAGTCACACTTGCATAACACGTTTGATTCCTGACAGACTCTATCTGGAAATTATCTCCTCGAAACAATAGCCCCGGTGGTAGAACATTGTTGTATGACAGTCAATGGTTGGGGAATTATTGATCACAACGACACTATAATTGTCATACAGTTCGTTTGGTCTGCACTCTGCACCATGCACCAATATAGTAGACACTAGACACCATAGTACTATACGGGGATGCACTACCTTATGCATCGCAGGAGGCCTTCAATTATCCAAAACGGTCGGATATGAATCCACTTTTATGCGTCAGTGCCAAAGTGGTAGCCCACCCTTTTGAAACAAGGCTGTCCATTAGACTGGAGGTGGAATAATCAATGATAATGACCTCCTCGACGGTGTCCATTGAGTGCTGTGTTTGGTTGGATTGTTCACTGTCGGAAGGTACAGGTCATTCATGGTATGTATACAATACATATGAAAGTCACACATCGTAGGAATCTGACCGTGAATGTTCCTCTTGGGCGCCACTGTGATTAATTTCCATGTGGATTGTAATCCACGGACGCGGAGCTTGCCAGTTGTAAATGGGCATGGAATTACTATGTGTAGGTTGGTAGTAGGTAAAGGTGATCATTCTACTGTGTTTGCGCCAGGCAAAAAAACTTGGAAGGTTGACCTGGGCTAACTAGGCTCCGGTCAGGACCTATACAGATGCTAATTGGAAGTCAGCTCAAATGTCACTTATCTAGGTAGGATATTCAACTTCCGGTGGGACCTTATAGTGTGCTCGAAGGGGTTTATACTTTGTAGCATACATCCCATGGAGATTTAGACCTATTAATACTATCTATTGATAAGCACTTTAAATACATCGAAGACTACTACCATGAAGACGTCACATTTAGACAACCTAGGGTCAACGCTTTCTCATATGAACTTTAAATCCCTTAGAATAAATCAACCTACTAAGCCACCATACATTAGTAAACTACCTAGGTAATATCCACGTAGCCTATACACCTAAATACATAGTGCTGAGCGTAGTAGGTACACGACTGCACACACGTACACACTTGTGTCTAATATATTGGCTGACGGCGATCGGGTAATCAGTCGCTTGCTTGGGAGTAATTATAGCTCGGGAAGTTTACCTGCCTTAGGATCGACATGTTAGTATGGACTGTGGAGTATGGATATAGGTACTATCCACGAACTCTGCCGTCATTCTTACTTATCCGATTATCTGTAACCTAAGTACATGGGTAGAATCATTAGGTCAGTGGTCATAGGACTACAGTACGTGCCTACGTGGTACGTAGCTACGTACAACATATCAGCTCTGAACTAACCAGTTACCGTCACATTCCGGAACTACAGCATTTTAACAGATCGCTCTCAGATATACACATCTACCTACAGACACTGAATGTCGTCTAATGTTTCTAGTATGACAGGCATACTGCTCACTACAGGTACTCAGCTACTACCTATACAACACTGCCCGTTACACCATAACTAGCTGGAAAGCGTACTCAGGTACCCAGCTGGCCCTGGAGTAAAAAAAAAAAGTCTAAACCACGTCGACTCCAGAAGACGGGAAAAGGGTCCACAACATGATGACGACTCAAGTACCAGTCTGTAATTTACCGCCTCAAAACACGATGACCCTGCGAGAAGTGTAGAACCACAAGGTTGACTGAGGAATCACCCTTGCAGGGCGTCACGTATCATACACCGTCACGACTTGCAAGCCAACCCCTCTGATCATCACCACTCGGTCCTTTCCTCCGCTGTGCTCCACGATGCCCTTCGACTCTCTGGCGTTGTCGGCTTCCCCTTTTCCAGTCGTTTGATCTTCGTCTGGTCCTTTTTTCTTGACATCCTCTCCTCCTTCTTGTCGTCAACCCTCAGCCTCTCTGTGAACTCAACCCTCGTCAGCATTGAATTGAGTCAACGTCCTGGGCTCCCTGTCCAGCCGCGTGAGTTACTCGTCTGCTCGCTCCACTCCTATTATTCTCCGGCACTCTTCCTGTCGCCAACTCCTCAACCACAACCCTCTCGACTCTCGGTCCAGGCACGGACCCCTACACTCTCATTGTTCTTTTCAGTACCTCGATTCTGATAATCTCTGCGCGAGCTCCATTCATTTGTGGCCTCTACACTCTTGTTCTGAACACTCTTGGTTGCCTACCACTGTAGAGAGGCCCCGTTGGATCCCTTTCCTCACGTCTCGGGACTTGCTCCGTTCGCCGCTCGCTCCTTTTTCTCCAGTCGACACAACCGCGAACGCTTGATCTCAATTAGCTGCGCCAATTTACAAGCACCGCAGGAGAGTCCTCAATCGACCATCCACCGTTTGTGCCCTATCGAGAATTGATACGCCAACAAGCTCCATTTGCTGCTTCCCCTGTCTCTCAGATATCGCGCTTTGACATACATGTTGGAAAAACCGGGATCGACAAGTCGTAACACCGCCAGGATGTCTCTTTTTCGACTAAAGACAGTGTTTCCCTTGCTCGCCTTGGTCTCAATCGGATTCTTCTTCTGGTGCATAGAGCGCTATGACCGGTCGGCTTTCCTTCGCTTCAAAAGCCCCGTTGAACATGTCAATGTGGGTGGAAGCCAGACGCAGCTCGGTTCGACAGCCCAGGGCGCTGCGTCATCCCCCCCCCTCAGCCAACACTTGCGAGGTCGACCCCAAATTAGCAGCGCCGCTCCCCTTCTCTGAATGGCTCCCTCGCAAGAACTACACTCGTGCCTATTTCCGACCTCGCTTGGTGAGCTCGGAGACGGACTTCCACACGATGGAAGAGATCAGGAAACCAGTCCTCCCCCCAATGATCCAGATGGAGCGTGGTATGGTCGTTTCTCCCAACAACGAGCAGAAGGATTTCGTCTGCCCGGAGATCATCGACGTGGATGTGGCTGCCGACGACGATGTGGAAGAGACTTCGAAGCTCCTATTTGGTTTGGCAACTACCGTGGACCGCCTGGACCGCCTTTTGCCATCTCTTCTGTACACGTACGGAAATACCAAGGCCGGCCTCCTGGTTCTGGTCCCCGAGTCCGATGACGATCTCGAGAAACAAGAAACCTACTTCCGTAACCGGGGTCTCGACCTGACCCTGAAGGCCTCTCCTTTGGACTTCACTGCCCGGTACTTCGGCATGGTTGAGGCTTTCTCGGAGCATATTCGCAAACACCGCCCTCACACCACCTGGGTCGGCTTCAGCGACGATGATACCTTCTTTTTCTCTCTGCCGACGATTGCTAAGGAATTGAAGCTCTTCGATGAGAAGAAGAGGCACTATATCGGCTCTTTGTCCGAGGCTAGCTGGCAAGTAGATACCTTTGGCCATATTGCCTTTGGAGGCGCCGGTGTGCTTGTCTCCAAGCCGCTGTTGGATGTGCTCAATGACAAGTACGACGAGTGTCAGTCCTGGGGTGAGCAGCCTGGTGACCAGAAGTTGGGCCAATGCATTCAGCGCTTCGGCGATACTCCACTCACCCTATGGCCCTCGCTCTTCCAGATGGACATGACTGACCCCGTGGACGGTGTATATGAGTCTGGTCGCAGAATTGAGTCTATGCACCACTGGAACTCCTGGTACACCAAGGACGTGGTGAAGATGACTGCGGTATCTGCGGCTGCCGGACGCAAATCGGTGTTGCGCCGCTGGATCTTTGATCAGGAAGAAACCGTTGACAAAGAAACTGGTGAATCGATCCGTCACTTCTGGGTCATGACCAACGGCTACTCCTTGGTCAAGTACACCTATGGCCCGAACGTGGCTGATGACGCGATCAATTTTGATGCCATGGAGAAGACCTGGCCTGAAGACCCTCGAGGTTTCGAGGGTCGATTGGGCCCTCTTCGTCCCGCCGAGGATGAGGGTGTTGCCAAGGATCGCTGGTTGCTCCACGACGCTTTTGTCGTGGGCGACAACGTCCACCAGTTCTATGTACGGGAAGAAGACGAAGGCCACAGCTTGATCGAAATCGTTTGGCTTGGTCCTCAGGGTGGTGGTGGTGGTGGCCTCTCCGATCATTACATTCGCGGTACCTACCAACAATGATCGTCTCTCCATCGCTCCCTGTCAAGATAATTCGGCAAGGAAGACGGATCGCTCGCAAATGAATTTTTCAGACGATTGCAAGGCTGGCCCTTGGGAAGTTACAATTGCCAGTCCATGGCCCCACATTCTCTCAACACTTCTTGATCACCCTCTCTTTTGGAGCCGTGCGCTTCTACATTGCTGCACATAATCCGATTACTCTCCTGAGGAACGTCTGTCGTTTTCTCCTCTTCGGATGACCATCCACTTCGTTTTTATTTGTTTCCCTCAATCACCACATTCGAGCCACGACTTCTATCCGGCTCTGTCGATCTTCCGAGGACTGGACTAATCACAATTTCTCCTGGTTCATGTGTGAGGCGTTTTGTGAATCGAGATTGACGATTTTCTCGCACCCCGAGGCCACGGTGACCCGGGCACACGGCGTTTGGGTCAGAGGAGTTCGACACATGACTTTGGGTAGGCTGTGAACTCTCCTCTTTCACTTGGAATTGTTATCTTTAGGGGAGCATTGACGCACATCCCGTTGGCTTTACGTTTGTATTGCATTTCTTGGTGCGGCAACTGAATCATGTTGGCTCTCGGGCATGAGTCGCTTTCATCTTGTATGCCTGCTCCATTTTCTCTTTTCTTGTTTCCTTTTCCACCCCCTGTTTTTGATTCCCTCTTTACCCGATTTTGTGCTGCCTAGTTGTGGTCGCTGTCTTTTCCTTTGTTCTTTCTCCCATCCTTTACTGGCTTGACTTGATGAACTCTTGTGTTGACGGTGCGGTGGCCTGATGGGAACAGGGAGCACAGACTTGCTTACCTTACCACCGCGGCGATGCAGGATTGCTTTTGTAAAAATAGACTTGAGAACCGCAGACCAAGTTTGGGTCTTCGTTGGCGATTAGCGATGAATTGTTCTTACGAGAAGAAAACGATAAACATATTTCTCACTTTGGTTCTATGACCGGTGTTTCGGTGCTCAACGTCGTATCTTTAAGCTTCTTTTTGTCCGAGGATGGTCAATCCATGTACTAGACTGTGATGTATCATGGAACATCACCTGCAGCGGTTGGAGTAGTATGTTGAGAGGGACGCAGGAAACAACCCAAGCTACTGCCGGCACCGGAAGTTACTGTTGGTGTCCATCGTCCACGGTCCCCAGTAGGTACTAGGTAATGGTATAGGTAGTAAAGCATGAGAATGACAACACCGACGCGTTGCTGACAGTACTGGAGTCGAATGAAAATGGACCCAAAGCTCCAGCTGTTGCCCGACCACCGTGCATCACGAGACCAGATACCCCCGTGCTGGAGTGTAGCAGCGGCGAACTTGGAGAGGAAGGTGAAACACCGCGTAGTCGCACTGCCTGTAACCGATGTAGGTGTCGACGTGGGAAGGATGATCGGTCAAGCAGACGCGACATGCACAAGGAAGCCGCGAGTGGATAGAAGTAAGGTAGGGAGGGCATGTGGAATGTAGGATGACAGAAATGATCAAATAAGAATTCGTTACGACCATCATTTCATAGGGAAAATATCTCCGATGGGAATCGTCTTGGCATTTGAGAGAAGAATGATGGAGATGTAATTTATTGGACAGAGTCACTGGGCCTTAGTGGCAGATTCCGACATCAATGTGATTTAGGTAGTAGGGAGGTACTCCCTATGAAGGTCAATATAAATTAGGTTATTGAAAGGGACTGGGGGCCGTAATCTTAGAAGAATCAGTTACTCCACCCGAGGCCAGACTGCAGGTCGACTTGTACAGTACATGCAGTACATGCAGTACATGGATACACCACAGCTGAGCTCTGAGACTGGATGCTGAATCAAGTAGGCAAACATGCATGATGTGGTTGGCATGGGTTGTGCTTCTGACATAGACTCATCGAAAGCCGAGATGGATATGCCGTATTAATATACCATAGCATAAGATTGAGTAGCCTTCAAGGGCGGTCCGGGAACAACGAATAGAGTTGATTTAAGCATAAAGTCAATGGCCGATTCTTGGGGTCCTAGCAGAACGATCCAGGGATGAGGGATCCGAGGCCGATGTGGAAGGGAAATGATAAACAGCGCGGACTATTATACATGTACAAAGCCCCAGGATTGCGGCTCTGTACCAGTGGCTTTATTGCTAGAAAGCTACCACCTACCAACCTAGTACCTGGAATGATAACCAGTTGATACTTGACAGAGTTTGTTGGGAATGGATCTAGTACCAGACAGTCGTAGTGGTCTTGTCTTCTTGACCCTCAGTTATCAGTCGTGAGAGTGCTTGTCATCTCAGGGGTGCATGGTGTAAGTCGAAATCAAGCTCCCAAAAGGACAGTCCCAAGTCGAGCTGACGATCATGTATAGCAGGTACCAGCGTCAGTGCGCAGTACTGACTCAGTGGCCGGTTCCAGGAAGCAGTCGTTGAAGTCCCTGTTCGTCGAGCTTCGAGCGCTTCTTATCCGATGACACGTGGGATTTTACAGGGCACATACAAAAGCGAATACTAAGTGAGTACATAAGTAGTGAATGCTAAACAGTAAATACATCGTAAATAGTAGTTACCGTCAGTACAGGAAAAAGAAACGAGACTAGAGGTTGCTGATCACTGCTTAATGTAATAGTAGAATAGTAGTAGTGGTGGTGGTGGTAGTACTCTCAGACTCTCAATAGTCACCGACTCAGACGTGTTGCTATCGTGTTTTACAACCATAGCATGATACATAGATCATTGTAGCAATGATAGCATCAAGTTATCAACAATACAGTTACGTCGTACAGAAATTTGTGGAGTCCCCGCTTAACAACGCACGAGTCTTACGTTCTCGATACATTTGTTACATACGCCTGACGATCCAGGACCGTGCCGATGGAATTGCCACACCGATCCTGAGGTTCTTGCCCGGTGAATTACAGTAAGGTTATCGATTACGCAACTGAAGCTCATAATCCCTCCTTGCGATCTGACTAGATTTCTCTTCGGTTTTTTTTTTCTCGATTCAGTCTTCAAATGGACAATATCATGGGTACGTGCGGATGACATTTTCGAAAATGTACATGGTACAAGATTTGACGCGAAACACAAAGTTGGTAGTCGCGTAACTACTACTGTGTTAAACTTGGAGCAAACAAAGATAATCAACGCCAGTCCAGACCAGCAGACTTTGGGTTCACGCTTGGCTGGAAATGGACGCAAGCGGAGGCCGTGGGGCGTGCAGCTCAGCGCGCTGAAGGAGTCCTGTCGACCTCGTTCCCCAATCAAAAGTCAAAGGACCACGAGGGGGCGAGTCAGTACGGTCAGATTACAGTGCGATGTCGCCCCTGGAGGGCGGACAGTACTTATGCGGTACATGTCGATCCCACCAGAAGCCCAGTCTTCAGCGCCACACCACCGAGACACACTCACATCGACGTGAAGTACCCGTGGGCTGGATCCAAGACACACAAAGGACCCCACACTGGTAATACCTGGTACATGCCGCACTCCACACGTGACTGACCGCCTGCCCCTTCGTCCTCGCACTTTGCCTTCTTCGACCTTTCCCCCCCCCCCCCTTCCCTTTTCCTTCTCCAACCCTGCGATCCCAAAACGCGTTACTCGATTGGGTATATCTCGATTCCCTTCCCCTTTGGGTTGATTGCGTTCCATTTCGACTTCTGTCCCTCTCAACCCGCCCATACGACTTCTACTTGAGGCTCTTGCTACCGTTTGATCCCTCATTCAGACCCATTCCCTCACCTTCCCTTTAATCTCCCCCTCCGTGCCACTTGCCACCATGGCCGACATGGCTGCTGTCGACGAGAAACTCTCCCCCAACCAGCATGATGAGCTGCAGCAGCCGGGCAACGGCACCGACGCCCGTGGGACCAAGCGCAACCGCATGAGCGCCGAGGATGATGATGACGACGATGACAAGCCCGGCCGTGAGCGTCGCAAGATCGAAATCAAGTTCATCCAAGACAAGTCGCGTCGCCACATCACCTTTTCTAAGCGAAAGGCCGGTATCATGAAGAAGGTATGTGTGGAACCCCATCGCGACAAAACAAACCCATCCCGATGCTCGCCCACGCTCTGCCTCCATGTCGTGCCCACGCAGCTCGTTCAGACTGGCATTCGAGCATGTCAATGACACGCGCCGCGGGTCACCCCTCGACCCGGTCGCACGACTGATTGATATGAAACAACAACAGCACGCATGAATCAGATCGCGGCTCGGCGTGAGGAATAAATTGCTAACTGGTATCCCTCTGTGGAACAACAGGCCTACGAGCTTTCAGTTCTCACCGGCACTCAGGTGCTCTTGCTCGTCGTGTCGGAAACTGGCCTCGTCTACACCTTCACCACCCCCAAGTTGCAGCCTCTCGTCACCAAGCCTGAAGGCAAAAACCTTATCCAGGTATGGCTCCCCCCGCCCCGTAACAGAGCCGCCCCCCACAATTGTTGATCTGTATGCTGATCGTGTCTGCTTCTCCTAAATCTAGGCCTGCCTGAATGCACCGGATCCTACCACCAACGAGAATGGCGTCGACACCGGTGACGTCCCTGCCGAGACACCAGAGGACGTTGGTCACAACGTGAATGCGCCGCAACCCAACATGGCGCGTCCGGGCATGCACCCGGGCTACATGACCAACGAGCAGCAGCAGCAGATGGCCTATTATCAGAACCTCCAGCAGCAACAGCAAGCTACTGCTCAATATCCTGGCATGCCCGTGGGCAATCGCATGCCCCCCCAACATCAACCCACGGCGTAAATTGGCCATCTCTCTCGATGCACGCGCCATTGCGGACGGGGGGCTCGTTGCTACCTCCACGCTTCTGTTTTCCCATCTCCTCCTGCGCACGTGAAACTCGCGTTCATTTGATACCCGTCCATCCGCGCTGCTCCATCAACCTTTCTCTGCTCCTCAGGTTCCCCTCTCGCCCCCATCTATCTCTCCCTCCCCCTCTCTCTCTTCTCTGCTTTCATTCATTACCTCGTCTCTGGTTGTCTACTTTTGCAAACACACTTTTGCGCTGCTGTCAATCATCATGCTCGATTTCGTCAACCGGGAAGCTACGTAGCCATCGCTGTAACGGATATGCATCGCTGATGACCCACCTGGTTTGAGCGCTGTTGGCTGAACCGTCCTGTCTTCCCTTTGCAAGTTTCTCTGCACTGTCCAAGCGGGCAGTAGGCTTGATTGAGATTGTCTTGTCGCGCGTGGTTTTGATCTCGATACACCTCTTCTTGACCTGGAAGACTCCGGATGCGACGGGGCTCAGGTAAAAGGCGGAAGCGTGAGACTGGCTTTGGAACCGGCAGTGATCGCTTTCCTCTATTTGTTCTTTGCGATACTTCCGTTTTCTCCCCTCCTACCTAGACCCATTGGCGGAGGCTACTGGTGTTTGTTGGTGCACGGACTCGTTGGTGATGTGGAATTATTCACCCTCCTTGTAGTTTTTTTTATCTGTCTTTTTTTTGTTCTATTTTTGCTTTCGCACATGATGATTATCAGCTCCCACCGAAGTGAAATTACATTTTTGAGCTTTGCAAACCCCTCCTCGGTTCCTCCGTTTGATTCCTCAACACGAGTCTCTTATACATAAATTATTGAATGAGTTAAGCGTTATCCAAGTCTGGTGTTCAACCATGGATTGGTTACTTCAAGCAATCGAGGGCAAGGTATTGTAACCTGCCGTGTCAGGGCTTACCGAGTTAACGGCACTTGATAACCACTGAGGTTTCCACGTCTCTCAGTATCGGCTTAAATGGTGCTTACTACTTAGTACTTACGCGCCGTGCGTCCATCAATCTAATGTATACCTGTAATGTAGGGACGCGCTCAGTTGTGTTGCCTAACGATCACCAATTTTGCTTAGGATATGAGACCGGATATATTTGTTTCAAGGTGATCAAATCATTCTACAAACAGCCAAGTAACTTCACCCTAGGCAGATCGTTTCTACGTCCTAAGGTGATCGCTCTCGCCGCTCGAACATCCACCGAGACACGAACCTCCAGCCCATCTATAGAAGGGCCTGGCCAGGCGGTGCAGGTGGTCATCCATGGAAAGGGGGGTTCTTCCTACGAGCTCAAGACATGTATCAAGTGTATCAGCGGGAGGTACCTGATCATGAACGAGGATTATCGGTGTCTATTGGAACTATATCGGAAGTGATGGAATGCATTTGGAAACCCTGATGGTAAATGTGCTCCTATATGGATTGTATCGACTTTCCAAAGTCACATGCTAGGTCACTTTTTTGATTGAAGGCACTTTGTCCTTGTGGGGTTTGAATCATTCTCTGGTCTACATCCCGATCTCATTGGCAGTGGACCTGGCTTAGAGCGACGAGAGAAGTTGAGAGGGGTGTGTCCACTTAAGGTTCCTTCAGGTAGCTTAACTGATTACTTGAATTATTACGCACATCCTGGCAGGTTGAAGTTCTACTCGCTGGCTTGAGGTCAATGAAGAATACGTGCGAAGAACAATACCGACAAAGTCTACGGCGGTCACAGCTTTGACAGTGGAAATTGTGGGTATAAAATTCGAGGCTGATGAGCAAAGAAACGAAAAAAGCGAAGGAAAAAGAAAACAGCGAAGCATCACTGTATGTACACACAGACGCGGACGATAGAAACAGGGAGGGGGGACAAGCGACTACAAAGAAGCTTGCGTTTGGTCAATTTGTCTCACTTCATTCCCGATGACCGGTATTGTTTCCAGTCAATGGGCTGTGGGCATCGAATCGAGGAAGCAATGGTGACGATGAGCCTCCATAATCATCTTCATCTGTACCAGCGTGATGGGTGAGTTCTCGACTACCCGCCTGCGGGCTCGTCCACTGAGATAGGACTTGGCACCCTTGCCGCCATATTCCCTTGATTATCCTTTGCGGACCAGCCAGAGGATTTGAAGAAACGCCGGATTTGGGGTTGGAGAGTTCGTCTTCAAGCGCCGGGGCGGCTTCTCCGTCTGGCAAAGTACCATACCCGACTGCCAGGTTTGTCGTCGGCGAACCTCCATTTCGATAGCGAGTCCCCATTAGCGTGGCCATTGGAGCGGACGAGCGTCTGAGTCCATTGTGTACGGAGGCACCGGAACGGCGTGCCTCTTGCAGGCGTGGTTGTTGATCTTGGTTGTACTGATGCGATACCGGCCCAATGGTCGAATGTCGCGCGAGACCGCGCATGGAGCGAGTTAAAGCGCCACTGCCGCTGGCACTTCGAGATCGATCATATTGTGACCACCAACGTGATTTTGCAGGCTCGTCATCTGAATCGTCGAGTTCAGCCCAGATGGAAGCCGCGTTGAGATCAGCAGCGTCGCATCCTTCCAATGTACGGATAGGTTGACCAAACGAGAACCGCCTTGGCCGTGGAGTTCTGCGAAGCAACGGCTCCTGTTCACCTATGTGCGCTTCTTGATCGTCCAATACAGGAGACAAGACATCGTGCTCTTCAACCACAGCCATACCTGGTCCGATGCCTGTCTGCGTGGCACTTGCGCTTGTGACTGCAGCAACACTGTCCACCTCCTCTAGGCGCCACGAAAGACACAGAACACCACCCAGCAAGATCGCTGTACCCAATGCTATAAGACCCGCGCGAACTCCATCTAGTTGTGAAGTTTGCCGGAAGTAAATCAGACCGTCCAGAATTGCGATGATGTTGTATATGCAAAACACAAAGGGGTAGAGCACACTCGTACTGCAGAGCTTCAAGCCACGATGCAAGTAGAATAACTGCGTAAGAGCTAGAGTAATCATGCCCAGCAGAATGACCCATGACTGCCAGCGATTGAATTGGTTCTTGCGATCAACCACTGTCCGCACTAGCAGCTCGACGGCTGATTTGGCTAGCAGCAGCGAATGAGCTGAGAGGATACCGCTGACAGCACCGTAGCACATGCCGCGGAAGAGTTTGATCCGCAATTGGAGCCGCTGTGCATGAGGCGTGATCAAGCCCGGGCTCGTTGGCTTCACTCTCAAGCCAGAAAAGCAGTACCTCGACAACTTTGATCCCACAAGTATCAACCCGACCACTATCAGGGTCATGGCCATCCATACGAGGAATGGACGGCGCATCAGAAGTTGTAGTAGCTGGGTCAGCGTGTGTGCCGGCTCACCGATGGCGCCAAACGTCGCAATCAGGACAGCACCGGCGCATACAAGGACTGTGCCCGCGAACGAATATCGTGTAAATGGTTCTCCGAGGATTATCGTCGCAAATATCGTATTGAAAACGAGTCCGGACTAGATTTGAGGAATGTGAGATCGGATAGTCGGTCTCACAGGGTTGAGTAACAGGTGGCGATAAGGGACAACTAACCGCTTGAAGCGTGGAGAGAACCGGTAGAGGAAGCGTTGTAATCTGGATGGTGCTTCCAACAATATTGGAAATCACAAACATTCCCATACCCAGCTGCCATCGACGGCGTCTATAAGGGGGGCGACGCCCGTCATACAGTGGCTTCTCATCCTCGAGGAGATGGGATTTCCGTTGAAGCGTAAGTCCGATGGCTTGTAGACTGGTCGAGACCAACCCCACGATCACTCCGACCTGTGTTCCGAGCACATTAGCGACTGAATGCTGCCAAAGATGTGTCACATTCATATGCTTACCGCGATACTGCCTTGCGGCGACAGATCGCCGAGGTTCCCCATCGTAGATCGATCTATAACGACTGCGGGACGGGGTCGATGTGGAAGTGCGTGAGAAGCGCCTAAAGCTGGACCACTACCGAAGAACGAATGCCATGGTGTTGAGTAGCAAGAGCGCAGTGCAAATTCGGGCACCTGAAGGCTGAGATGGATTTCAAAAGGGGGTCGCCAGGGCGTACAATAAGGGTTTCTCAAGGGCGCTGAAAGGTGGGAGGAATACGGAGGTGTAGGAGCGGACTGGATGCGGATGCGGGTGCGGATGAGGAGCGCCAAGGCGAAGCTGCGCAGCGGCCCCGAGCTTAGCTGGACTCAACCTCCCCTTCCACCTCCCCACGTCATTCCAGCATTCTGTGTCTCGTCCACCCGGTCAACCTCCCTCGCCAGCAGTCGCCCGTGTGTATTGGCCAGAGTCACAACTCTTTGGAATTCGCCCATCATGTCACAAAGCCATGCCCTCTCTGATGACCAGGTAGACATTCCCCCCCCCCCCCCCTCCCTCTTGACGAAAGCAGAAGCTCCTCCGTGGGACGATCCGTCCCCGCAGACGATCCGATGACTGACAAAGTGCAATGAAATTGGGTGGAAAATTTAGGTTGCGGGTGAGCTCCGCAAGATGACTGCGTTCATCCGCCAGGAGGCTCTCGAAAAAGCCCGGGAGATCCAGCTCAAGGCCGATGAGGAGTTCGCGATCGAGAAGTCCAAGCTCGTCCGCCAAGAGACCGCCGCCATCGACACCCTTTATGAGAAGAAGTTCAAGCAGGCCGCCATGTCGCAGCAGATCACCCGCTCGACGCTGTCCAACCGTACTCGCCTTCGTGTGCTGGGCGGTCGCCAAGAGCTTCTAGACGAGCTCTTTGAGAAGGCCCGCAAGAAGATCTCCACTGTTGCCGACAACGATAAGAAGAAGTACCAAACGATGCTGGAGGGCCTGATCCTGGAAGGGTTCTATTATTTGAATGAGGAAAAGGTGGAACTTCGCGCGCGCAAGCAAGACGCTGATGCCGTGAAGAAGGCTGTCGAGGGAGCCGCCAAGGAGTTTAAGAAGAACGTCGGCAAGGAAGTGACTGCAACTCTGGATGAGTCCGAGCCACTACCGGAATCCTCGTAAGTTGTTCTTCTTGAGGTTGAATTTGAGGATCTTTCATGAGACTGACGGAAGGGACCTCTACCTAGCGCTGGTGGTGTCGTTCTTGTGGGAGGCAAGGGCAAGATTGAGATTAACAACACATTTGAGGAACGTCTACGCCTCTTGGAGATCGATGCCCTGCCTGCTGTGCGTGAGACGCTGTTTGGAAAGAATGCCAATCGCCGTTTCTACGATTAAATTTGTTACTGTACACTCTGCTATGCGTTGCATCTCATTGCCTGTCTTTATATTTAAGCACTGTGATACAGCCCACTGGCTAGCATTCCGGTGGTAGGTCTTACTATCATGTGTCTTCTATCGAATATGGTCTATAAGTCCAGGGATACGTCCTTTCGCCTGTCCTAGTGATCCTTGGATCAAAGACCTGTAATTTCGGGATACCGCTGTCCAGTCGATTCATCGACTGGACATAGATTTAACTTGGATAAATTTGGAGAAAATAGAACAGACGGTATCGCTCCAAATGTCATGATCATCAATGCCATTACAGTCGTCAAGTGGGTATACATAGATGCGTCTGCCGAATACAGAAAGGTTGAGATCTCTTCGTCCAATCCATTGATTTCCAATGCAGCTCATGACAATGCGTCATGCCCCCGAATCGGCATGGGCACACCGTCCAGCCTTTCTGGCCCAGCACTTTCACTTGCTCCGTCAGTGGTCGCGGAGGAGTTGTTCAATCTGCTGAACATGTCCTTGACATTATGATTAGTCTCCTTGTGGAAGGTGCTGAACAGCGTTCGTTTAGGCGGCGCCTTGGAGCGGACCGAGTAAACGATCCGATAATGGAGTGCTTCCAGCCCCTGCTTCGCAAGCATGCGCTGCAGATGTGAAGCTCCCGTGTCCTCGATAGAGCTGAATATTTTTTTGATCTGAGTCGCAAGCTGATCAATGATAACATCAAACTTTGATCTGGCATCACCTTGTGCGGATGCCAGATCAGCGAGAGCAGAATTCAGACAAATCTCAAGCTGCAAAGTCATGGAAATCAAATCGCCGTAATCAAAATCCGCCCAGTCCTTATGTCGCCTAATTCGGAATCGCTCGTCTCGGGTCAAAAGCTCGGTTATTCTCTGCAGGTCGAGAACAAGCTCGGGGGGCTCGGTTAAAGGACCCGAATCCCGTAGCAGGAAAGCCACGGCAAGCCGGTATCGCAGCAAAGACACCCAGGTGGACGTGGGAAGAATGTGTTGCAAGAGCCGGCTTTGGAACTGTGGCTCTCGCACAGTCTCGTAGAGTAGGCTGCAAATTCGATGTTCCTATCTGGGTCAGTCCCCGATTGTCCAATTGTCAAAGGACGAACATGAACTTACAAGCCTCTCCTTGGGTCCAAATTCAAGAAGGGAGGTCAATGTTGCCTGTAGTTCTGAGCGCAGCGCAGAGTCGGAAGTCAGGGAAGTGTCGATCGATACTCGAAGTAGAAGGAGCACCGTGTCGGCTTGCGTTTCTTCGTCAAGCCTTGTCAAAAAGACTTAATTAGACCTTGGATACATTGAAGAAGAACAGGGTAAATTGAAGACTTACTGCTCTGCGGCGGCAAATCCTCGAAGTAATCTCAGAATGGATACCAGACCCGAACGTTGATCAGCAGTTGGCTTGGCTGTCGGAGCTGTTACTTGTCAGTGAATGTGCCTCGTCGCATTGATGAAGAGTAGAAGGAGCAAACCCACTGTGCAGAGGATCAGCGACAATTTCATCACCAAGTTTCAATGCCCGCGGTTGAGCTCCTAATTGACGAAATAACTCATCAATGGCGTCCCGTCCAGCTAGAGACTTCATCCTTTCTTTTGGAGTTTGCTTCGAAAAAGTTAGCAATCATTCCCAATGAGATGTTTTCATCCTACTTACAGTCAAAATTCGGCAAAATGTCTGTCTCGTCTCCTCGCGCGGCTCAAGAGGAACTGCAAATTGGAGACGATGAGTATGCACGACTCGGACATTTTAGGTCAAGGTTTGGAGCAAGACATACTGGCCTGGAAAAGCCAGAGGAGAAATTCTTCTGGTAATCGCTGCAATGATGCGGCGTATTCTAGCACACCGGATTGAACGATCCGTCTTCTCGAGTCGGGATCTGGTACACAATCAGCACGAGCATATCACGCAGAAACTTGGTAGAAGAAGACAGACCTCTTAATCCAGCCAGCGGGGATCCTGGTGGGAAACAGTCGATGGGGAAGTTGGGAATGCCAGGAGTGACATGACGTTGGTCCAAGAAGCACCACGCTCGTTGCTGTTCTAGGGCCTCAGTCCTTCGTACGGCGTCCATGAGCCGTTGAAGGTTTGGTCCTTCGTCGGACTCCCCACCAAGAGCGGAAACCAGCATGCCCTCGTTCAGGGACTTTCTGGAACCATCAACGCCGGTCTGTGCGTTGGCCTGTAGCTTGGCGTAGTTCGCCTTGGCTTTAGCTACATTGGCTTCAATCTCATCATCGTCCACTGCATCATGAACTAGAGAGTCGATGGTGTTCCGATACTTCCTGGGCTTCGCTAGTTGAGCGAGCAGGGCCGTATCGGGCTGGTAGTTCCGCGGCGCTGTGGGCGGCGCGGAATCGAAAGACTTGCTCTTGGTAGAGAAAAGCACGTCTGGATCCTCGAGCGAAGAGACGGAGTCAGTGTCTTCGCCATCGGAACTGATGACAACTTCTTTACCATCTTTCAAGATCCGTTGCGACAGAGACAACTGCCCATTCAGCGACGAGGAGGGAGGAGCAGACCCAAAGCTCACAAAGCTCTGATCTGGTGTGGGAGATTGCTCCTCATCTGGACTGGACGTCCTTGAGGCAGGCCCTGGTGGCGCTTCCGGCACAGGTAGTTCTTGTCCGTTCTGGCCATTTTCGTCTGCTGTAAGGTCTATTGTGATCGAAGATCGCAGTGGATCCGACAAAGGCGACGATGCTCGTCCACCTCCTGACCCCTGTGGCTCCGCGTGAGGCTTTGATGGTGAAGAGCCAAATTGGACACGGCTCCGGAAGAAATCTTTTATTTTCCCTTGCATCGTGGCCGTTGCGGCTCGATGAGTGTCTCGATAAAGAACGTTTTACTCCGCGTCGCGTGGGGATGTCGCGAAGTCACGTGGCCAATCTATCAGACCGATAGAGCAACCACCTTTCTGCCTTTGACCGAGACACTGTACCTGAGTGTTAGCACCACTACTACTAGTACTAAGCTACCTACCTTACCAATCCTTCTGCTTTGCTCCGTATTAAAATAGCGTTCAGAATATCATAAACTACAAGAGTGGCATTGAAAGCTTACATAGCGAAGAGAACGTAACCGTGGAGTGGATGGATGTCATCTGATCGACGTGAACGTGAATATGCTGTCGGCTGGAAGACATCAGGCCTAAAATGAGGATGGCTCGATTTTCGCTGCTTTTATGTTGAAACGGCCTTTTGGCTCAAGTATCGATGGATCTCCTCAACTTACGTGGAGAATGTCCAGTAAGGTGTTCCGTGAGGTGTTCGGAGTACGCGCGTGCCTTGTTGCTCAGAACCTGCAATGTAAACCGACTTTTTGAAAACAACAGCCATGCCTCCTGAGTGTCAGGTAAGCATGCTCCATATAAACACGATGAATCACGGGTTCATCCCAAATTCCCGATTGATATGTATCAGATATAGTACTCAATTTCGGGGCACTAGCGTCCAGGCGGGCTGCCTTTGTCCCGGTCCATTGTGGATTAGATGTCCACTCTCGAGTCCTCGACTATGCGATCCAGAACGACTTTCTTCAAGCATCTCAACTGACTTGTACACTCAATTTCAAGCGTTTATCAAGCGAGGTAGATACGTGCAGCGCTCTTTCTTGTTATTTTTGCTGGTCAAGTACGCTAGAGTGTGACCAGCTGGTTTCATTCATCATGCTAGGCATATCAACACCAGAAGAATTGAGTGACTGACTACTGGTGTACACTGTAAGTTCCACTGTACAGCTAGAGGTTTCGTCGAGCGGGGCTCAGCGAAACAGCCTAGCGCGATCGGAAATTGCTACGGTGCGACGACTTGGGAAAGAGAGACTAACCCAGTCGGGGTTAGATGAGGTGGTCAAGTCCAGGCTGGGACTAGTCAGGGGTGGGCCCCGCTCTCGGCGCTTCGTACCGCAAAGTCGAGGCGTGAGCTCTTAACTGACGGGTAGTCAGGTATTGTTGCATGATTCAAAAAGATCATGGCCATTTGATAGCTGTGACATCAATTTTTCTGACTTTTCAATAGACAACCGAACTCATGTGTACACGCAGAAAACGCAAACTTCCTACAAGAATCTTTGAATGGTGAATGAGCCCCCGGAGGGACCTACAATCAAGGGAAGAGATAGAAAAATTCCGACCTTGGCGCCCAAGTAATATTAGGTGTGCCGCACGGCGCACCCATCTGCGCCGAAGAAAGAGCAAAAGGGGGCTGAAGATGATACCTACTAGTCAAGCACGCTGATTTATAAGACCTAGTGATGAACATCCATCTTTGGCTGGAGTGTCGAAGCTCACGAATGCGCCCAGCAACGCCGATCCATGATTTGTCTGGCAATGGCCCCTCAGATCGAGGAGCTTACCAGCAGTGTCGAAACCATGCGACTACTTGCATCTTGGCCGTCAAAACGTCTCTGTTTTGCCGAGTGCCCCCTGGACATGCAGGAGGCCGGAAAATAATCATCAAGATCGTGAGAGACCCCTTAACGATCAACTTGAAATTCATCACCGTCAGGGTGTGTAGCCGACCGTGCCTCGCCTCAAAGAAACGATGATCAGATTGGCGCGAAACCGCGCGATCCAGAACTCGGCGACTTTGAGAGGCTCCAAGAGACTTGGGGGTGGGGACGGGCATCCCACATGCACGCCTCTGCCGCATCCTCCCAAGAGTAATACTACTACTACTACTACTACTACTAATAATAATACTCATAGTGCAGCAAAAGTTCCTGGAGGTTCCACCCCGCTCCGCGATTAGCAAGCAACATCCAATGTACCTGTAAACGTGACTGATGGGATTCCTCGATCCAGAACACTGATCTGGCAGGATATGCAAGTAGAAGCACTTTAGTGAAAAGACGTCTTTCCGACTTTTTCACTCGACCATTCAAATAGCTGTGGCTCGATGACCTGGGTTGCCCGGTCTTGAAACAAGTGGTGAATGTAGCAATTAGGTGAACGAGTAGTAACTAAGTTAAGTCAATAGTAGTGACTTAGTAAGTGACACAGCACAGTCCAGCGCCCAAACAGTCTACAATCGACATCCTCGTCTCGGCGCGGAAGTGATTTGAGGTCATCATCCGCCCCACACCGGCATGTCGGGGCCGTTGACGTGGATACCGTAATTAAAGTATGTACTGTAATTACAGAGTAATGAGAAATACAGTATTTAACGAACCAAGGAAGTATTGCACGGTCAAACTCGAAGGCGCCTGCGCACGCTGTCGAGTCTGACTGCATGGCAGCTGGCTGCAGCGGGTGTTGCACACCCCAAGTTCTAGGATTGGAAGACCCTAATGGCGGATAAAGAGTGAGGTGTCTGATGGGTGTGCAATACTCATCAGATACTCGAGTAACTCCGCTACTAGAGTAACTCCGCTACTAACATACAAGTCGTACTATCGTTTCACCTACAATATGCATCTTGTTCGTCTGTCAGCTGCCCGTAGTCAAACAAACATTGATAAATTAAGACCATGTCATCATTTAGGGCTGAAGTCGAAGTTCTGGGTCATCAAAACCGGCCAGCGTGCCCCTTCTAGGCCTCTACTACGGTACTACCTCGATCAATCGAATGAGGGCTTCATGGCGTGCTTGCCACATTGGTAATCCGCAAGGTCGATCTCGCAACCTAACCATTCACGAGCCTTTGGGAGAAGTGGTCGCCACATGGCAGAGATTTATAGGGTTGAACCAGAAGTTGCGATCAAATGAAAATTAATTCCACGCTGTATGACAGGTGGGTTGAAGCAGAGGCAGACCGATCATTCAAGACTCTGAAACGGTGTTACCAGAACTGAACCGTGGTTGATACCGGATATACGACGATCTCTTAGTTCCGACACCGAGAGGCCGTGAAGCCGGTGCATAAAACCCAGTCTCACTGGCATAATGGACTGTCCCGATGTCCTTGTCCAGCATCAGGGACCAGGCATTATTATTAATGCATGCACCACTCGCCATCTTCTTGACCCAACGCAAAAACCATTCGTCAGCCGTCAGATCAGGCCCACTAAGTACTCATCATGTGAGCTCATTTGGAAATCACTCGAAATCGCTCGGAGAGTCTTGCCCTTTGGGTATTCGGACAATCAAAACATGCGAGTAACGGTAGGCTGCGGTAGTTGCTCACTACTCATTGAGTCACTCGACTCACTACTGCTAAGTTACTCAGTAGAGTTAGGACTCAGTAGTCAGGAGAGTCAACAAAGTCAGTACTGTATGGCGTCTCTGGCGCGCTCACAAGATCCCAGTCTGTGTAGTGTGTCACTGTGTACCGACTGTACTCTGCTCGAGTGTCGAAGAGCGATGCAAACGAATCTCCCAATAATCAATTACACGAGACCAGAATTCCAGGGATTAATCATTTCTCTCAGTTTCAAAAATGAAGAGTTGATACTTATTGGCGTAGTATTTGTATCGACCGAACGTGGTTATCGGTATTAGACGGAGTATGTAGAACCCGGAGTTGAGGGTACACTATTCATTCTGTAGTCTGTAGTCTGTAGTCAATGAGTCAATGGTATTACTACTATTGAGAGACTGAATTTTCCTTCTATGAAATAGAACCTGAAAAGACTGTTGATGCGACCTCATCGAGGAATGGCCCCCATGGATGCAGAGGGCCGACCTGCCGATGACCAAGCCGACAGGTAAGCCGCCCTTCCAATTTAGACGGTGCCAGCCAGTCAAACTGCTCAGTCCAGGCCAACTCGGGGGCCTCATTCAGCTAGAGCCTGCGGCGGTTGTTCTGTATTGCCGTACAGGCGTACGCTGACTGGAATCTGGACTTCTGGACCACTTCCACATTGTGACAAGTTATGTAGACAACTCTGGCTGGTAATTACAATACGAGGTCTCCCGTCCGACTAACTTGCACGGCTCAGTCCAGATTAATCAGACCCGTTCCATAGTCCTCTTGTCCTGCCCATGCCCAGCCAGGCGCAGCGCATCTGCTTTTCTCACTTTCTTGAGCAACTATTCTTTCCACTCTCCTCTGCGCGGTGATCGACCTCCCCCCCCTCCTCTCCAGTTCCCACCCCTTTTCCATCCCGCATTGCTGGCTACTTTTCCGGTCTGGCCAACTCGGTATTCTCGTGGCCACCAGCGGGTGATTCAAGAATCTCGCATCGCTCCACCATTCCAACCGTCACCACCGCGGGATCAGCCATCCGTTCCCTTTCCGCCGACCGCTGAAACCGAGTATCCCTCGATCCCGCCAACATCCGCCGCCCCTAGCTTGGTGATCACCTCACAACGTCTGATTACTTCTTCCACTCTTGTTGTTGCTGTTGCTCGAAAGCGTCTCTTGCATTCGCTTGGTCTTGCGATCGACCTGCGCTTTCGGAGAAGAAGAAAGACCTTGGACAGCTGAGGCTCTTTTTCAAATACGCTGGACGGCCTTTTCGTCTCATCTGGACCCGCGGAAATTGGCCAGCGAGAACAGCTGAAAAAAAAAAAAAAACAACGAAATCAACAACAACAATCAGTGGCAAGCAAAAACGAGAAACACCATCTCTACGGCACCGCTTGTCAGTTATATGCCGCCTGGGGCGCAAACATAGCCTAGATGGCTGCCTTGCAATCCACAAGCGACGACAACAATGACGGTACCCTTGGGGTGAACAATGAAATCCAGGAGGTCAACAGCAACATTTCCAAACCGACGAAACGCCAGCGATGGGCGACGACACGTCATGTTGGGCCGGGGGGTATGAAGAAGCGAGTGTCTATAATCGACCGGTTTCACAAGCGCACGGGATCGAGAGAAGAGAAGCGCAAATCCACCACACCGAGTAGTGCCGCCGATACCGTGTCCACTCGCGTGGACGACAATCATGCCTCGGGACCAAATCGGACTATCTACTTCAACACCCCGGTCCCTGAGAGCGAGCGAGATGAGGAAGGCCGGCCGATTCATATCTACCCCCGCAACAAAATTCGCACTGCAAAGTATACGGCATTGACCTTCGTCCCCAAGAACATTTGGCTCCAATTTCACAACATCGCGAACATCTACTTCTTGTTCGTGATTATTCTTAATGTATGCGCTCGCCCTGCATGACGTGACTTGACGTGGAAGATTCACCGATAATGATGGTGCAGAGACGTTGAAGAGTCACAAGCTAATCAGTATATGTTGTTTCCTAGTTTTTCCGATCTTCGGTGCTAACAATCCCGGCCTGAACGCTACTCCATTGATTGTCATTATTGTTGTGACAGCAATCAAGGATGCCATCGAAGACTGGGGTCGCACGGTTTCTGACAGTCAGGTCAACAACTCCCCGGTTTACCGACTCGTCGATTGGGACAATGTCAATTCGTCGGAGGATAACATTTCCCTGTGGCGCCGGATCAAGAAGGCGTCAACTCGAGGTGCGATTGCCTCATACAAGTGGGCAAAGAAAGCCTTCACCAAAAAGAAGGCGAATGAAGAGGATCCTCAGGATGAGGACCGCCGACCATCTTACCTCACAACAGCCGAACCGCGGTCGTCGATCTACTCACATCGCAACTCTATGGCTGCGGAGACTGCAATTCCTATGACCGCTGTCTCGCCGCCAGCAGCTGAGGTGCGAGAAGACTGGCCCATCCCAAATAACCCCGAGGCCAAGTACCTTCACCCCGATAGCGCTGCTCGAAATAGCTTGCTTTCACCTACCTCCCTCGACAAGAAGACCGGGAGTGTTCTAGACAAAACGAAGGAAACACCTGGAACTGCGCGATTCAAGCGGGACCATTGGAAAAGCATCCAAGTGGGTGACTTTGTTCGACTTTACAACGAGGACCCCGTCCCGGCCGACATTGTGATCCTATCTACCTCCGACCCGGACGGAGCATGCTATGTGGAGACCAAGGGTCTCGATGGTGAAACCAACCTGAAAGTCCGACAAGCTCTTCACTGTGGTCGACAAGTGCGCCATGCACGCGACTGCGAAAAGGCCGAGTTCACGATTGAAAGCGAAGCGCCTCACGCGAATCTTTACGCCTACAACGGCGCCATCCGATGGGATCAGCGTGATCCTAGGTACCCGGATGCCCCCCCCAAGGAGATGGTCGAGCCCATCACAATCAACAACATGCTCCTCCGTGGTTGCTCTTTGCGCAGTACCGAATGGGTCCTCGGAGTGGTTGTTTTTACTGGCGGTGATAGTAAGATCATGCTGAATTCCGGCGCGACACCCGCAAAGCGGGCACGACTGGCCAAGGACTTGAACTGGAATGTCATCTACAACTTCTTCATCCTCTTCGCCATGTGCCTTGTTGCGGGTATCGTCAATGGTGTCGCATGGGCCGCTCCCGACAAGTCATTAGACTTTTTCGACTTTGGATCTTATGGCGGCACGCCTCCTGTGACGGGCATCATCACTTTCTGGACTGCGCTCATCCTGTTTCAGAACTTGGTCCCTATCTCCCTCTACATCTCATTGGAAATTGTTCGCACAATTCAGGCCGTCTTCATTCACAGTGATATCTTTATGTACTACGAGAAGCTTGGTCTATATTGTGTCCCTAAATCCTGGAACATTTCCGACGACGTGGGACAGGTGGAGTACATCTTCTCAGATAAAACCGGCACCCTGACACAAAACGTCATGGAATTCAAAAAGGCTACCATCAACGGCATGGCGTACGGGGAGGCCTATACCGAAGCTCAGATGGGCATGCGGCGTCGTGAAGGTGCCGATGCTGACAAGGAGGCGGCGGAGGCTCGGGCCCAGATCGCTGCCGATTCTAAAAAGATGCTGGCAATGCTCCGTGAAATTCATGACAATCCGTACCTGAAGGATGAGAATCTGACGTTCGTTGCTCCGCACTTTGTTGCAGATATTGCCGGCCAGTCAGGCCAGGCTCAAAAAGCTGCCACGGAACACTTCATGCTCGCCTTGGCGCTGTGCCATTCTGTCATCACTGAGCACACTCCCGGCGACCCACCACAAATTGAGTTCAAGGCCCAGTCACCCGATGAGGCGGCCCTCGTCAGCACCGCTCGAGACTGCGGCTTTACAGTCCTTGGTCGAGCTGGTGATGATCTTTTAGTCAATGTCATGGGCGAGGAGCGGACTTACACGGTCTTGAACACCCTCGAATTCAACTCTTCTCGCAAGCGCATGAGTGCCATCATTCGTATGCCGGATGGTACTATCCGTCTTTTCTGCAAGGGAGCCGATAGCATCATCTACTCTCGTCTGGCTCGTGGCAAACAACAAGAACTTCGTCGTCAGACAGCAGAGCACCTTGAAGAATTTGCAAAGGAAGGACTCCGAACTCTTTGCATTGCTGATCGTCTGTTGAGTGAGGAAGAATACCTGGCCTGGAACCGGGAGCACGATATTGCTGCAGCTTCAATCACTGAGCGCGAAGAGAAGATGGAGGAAGTTGCTAGCCAGATCGAGCAAGAGCTCATGTTGCTTGGAGGTACCGCCATTGAAGATCGTCTCCAAGACGGCGTTCCTGATACCATCCAGCTACTCGCAGATGCCGGAATCAAATTATGGGTACTCACGGGCGACAAGGTGGAGACGGCGATCAACATCGGCTTTTCTTGCAACCTCCTCAACAATAACATGGATCTGATTGTCCTGAACATTGCCGAAGGTCAGCGCGAGCACGCGCAGCGTGAACTTGATAAGCATCTGGAAGGTTTTGGGTTGACAGGTTCGGATGAGGAGCTGATCGCCGCTCGCAAGGACCATTCACCACCTGAACCCACCCACGCGGTCATCGTGGACGGTGAAACTCTCAAGATGATGTTGGATGACGAGTTCAAGCAAAAATTCCTGCTTCTCTGTAAGCAATGCAAAGCCGTCCTGTGCTGCCGTGTCAGTCCGGCACAGAAGGCTGCTGTTGTCAACATGGTTCGGCATGGTCTCAACATCATGGGTCTCGCAATCGGCGATGGTGCAAACGATGTGGCCATGATTCAGGAGGCTGACGTGGGTGTCGGCATCGCGGGTGAGGAGGGTCGCCAGGCTGTCATGTCCTCCGATTACGCTATCGGACAATTCCGCTTCCTCCAGCGCCTGCTCCTTGTGCACGGCAGATGGTCTTATCGTCGGCTGGGAGAGTGTATCGCGAACTTTTTCTATAAGAATCTGGTTTGGACGTTCGCTCTCTTCTGGTACTGCATTTTCAACAATTTCGACTGCTCCTACCTCTTCGACTATACATATATCGTCCTTGTCAACCTCGCTTTCACCTCCCTTCCGGTTATTTTCATGGGCATTTTTGACCAGGACGTTGACGATCGCGTGTCGCTCGCCGTGCCTCAGCTCTACATGCGTGGCATCGAGCGCAAGGAATGGTCGCAACTCAAATTCTGGTACGTCTCCTAAATCCGTTGAACCTCTCTTCGACTCGGCTAACTGTCTTTCTAGGTTATACATGTTCGATGGATTGTTCCAATCAGTGATTTGTTTCTTCATGCCTTATATGCTGTACGCGTCGGCAAACTTTGCCACTGAAAATGGTCGGACTATCTCCGACAGGACTCGAATGGGTGTTCTCATCGGAACCTCGGCCGTTCTCGCCAGCAATTTGTACATCATGATGAACACCTACCGTTGGGACTGGTTCACATGCTTGATCAACGTGATCAGCTCCCTTCTGATCTTCTTCTGGACCGGAATCTACTCCTCTTTCACCGGAGCCGGTCTGTTCTACGATGCCGCCCATGAGGTCTACGGTGCCCTCAGTTTCTGGGCTGTGCTGCTTGTGACGGTCATGATTGCCTTGCTTCCACGCTTCCTCTACAACTCCGTTCAGAAGGTGTTTTTCCCTCTAGACGTCGATATTATCCGCGAGCAAGTCACGCTTGGCAAGTTCAAGCACCTTGAGGAATTCGACGACTATGTGCCTCCCAATGCAGGTGGCGTTCCTACCACTGGAGAAAGTTCGGCCGCTTCCTCGGAGATCGCCAAACCGATCGAGATGCCTGTCAAGCAAGATGCCGCCGATCGTGATCAGACTACGCGGTATTTCTCTCCGTCCCCGCATACCAACGGGCATAATCCCCGCAGCCAGAATGGCAGCAATGGCACCAACTACACCGAGAGTTTGGACCAGCGTCCGCTACCCCAGTCTGTCGATATGGTGCGACGTTCCCATGATCGCACCCGTCATTCGTTTGAGAGATGCCGACAAAGCTTTGAACAAAGTAATGACTTCACTTCAGCGGCTCGGCTTTCACGTATGGAATCAAGTCACACCCAACGGTCTTATCAAGACCCCTTCCGGTCCCCTGATGAGCACACTGCAACATGATTTGAAGACTTTGCGATTCACGGCTTTTACGACATCTCTTGTACCTGTGGACGAACCTACTGTCCACCATGCTAATTCATATTTTCCACCCTTTATTGCCTTTTCATATTCACGAGCAATATGCTGTGGTGTTCTTCGTCTCAACTGCCTTTTATTTGGTCATCTCCACCCTTTTTCTTCCCTGGCATGGATATTCCCCTTTCATAGAAAGCTGGCGTTTGGTATGATGCCTTTCAGGCAGAGGCTTCGGGCGCGAATCTTTCTCGTTTCTGTTTTCCTTCACTTCTGCCCTTTGTCCTTTCCTAAACCCTACGGGCTATTGTGGACACCATCAGAGCAGTATTGGTCTATCATCATTCTCTTGTCTCCTCTGTCTCATAGTTTTCCTGTCCTTCCACCATGTATAAAAGCGCTTCCTCATATGGCCGCTCCACAACGAATGAAATTCCACAGTTGATCCTTCAATATTGTTTTCATCCATTAATCATATAGCCAGTTTGTAGTCTCATGATCACCGCTTCCTCTGTTCGCTTTTTTTCATTTGCGGTAATTGTTCCTTCGCCCAGAAATTGTGATGTACGACCATGGTGAGGTCTGTTCGCAGACGAGCTCCTGGAATAGTATTCTTCTTCCTGTAGGTCCACCTGAGAGACTGTTCACCATAAACCTATAGGTCTAGGTGTCTATCTTAGTACGCAGACACATGTGGGTTCGCTGAATCCCAGAGGAGTCTTCCAGTTATGGATCAGCTTCAGTATCCAGGTCAAGGAGAAGTGGAAAATTTCGGCGTCGACATGTTTTTGACAGCTACTGATTCCTTTATATGTCTACCATGTCTAGTGTCTACTATGTCATTCACGCTCACTAGAGTACCTGAGTGGAGGTTGAGGTACTGCGGGTTTCAGGAGTCAGCACGTACTCCCATATTTAAGATTGCATCTAAGCTCAAGGTACTAGGTAACAAACTTACCTACGTACATCCATTCCATCAGGGGCCTTCTCCAAATCTCACCTCAATACTTCAGGGTATATATAGCTTAAGATTGATGCGCATTTGACCTTCCGGGTGATGGGCCTCTTTGTCCGACCAGCTGGATACCAGGTATCTGCAGGGTCTTGTGCTCAAAAGGGTATGAAGATCACTGCTCGAGCTACCTGCCGCGGGTGAGCGAGCATACATTTCGCTGGTTCTCACGCAAGGGACAGGCTGAATAGAAGAAATCTGACGACTAGTAAGGCGTCCTGTGATAGTGTATAAATCAAAAATGCGTGCGTGTATGTTGTCGCCAAGCCGATAAGCTTGTCGAGGCGACAACGATCACGGCGAGGGAGGAAAGCACACTCTTGGGCTCTCAACTCATACTCTGGGGTAAAATCAAAATGACGACCCAATTTACGTTGAAGCTCGAATTCTGTAAGCGCGCATCTAACAAACGTCATATCATGATTTAAAAACTCGCCAGACTGTGGATATGAGCCAGCACTTCATTTTCGTAGGAGTCTGCCAGCACAGCATTGATGCTTAGTAGAACGATCCTGCTGGTGGGTCAGTAATTTCCTACTCGGGTAAAAGTGAGGCGCGTAAACGCGTCTTGAGGCTCGTAGACCGCCTTCGTACTTTTACCGATGGACCGAATTCTGCCCGCGATTATCCTTCGATCAGTTGTTCATTTTCCATCTCAGTCGTGTTGGTGCTCGGAGCCATTGGAACCCCTTCAGGGAGGTCACATATCAGTGTGATAATCTTGTGAGAGTATTGACTGGTCTATTTGAGAGCTCCTCTCGTTCAGTTTGCTTTCGTTTCACTCTTTTCATCCAGAAGAGGTATGTTTGAGTGGTTCTCGGAAGCACGTCGATTAACTAGTAGAGGCCTTCAATGGATCTCACGAGATGTTTGCATGCGCGTATCTGATGACCCTGAGTATTTCTGTAGATCTCCGCAAGGTACTGCCGCAAATCGTGCAGATGTTAAGATAGTCTGGGGGTTTTTTTGAATGGTTGCGGCTTCGCTTCTCATCCGCTGTCAGATCACTTTCGTCTTGCCGTCAAGCGCACTGGCGTCATTTTCGTTCTCTCGCAAGAGTCGTCTCAGGCAATTATTTTCGAACCTCGAACCAATCAACGCCTGTTCATCGCTTCCCATCTTGCGTCCAACCATTCGGGTAGTCATTCGTTGGAAGCGGTGCCGTCTCGGCCGGTTTGCTACAGATTCGACTCGTTGTGGTCTGGAAGCTGCACGAAGCTTGTGTTGCTTGGCTGCTTGTACCGCTGGAGGAGAGATCTGAAAACCTCGAACTGAGGCAGAGCTGGAGCCATCTCTCTCAGAGTCACGGCATAACTGGCATCCGCGTCGCCAGAGGAAATACTAGCTCGGACTGGGCATAGCCGGAACATTCCCTCTAAGCCACGGGACCATTCGCACAGCTTCAGTCTCTGGGTGTCTCAACAGATTCAATCTTTTCTCACACGTGCTCGCCAATTTGAGAGGTACCAGGAGGCTACAGCTCACGAGATACAATCTGTCGATTGGAAGATGCACGTGTCGTTGTCGCTATCCTCTCAATCCCACTGATCGAGCGAAACACTAGAAATGGAGTTTGTGGCTGCTATTGCGTAAGTGGAACCAAGTGTTGAATGTCGTGATGCCTGAAGTCTCTTTTCGCTGACATACCTTGACCTCGTTAGAGAGTTGAAGGCTCTACCAGAAGGAACACACATCTTTTGCCCCCGGCAGCACGACGATGATTATGGACGTTATGATGACCCTACCCAAGTCGATGCAAATGGCAAGAGCACGAAAGATATCCTTGCTGAGGCCGAGTCACGAAAGCACAAGTTCCTCCTCGCGATGCGGATCCTCGCCTACGATTCCGAGGGAGTCGAGGAACTGCAGGCTTGGATTCTTGGAAAACTGGACGAGCTCTTGGAGAAATGTGATCTTTGCATCAAACACTACTACACCGGCAAAGTCTGGTTGAAGGATCAGCTGAAGGAAGTCTATCAGGACGAGGACATTGAAGAATTTGGCAAGAGTTTGAGCGACTGGGATGTAAAACGCATCACGAGAAATCTGGCCAACGCGACGAGTCAGCTGAAAAATGTTCCTCCGGAAGAGATCACTCTCAATATTCTAGATCGGGCTGCCTTGCTGTCAATTTTTGAGACTCTGAGCTGCGAAGGAATGCTCCAAAGTGATCAACTCCTCCGAGAACATTTTGACGAGCCGTTCAAGTTGATTCAATCAAAACGAACCTTGAAGATCTCTGACTATGTCCCTGCGGTCACCCGCTTTCTTTTTGACTCCAACCAAGCCCGTAGTTTTTGGGCAATCTCTACTTGGTCCCGATATAGTCGACCACCAACTCGTGAGGAGTTCGACTGGGCTATTCGCGATGGGTTGTTGAGTGCACTGCATGACGGATCACAGGCCGCGAATCAAGTACCGCAGCAGCATGCAGTGGTTCAGCGCTTGTGGCGAGGTATGCAGCTCATCGTTCGAAAACTCGACAAAGACCAGATCACACATCACCTCCGTGCACTAGAAATCGACCCGTGCCGTCTATCTGTGGATCATCTCTACGTGCAAACTCCAGGGTTGAGGTTTCTCTTAAATACCATCCAGATTTTCTTGGAGAAAGCCCCTGGTGACTTTTGGGATGCAATGCAAACCATTTCGCCGCAGGCGATAGTCGAACAGGTCTTTGCAAACCCGCAGTACACAGCCTTTCTCCTCCAAACCACAGACGGCGAGCCTTTTGAAAAATCTGCATTGAAGGATTTGCTCTCATGGATTGGCCCATTCCTGGCGTCCCTCAAGGGTCACCATCAGCCGTCTGCGTGTAGGTACTTGGTCACACAACTTCTCGAACGACTCCAAGGCTGCGTGTTTCCCAATCTCGTTCGGTATCACTGCTTCCACGTTGGCTTGCAGAGCCTCATCACTACCCTTCGTCGATTCACGGACCATGAGTCTTCCCGAAGTTCAGTGGACAGTGTTGTATTGAAGGAGACGATGAGTGTCGTGGCTATGATCATCAACAGGATCTTGAGTCCACCGTTATTCAACGTCGAGCAGAGTCTTCAAGAAGAGATTGGGTCATTGTGTATGGATGTCGTTCGAAACACTTTAGCTCTGGAATGTCAGTCTCTGAAGAGTGATTACGAGGTCATTCTGAAACATGGCACCCTTTCCCATGGTGTTTCCACTTACTCGGTGGACGTTTGGCAAGCCGTCATCAATCACCTCCAACCGTATAACGCCGCTCTCACAAAGGCGGCCCTGCTGGGCGTCCTGCCTCTAGTCGGATTGGAGAAATTCCCTCCCAAGGGCGACGGAAGCGGAGAGAAGAAGCATTTCAACATGATCTATGATCATTTGACTCGCTTGTGCTGTCAAATGATCGAACGGCTTGCGGGATTCGCCCCAGAGTATCTCAAGCCTCTCTTCGAAAGCCAAGACACCAGTAGTGCACTGATCTCAACATTGTTTGCTGCGGATCTGAACACCTACCAGGCTGCTGTCGATCTCATCAAGAACGTTAGTGGTCAATACGCTCGACGGGATGCCATTTCTCACCTTTTGGAGACCTCCTTCACAACCACGATGTACGGGCTCAGTTGGTCCTTCCGCCGCATCTCGAACATGAAGACCTTCGCTCCTGCCCCCAGAATGTTACACACTGGAAATGACATCGTAGAGATTCTCTGTAATAGTCAGACGGGTATGTTGCGTACCCGCAGCTTTGTGGACCGTCGTGAAATTCTGTCCCTTCAGAAGCTCTGGGAGTTCTTATGGCAGGCCCTGGCCACCATTTTTGACGAGACGGAAGCGTGGCATATGCGTGGGAACGACAAGGAGGTCATGCTGGACTTTTGTCGTGATACCATGCAATTCGCTAATTTCCTCTTCGACCAATATCCCGTCTTCTTGGGTGCAGTAGGAAGTGCTGATCCTGCTCAGTCATGGATTTCTGAGAATTTCATCAAGCCGCCCACAGCCACTATGAGTGCTATGGTCAAGTGGCTGCGCCTAAAAGATGAATATTTGGCTACCACTTTGGTGGATTTGGTCTCGAAAATTTTGAGGCGCCTTGGGAGCCTAGACGTGACAACAGTGAAGGCAGACGCGCTGGATTTCATTGAGGGAACAGCAGTTTATGGCACAATCAAAACAATCCTGACCAGCCGTGACAAGGCAGAACTCGTGCGCGCGCTGGAAGCCTACACCAAAAAGCCCGTGGTGACAGCCTCCACGGCCGCCCTCAAAAAACAGTCATTCATCACGTCGTTTGCTCGTCACCCCACCGATTTTTCTTCCCCATCCTCTCCTTCTTCTCATATCATCAGTAACGACGACTTTGAAGAAATTCCCGACGAAACCTTCCTCGATCTTTCTCGCTCCGTGGAACTAAATAAAAATCGCCTCGCTCTGTCTACGAAGCCCAAGGGCCAGACTTCCCAGACCATGTCGACTGCGATTCGCACTCGGCCTGGTCTGTCCAAGCCTACCATTTTCCCACGAGTGGTCAAAGATGATGCGAGCAGCGTGCTTTCGTTCCGCGAGAAGCGTGAGCGCGAGAAAGAAGCGAAGAAGCAACGGGACTTGGCAGAGTTGGCTCGACTGAAGAAAAAGTTACCTCAGCGGGGGGTGGCTCAGCAGACTGCCGAGCAGGGCTCTGGCTTGAAAGGTATTGGTGTGAAGGGTAAAGATCATTCGGTCCCCCTCGATAGCATGATGGTTTCGTCTGGCTCGGACTCCGATACTGAGAGTGAAGATGATTTAGATCAGGAGCTCTTCGGCGCAAAACATAAGAAGGCCGATGCGGCTCCCCAGGAGAAGAAACAGCCGCCCCAGCAGGGACCCTACAAGAAAAAGAAACGTGAACGCTCAATCAAGGACATGCGTGCGCGTCTGTCCCCGGACCTTTCGTCTCTTCATCACCAGTTCCTATCCTGGGAGTTTTTCACAGAGGGCGATCTCCCCGCCTCAACCCACACGGATTATACCCTGGTTTCCAATACATTCCGCTCACCCCAGGAATACCAGAAAACGTTCGAGCCTCTGCTGGTTCTCGAAGCTTGGCAAGCATTCCAATCTGCCAAAGAGGATGGCTTGCCCTATTGGAAACCTTTCGAAGTCAAAGCGGTCACTCGTTTGACGGTAGATACCTGGCTGGAGATCAGTACTTTGCTCACTGGCCCACCGACAAAGGACAATGGTGTCACCGAAGGTGACCTGGTTTTGTTTTCACACGATTCACGACCACACGAGAAAAAAGACGCCCCCCACGTGATGGCACGAGTTCACCGTGTCAAACGTACACCTGGTAAATATGAGGTCACTTACCGCATGAACCCTAATGGTGCCTCCAAGTTCCTTCAGAAGTTCGCTGTCGGAACCACAGCCTTCGCTGTCAAGGTCACTTCGATGGTCCCTGTGGAGCGTGAGTTCGCTGCGCTGACGTCCTTACAATACCTCGATCTCTGTGAGGAGATCGTACTGGCGAAGCCGTCGCCACTGCTCAAGTATGCAGATAAAACCTTACAAGGGTTCGTGGACTGCTATCAGATCAACCAGTCCCAGGCCAAGGCGATCAAATCGGCCGTCGATAATGACGGCTTCACCCTCATCCAGGGTCCACCCGGTTCCGGAAAGACAAAGACAATTACCGCGCTTGTGGGCTGTCTTCTTACAGCCAAAATCGGTGCTGCGTTCCAGAGTGCGAAGCCTGTTGCAGGCACTCCCCGAAAGATTCTGGTGTGCGCACCAAGTAACGCCGCCGTCGACGAACTCGTGATGCGATTGAGGAACGGTGTCAAGGCTCGATGCGGCATGTTTGAGAAGATATCTGTTGTTCGTCTGGGAAGAAGCGAGTCTGTCAACCCCAAGGTTCTTGACCTAACACTCGATGAGATGGTCAACCGTCGTCTGGAACGCATCCAAAAGGACAACAAAGGGCCCGATGTGGCAAAGCTTTGTGATGAACACAAAGCCACTGATTCCGACTTCAAACGCGTTCGGTCCCAGATCGATGAGTGCAAAGCAAAGGGATTTGCGCCACCCGACGAGCTTGAACGCGAACTCGATCTCTTAAGGAAAAAGCGAGCGCAGCTGGGTGACGATATCGATAAAGCCCGTGACCAGGTCCAACTTCTGGCTCGAAGATCTGACATGGAGAAGCGCAAGGCCCAGCAATACATCATAGATGGTGCCCATGTCATCTGCAGTACACTCAGCGGTGCAGGCCACGACTTGTTTCAGAGCATGAACGTGGAATTCGAGACGGTCATCATCGATGAAGCTGCCCAGTGTATCGAGCTAAGTGCCTTGATTCCACTGAAATATGGCTGCTCCAAGTGTATTCTCGTTGGAGATCCTAAGCAGTTGCCACCCACAGTCTTATCATCGATGGCCTCTAAATACCAGTACGAACAAAGTCTGTTTGTCCGCATGCAGAAGAACCATCCAAACGATGTACATCTGTTGGATGTTCAGTATCGTATGCATCCAGAAATCAGTGCCTTCCCCAGTTTGACGTTCTACGATGGCAAACTTCAAGATGGAGCAGGAATGAGCAAGCTTCGTGCTCAGCCATGGCACCAAAGTGAGCTGCTCAGTCCATATCGATTTTTCGATGTGCAAGGCATGCATCACAGCGCCGCCCGCGGACACTCACTGGTCAACTATGCCGAGATATCTGTGGCTATGCAACTTTATGACCGCTTGGTGACGGATCTCAAAGATATTGACTTCACCAACAGAATCGGAATCATCACCCCCTACAAAGGTCAACTTCGTGAGCTCAAGGCTCGCTTCGCTGACAAGTATGGCAACAGGATCTTGGAGACGGTCGACTTCAACACCACAGACGCTTTCCAGGGTCGCGAGAGTGATGTGATCATATTCTCTTGTGTGCGAGCCTCAAATAAGGGCATTGGTTTCTTGTCAGACATTCGTCGAATGAACGTCGGTCTTACTCGTGCCAAATCCTCTCTGTGGGTACTCGGAAACTCTGCCGCCCTTATGCAAGGCCAGTACTGGCAGCGTCTCATTACCAATGCGCGAGAGCGCAATCTTTACACAGATGGCAACATCTCTCAGTTGCTTGAGCGGCCTCAGCTCACAGGTTACAAGGAGGTTGAAATGGTCGACGTCGCTACAAGCGGCGCCATTGAGAGCGCCCCAACGACCAAGTCTCCATCTCCAGCACGAGAGTCTGATCCTTCCAGAGAGTCACTTGCCGCGAAGGGGACCCCAGTAGTAGTTTCTAAACCCACTGCTCTGCCTACTTCCCGACCCGAGGGGCCTTCTGGCGGCGCCGCTGGCTTGGACGAGAGCAAGGCTTGTGGAATATGTGGCAGCAATAGTCACTTCACCCACAACTGTGACAATGAAGAGGCTCAGGCGGTTGCGCGAGGCCAATGCTTCCGGTGCCGCGGATATGGCCACACCAAGTTTCATTGCACGGCTATCCGCTGCCTTGAATGCGGTCAAATCGGTCATGAAGCTTCTAAATGCAACGAAAGGTCACTTCCCAAGCACGAAAAGGCTCGAATTGCTCAAGAGGAGCGTCGCCGTACTGAGAACCAGAAAATGAACGCTGAACGCCAGCGCCAGCGCCAAATGGGTGGCCACGATCCCAAGATCCCTAAGATTGCTGTGAGCACCCAGCCAAGTCCCGCCTCTGGTGACAGCACTGGCAACAAGCGTAAGTCTGTCGACGTGTCTAGTGATAGCAGAAAACCTTCGCAGCCTGCCAAGAAGGCACGACTTCTTCCTCCGGTAAGTCTCCGTTTTAAATTGTCTACTGCCTGCTATCTTGACCCCCTGACGTATACATGCTAACTCTATCCAAGGGTCTCTCGGTCTCAGCTCCTCCTCTCCGTCGCTTCCCAGCCTCAGTCGACAAGAAACCGTCTCCAGGTGCTGAGGGATCGAACATCACGAAGACTGGGGTAAGTTAGATGAGGAAATCGTCGTTGTGATAACTGAGCTTTCACTCACCGCGACCTTGTGGGTTTTAGACATCTCGGCCGACCTCCAACTGTAGCGAAAGCGACGAGCGCAATTCTGTCGACTTGCCTGGCAACGGCCGGAAACCTCCACAGCCGCAACCACCCAAGAAACCCCGGCTCCTTCCCCCGGTGAGTCTCTTTCTAGCAAGGCTACTTCCTTCTACTCTGGCTCAAAGATGTACATATGCTGACTCTATCTCAGGGTCTCACGGCCCCGGCCCCTCCACTACGTCACCTCCCAGTGTCTGCCGACAAGAAGCCATCTCCAGGTGCTGAAAACTTGAACACCGCCAAACTCGAGGTAAGTCGTGAAATGGAGCCGTCCTCCTGGTCGTTGGAGCGTCACTCACCGCGGTCTTTTCGAGCTCTAGGCGCCTCAACCTACTCAGCCATCTCAACCACTTCCGAGACCCATGGCTCGAAAAAGGCCAGTCGACCCTTTTATTCGGCCAAAACGAAAATAGTGCATCTGGCCAAACTGACGTCTGCAATGACGACTTGGCTCGTTAACAAGGATACGCAGAAAGGGCGAGATGACTCACAGCAACTCCAAGAGCATTGGCTTGCGCCCTTGTCCGACCAAAATCTCCCAACTCCTTTTCCCGTTATCCTCCCCATCGCCATTTCAATTTCCTTTTCCCCCAGAACACATAGAAACGAGAGCGTCTTCCTCTCCTCTTGCATTTCCAATCCACTGCTGTTCCAGGCCTCACTTGCTCTGCCTGGACTATGCGCAGTACCACTTCCACCATCCTAGCCCTTCCCCAGCGTATTACCACTACGCAATGCGTTCACCCGGCCTGCTCATTCGATAATTTCTTCTCTATTTTATGGAGACTGCAAAAATCTCAAAAAACAAACGTGATGAACATTGAAAAAACAAGAGGAAGTTCGAATAACTAGGCGTAGTCAAGGTCTACTAGCACCAAGAGCACTCATAGAAGCCTCATCAATGATCCTTCTGGATATCTTCAACCGAGCAGTACGACCATCTGGCACCATACTCACAGATAATAAGATCACTTTGTGGTAAATTGAGTACATAGTGGGGAGGACATGACTCTTTCTCGGCTCCCTGGGATGAGGCCCACCATGAAGTCAAGAGCAGTGTCAAGTTCAGACAGCATGCTCGGATCCTTCTTGAACTGTGTAAGGCCCGTGACACTGTAGACGAACGAACGGCATTGATCAGAAGGTCAAGGCGATCGGGTAGAGGATTCCTTAATTATTCCTTGATTTTGTCTTGTTGTTCACCTTTCTTGGATCAGGGATGAAATGTTACTAGATTATCCAAACTGACGGTACGCAGTATTGTACAAAGCTCCATAGTACATGCATAACTGCATACAGTACAGTCCTGAGTCCATAAAGTATACACTGATAGTCTGAGACAGTTACTCAGTTCCCATGTCAGCTTAGGTCGTCAGTAGGTAAGGTACCTGGAATTCGGCAGCGTTTAGCTCCGTCCTGTGCTGAATATCCACTTGCCACGGGTTTCCGGTCTCACGTCTCACTCCACAACCGATCTTCACTCGCCAACCACCACTCGGTCTCCAACTCTATCTCGATTCCGGTGCTTCAATGGAGCCGCCAGCGAGTCTTTGCTCGACCCCTCCTCTTTGAGAGTGGAATCGAAGCGCAATCCTTGTCGTCTTCACAGATGCCTTCGTGGCTACACAAGCAGTGGAGATCGACTGGATCGGCATGCGCCAGGGCCTTCTCCGACGAGGGTGGAGCTGATCTCGTCCTCCCTTCCCCCACAGACAATCGAAGCGTTTGGATACCTCACATTGAGATGGTTCTTGGTCCTCCGTTCGTCGAATATCGAGCGCCATTACCACATCGCGCATCAATTGGGTCGATGGAGCCGATGAGTGACAAACTTTCTGTCCCTTGCGCAGCATCTTTTAGAGAAGTCTTATCATGAGAAAATGAGCGAAGCAAAGCAGTCGTTTGTCTTCGGAACAAACGCTCGGGCACGCCCTACTACCTGGGATGGCGCTTCTGCCAGTCTTGAGCAAACTCCCATCCCATCGCGCTGCAGGAGGCTGGGCTACACAACAGGGACTCTTCACTGGCAATAATTGAACAGATCATGCCACAAGGGCCTCTGTGGTCTTTGTTCGTACCTAGTCCCTAGTCTCTACCAGAGGACAGATCTTCACATTCCCTTCAGCTGAGCGAGGGGTCTCTCGAGCGAGCAGCTTCTCCGCTTTCGCTAGAGTAGGAGTCAAATGTCAGTCGACAGTTCGAAAGGTCCACCGGTTGCTGTGTCATATTGCAAATTCCACGGCGGATGTAAACCGGGCGCGCATCCGCCCGTCTGGACCCAGAACCACAATGTAAACGCAAAGCTAATACACATCCTACACTCTAATGCTCGATGACGCCGTCGCATACGGTTCGAACAAACTGGCTCGCGAGCGGACTACATGATTGACTTCGAGCTACATCGCAAAAGTCATGTCCCATTGGATTTCTCTAAACTCGGGTGCTCGGTTGAATCGGACTCAAGGGAAGGCTGGATTCCTGCCCCCCTTCGAGGGAGACACGATGCATCGTCTGAACCTGCCTGTCTCGACGGCAATAGTTCCCTTTGACTTTGGTCCGTGTGTTCGTACTTATGCTTGCGAACCCTCCCGCTTACCGAGAGCGGATCTAGATTTTGTTATGGGATTTGCAATTGGATCGACACGCCTTTGCACGGCCTTTTGCGTATCAGTGATTGCCAGGATCTACCTCGAGAGACGCGATAGCTCCATTCTGGCCGAAGGGCCTTGGTAATGCACATTTTCAAATAAGTCGACCTGCGCACCGCATCCACCTACTCGTCTGTTGTCGCTCCTTCACGGTTGCCTTGTCTTGGGTGGCCATCATCCACCTTCGTCTGCTTCTCGAGCATCCCTGCTACGTTTTCTCTGTTTATGGTGGCTTAGCCGAGCAGCTAGCACCTGAAAGCTGGACTTGCCAGCATTTCCACCTGTCGGTGTATCGACCCCGAAACTGAAACGAAAAAGATTGCTGCCTAGCTAAAGTGACATGGTTGACGATAGCCGGTAAGGTTAAATATGGTAACGACGAGAGCTTCGACTCGGCTGACCACACATTCAGATAGTGTCCACCTGGTTTTGTTACATTCTTCGATCTTTTCATTCTTCAAAAACCGGGAACGGCACCTCATGAGGGCCCAACGCCTGATCGAAGAGTTGACCAATTGATGCATCTATGCATCATTTGGGCCCAACGAGTGAGAGTGCCATTGCACCAAGTCCCGTCGTTCCTACCTACCGACCTAGCCCTCAATCTCTCAAGTTACAACGCAGAAAATCCAGCATGGGTTCTTCAGCCGTTGATCCCGAAAGCTCACTTCCGCTGGCCATGTTGGAGCTTATTAGGCCGCAGGCATCACCGCCGCGACCACAAGCACGCTCAGCAGGCATGGCCGAGAGGCCATCTCGCAATGAGAATTTGTCAGACCTAGTGCGATTCTTTCAGACAAGTGAAGCGGAGCCCTCCCCCCGTCCGAACCCGACGCCAATTCCAACTTCTCCAGAAAGCACTACCGCTTTACCTGTCGTCGCCGAGACAAGACCGTCAATCGAACCCCCGACGGAGCCGACAAAGGATGCGAAGCCATTGCGCCGCCGCTTCCTCCAATTCGCTCAACGTCAGAAGAAGGACTCCTCCGCCAAATCAAAGTTAACCGATAACCAGCGTCAGATTGAAGCACTTCAACGGGAAGGATACCTTCTGACGGCCCCTAAGCCAAAGAGCACACGGTCATCGAGAACCAGCATCAGCTCCAAAAACAGCCTGGAAAGGACCTACTCTAGATCCAAGAAGCAGGACGTGGAAACTATTGGACAGCCATGGCTAGAGACGGACTCGAAGCGAGGCTCCTCGGAATTCAAGCAACACCTGGCCCCGCTTAACTTGGGCGATTTTGGATCCATGGTCGATGTAGCCGTGTCATTATCCAAGCAAGAGGAAGACCTGTCGCCTCCACCCTATCAGCCTCCGTCTTCGAGCAAAATAACCATCAATCCAGGCAATCAGGGCTCTTCAGATGTCTCTGCGTACGCCCGGCCCGACACGGACAATACGCTGTCTTCGCCCATGTCCACGGCCGCAACTCACGGCAGCCCCTCTCCGCAGGAGCATGCCCGGCAACTTTCTACTTCCACAAGCTCAACTAGGCGAATCCTGGATCCTGACATCAAGCCCCCTCCTCGAATGCCGAGACTGAACTCCGTCGAATTTCAGGCAGGGTCGTCCACTGCTTCCTTAGTCTCTGATGGCTCAAGATCCGAGCCATTTGTTGAAAATCTCAAAAAGCCTGGCCAAGCTTCTGAGAATTCTTCCCAGAGCTCACCGGGAGGCTTGTCTTCCCAGCCATCGTTGAAGCTCTTTCCGGACGTGGCACCCGCACGCATGCCTAGTAAGAATTCACTCAATGCTTTGCCGATACCCCAATACCAGCGGTCTCCCCGTCCTCCCGCGTCTGCAAACTCGTCGACCAACGTATCACCCATGGGCCCCAAATCCGCAAATGTCAGGCTGTCAGATGATTCATCCACGAAATCCAATGTTGAAGGAGAGCGAAAAATGTCTGGCGCGACTGCTACGTCAACAACCTCCTCTACATCGAGCGAAACCCAATACGCTTCTTCTGTAAGAAGTGGGAAGACCAATGCACCTGAACTTCCAATTTCACCAGCGACAATGGGTACCCTACAGGCGTTCCCCCTGCCAGCACCGACTCGACCTCTGCCATCGCTGCCTCAACCTGCCCGGGCACCCCCATGTATTCCAGCGGCGCAGCGCGTTACAGCAGAACTCGCTATATTACCGCCACTCAAAGCCCCCGAATCAAAATATCCCCATCCTTCTCCTATTGCAGAGGAGCCTCGTGAGCTCACTCCTAAGGATGCATTACACTATCAATCGTCTTTGGCTTCGCGCTCTACAATTGACCCAGAAAGCAAAGATGAGCAAGGATCGGAACTTGACTCTGAAAGCCCTAGCCCCGCATACATTCTGGATGTTTCGAAGTCGAGTCTATCACAGCTCGGTGCGGTAGGGCGACGAGCTCCTAGCATTCGAATCCCGAAGATGCAGGATGATCGAGAGCATCCAAGCAACAATGAAGCCGATGGATTGGCTTTGGCTGATTCTCCGTTACTGGGTCGAGCAAATAGCATGGAAGCGAATGGCAAGCGTGCGGCTCGTAAACCGCTTGAAATTGACTCGACAAATGTTCGACTGGATCCAACTCACCTGCCATTCGGGTTACCTTCACCACCACCTACCGCGGCCCTTCCATCAGATCCTCCTTCGCAACTCCATCCCGATCCATCTGCCGAAAGGAGAAAGATCACAGCCTCCGTATCAGCGGGCGGGCGCGCTCTCAAGGCAGTGGATGGTCAATATAATGCCAGTCACCACCGAGCGTCCATGGTATCTCGGAGCAACAGTTCTCGTAGCAGCCTTCGACATGAAAGCATCCCAGAATCAACTGAGCCAAGCCACTCAGAATCACCGTTACCCTCTTCGGATGACGAGGGATTCGGGCCCAATACAGGAACGAGCAGAGCTCGTTGTGCAGCAAGAAAGATTTATAGGCTGCCACATTCCCTACATCAAGGCTACGCAACAGTGGGCTCAAGACCTAGCCACAGTCGACCCCGGTATGCTGAGTCTGTTCGATCACAGACCCCGCAGGGCCGTATGGGTAGAAGTCTAGACAAGAGTGCCATTTCCCCCCAGTCCAATTATTCTCACTCAACTCATCGCTCTCGCGACTCGCGGAGTTCGCACCAGACACAAGCAGCGGCCAGTCAGATGGCGCACTTTCTCGAAGATCGAGTTGCTCATCTAGAACGTCAGAACCAAGTGCTTCAGGCAGCCCTCTTTGCCGCTCTCAATGCCGGTGGGAAGAGTCCGTTCGATGGATTGAGCGATCTAGAGCGGTCTTCCCATATGGCTCAACCACGCTACACAAATCCATACCAGGCAAGATTCACTGCTCGTCCCGATAGTTGGGTCGGCTCTACTCATAGTAGCGAGCACAGTGGGGGCTTTGACCCTTCGGCTTCGTGCCAGGACAATCGGTCTCACTTACGACAGCTTGATAATATGATTGAAGATATTGAGGGTGGCTGGATGTCTGACAAATCCAGTCTCGCTGGGGTGCGAATGACGAGACCTCAGTGAAAAATGGTCCTATGGACCATATGACACACGAATATTTGGAAACGTGATGCTGTTGATGTTGCCCACCACATTCCTTTTAATATTTCCTACCAGATCACTCTTATCATGACTCTTTTATGCCTCGAATATCTCACGCCGGTGAATCTCTCACGCCGGTGAATCTCTCAGTCCTTGCCTGATTTCTTGCACATCATCCATTCATACAGCCATGCAATTTGTTGAAAATGCCGATAGCCTGACGTTCTCTCACTTGGCCGCACAGTTTTTCTTTAACTCTCGAGAGGAGGCCTTGCCACCATTGAACAGCGCTCTGTGATACTCTCTTTGCAAATGAAATTTTCTTTTTCTTTCTGCCTACTTCATGTCAATGAGTAATTGGGCAATCTACTACCTACTCCTAGTACCTAGTACCTAGTATCTAGTACCTACTGCCTACTGACCCAGTGAACACAACCAGGTCATTTAAGGGATCATTCGGAGGGTTGGAACCGCACGTTTGGAAAGCTACAGTATCTGAGCATCCTACCAAGTAACTTAGTTAGGTAGTTACACTTAACTTAGTTACTAGTTAGTACTTCATGAACCTTACCCTCAACCTCTCGTACCAGGCACGGTCTTGGGTGGGTCCTGCGGGACTGTCCCCGCCTGTGATTGTTTGTCCGCCTGAGCTTGGGAGTTTTGTAAAGATTATCAACATTCAACATACACTTGACCCTCTACACCGCGGTCAGGCAAACTCTGACACTCGAACAAGGTCTCGAACGCAGGCGTTGAGATCTCAATTCAAAAAAAATCTCTGTCTAACTCACTTAGAGCTTCAAGCGCACTGTCGGACAATTCCTCGTGCTCAATCGCTGCTCCCCTCCACCCAATCTCGAGCTCCTTTGACCTCCCACAGCTCACTCACCATGGCGCAATCACCTCAGGTAGGTCTCGATCGCTTCTTCTCCAGTATCATGATTCTGGTACCCAGTGCTCTGACACATACCTGCGGGCGCAACAGGTCCCACAGCATGTCACCGCACTTTTGTCGCACCTCACGTCTCGCCCGGGAGTCCAATCGACCATGATTCTAGCCCGCAAGGACGGCTCCATCATTCAATGCACCGGTGAACTCGCTGCTTCCCATACTGTGGCTCGGTCGGCTTCGCCTGTGCCACTGGTTATTGAAGCCGTGACCACCAAAGATCCATCGGAAGTGTCCCCGACTTCTCCAACGACTTCCACGGCCGCACCGGCACCGGCACCGGCACCGTATCAGCCCTCACAAGCGGAAACGCTCGCAGCACACATCTTCAATTTCGTTGCCAGCGCCTCGGCACTTGGCTTGACACTTGCTCATCCTGTCACAACTCGGACGGGGAATGAACGCCTGGCGAACGGACTCAATGGGGGTAATAACGACTACGGGGGCCACGCAGCTGGTGGAGGCTCGAGTGCGCCCCGTGAGGAGGACCTGGACACGGGTCGTGAGCGAGAGGAAGAAGACGAGATCAAATTGTTACGCATGCGCACGCGAAAACACGAGATTGTCGTGGTACCGGATCGCAAATATCTTCTTTGCGTGGTGCACGATGCAACGCATGGTGGTTCTGGGTCGGCCGGGGCACGAGTTGCTCGGTAGATGATAGTTTTTTTTTTTTGTGGTTTTTTCTATTCGCTCAAATTATCTCTTTTTACGTGTACCAGAACCTGTTCCTTCGGTGCGTCTGTGAATGACCTTGGTTCTATACCCTTGCAATTCTTTGCCTATTCATTTGAAAAGCGTTGTGTCCTCTGCGAAAGCCTGGAATGTACTGCTGTACTTGATGTTCATGGTTGCTGGCCGTCCCTCACTTTAGCTTGTACTCCCAATTTCATGTAAGCTTCTGGCGTCATGAACATCAAGACACTTACCATCCCATGCGAATATTGACGGGCAACGAAGCCTTACTGATGGCTACTAAGCCAGTATCATGTCATCTCCTTGATCATCCCTTCGATTTCCCTAGGGAAGAATAGCAAATGAGCTATTCGACAGCACGCTTGTCCCCCATCTTCACCGTCGACCAGCTTCTGCCCGGCTCATCCTCCATATCTAGCCGTGCTTCGTGATCTCCTACAGCTGCAAGCCCTGAATCTGATGTGGGCATGAACGAAGCGCGACACCAATTGATTGAGTCCCTCCACCGGACTCCGTCGCACATCGAATCAGATCCACTTCTTTACCCCAAGCTACCCCTCTTCGCCAAAGGGGACTAACCTCGGGGGAAAGTAGTTGTCAACTTGGAGACTGATTATTGAGAAGCACTCATCTTCCGACGGTCAAGTGTCATCAATTTGGTGCGTGTTTATCTTGCTAATACTGTGAGTAATACACGTCGAAGTAGTATGGTTGCGATGGCATCGACATTCGACGTGACCGCTGCGCGGGCCGCCTTTCCTGCTCTCAAAAACGAACAGATCTTTATGGACAACGCCGGTAAGCCAATGTTCCTAGACGGGCATCCGTTGTTGACGAGATGCGCCTCGCTAGGTTCGTGTCTTGGTTCTACTCATATTAATGGCCGAAAGTACAGGAGGCAGTCAAGTCCTCGGCACTGTCGCCGACTCGTAAGTTTGCTTCGCCTAGCTCATGGATGCCCAGATGAGGGAGTCATGTATCTGAAGAAAATTCTTGCAGTATCCATTCGTATCTGCTGAAGAACAATGTCCAACTTGGCGCGACCTACGAGACTTCGAAATCCTCGACCGCCGCTTACGATGAAGCATACAAAGCCGCGGCAGGCTTTATCAATGCGCACCCGGACGAGGTAAAAGACCAGTGCTCTTTCCCCCATCGATGAAACATGTTCAACTCAAATATCGATTCTGCAACATTTCCCGCGCGGTTTTCCACCTTTGCTTGGCCTTGCACAAGCGTGAACTCAAGGACTCGGTCTAACAGAACTCGACAGATTAGTATTGGGGTCTCCACCACGCAACTGTTCCAAAATTTATCCACTGCTCTCAAGTTCCGACCCGGGGATGAGCTGATTATCTCCAAGCTGAATCACGAGGCGAACAGTGCGCCCTGGGTCCGCATTGCGGAGCGTCTCGGGTTGACGGTGAAGTGGTGGGCTGCTTCAGACCCGAAGAACCCCCAGTGTGATGTGAGCGATTTACAGACCTTGTTGTCCGACAAGACTCGCTTGGTGGCAATGCCGCATGTATCGAACATCACCGGCACTATCAGCCACGTGCGAAAGATCGCGGATGCTGTTCACGCATATTCAAGAGTGAGTCAGAGGTCACATTCATGCCATCTTGTGGGCTGGATCTGATTTTCCTTCCGTCCCATGTCATGCCACGTTACGCTACGTTTACCCACTGGGCCCAGAGAGCACAGACTAAAGCATACCGATCTCTATTAGGCGCTGCTTTGCGTCGATGGCGTTGCTCTCGCACCGCATCGCCAAGTTGATGTCAAGGCCCTGGACGTCGATTTCTACGTAAGTCTTCCTTTGTCCCAACTCCTGCCTTGTGATATGACTCACCGATCGATGACTGCAAAATCCCCGGATTGTGTTGTATTCGAGTTCTGACACGTTCGAGATCTTGCTCTTGATTAGGGATTTTCCTGGTACAAGGTCTACGGGCCTCACATTGCTCAGCTCTATGCATCCTCACGCATCTCGGATCAGATTGAGTCGCTCGCGCATTTTTTCAAGTCGGGTGAATCGCTGGACCTGAAGCTCAATCTGGCCTCGGTCAACTATGAATTGGCGCAAAGTATTCCCGAGGTCGTGGCGTTCTTTGGAGATGACCCTCGTGCCACATGGGCAGCCATGGTTGCTCACGAGGAACGTCTCCAAGAGATCTTGCTGCGATTTTTAACTTCGGATGACCGAATCACGATCATTGGTGAGACATCGGCGAACCAGGAAGCTCGAGTCCCCGTGATTAGTTGGGTGGTGCGCGGCATCAAGAGTCAGCGCTTGGTGGAGGCAGTTGAGGCTCGGTCAGCGTATGGCTTTCGAAGTGGCCATATGTACAGTCATCGGCTGTTGAAGGATGTCTGTGGGTTTGACGACGTGGATGATGGCGTGGTACGAGTGAGCTTGCTGCATTACAATACCGGTGAGTGACGGTCTATGCCCGTTCTGTTCCTTTTATGTTGTTTTCCTTGATTCTTTTTTCTGTCTACAATATTTTGCATTCATTGCCCCGCACGGCGTGAGCAACCACGCTTCCATCATCGTCAAGAATGTGGAATCTGTTGGTCTGGAGAGACGATTAGACGTGTGAAGTGACGAGGCGCTAACCAAGGCAACAGAGACGGAGGTGGTGGGGCTGGTGAGCGTTTTGAAGGAGGCTCTGGCGGAACTTTCGTAAGAAGACGCTACCCGCGTATCGACTCAAGCGCGAAGGTCTTGATTGATGGCTGACCGATGCGGCGAGATGGATGGGATTGTTTCTGACGGATGAGTCATTTTGCTATGGCGAGACTGGCGCGGCGGGCCAGATAGAGATTCAGGGATATCCGCAGTCCATTCAGAAACAACGCGCCATCTCTATTTAAATGTGCATGTATATACCTCGTGATATATGGTGTTAGCTAGTGAGCAGGCGAGATTCCCGCTGACAGGTGGGTTTAGTCCCTCTGCCCTAGTCTTTAGCAACTGTTGCCTGATTTATCAATCTTCCTGTCGGGGTTGTGATGTGTATTACTGGTTAAGCCACGGAATCTGGTACATCGTTCAGCTAGAGCGCTGCTATAAGCTGCATGTCATCGGGTCCCTTTTCAGCCACTAAGGCTAGAAGATGAAGACATCCTATATCCGGACACTGACTACCACTACATAAACGTGAATGTTCGGTGTGATCATGTGATCGATATCCTTACTGAGTCCAGGCTGACTCCCGATGACTCTACAAACCAGCCCCATGTGTCCTCGTGACAAAGCCGAGTGGGGCCGAGCCGATGTCGGCCTAGTCGTACTGCACTAATGTATTATTGTCTTGCGCTCGTTATCACGACCGAAAGTCACTCTGCCCATGGCTCTTGATTGAGCCATGTTTTTTTTAAAGCCTTCCCCGGACTTCGAAGATCAGGTGCCGGGGAATAAAAACCATGACTGCTTGATCGATATATATCCACATTATTTGGCAAAGAAGTGAAGCAGGAAGCCGTTTCGCAAGAGGACATTGGATTCTGATGGGACTCCGGGTGGAAAACTTGCCAAGAGCCGTATGACGACATTTACACAGCTTCCGCATTGATTATCATTGAAGCTAAGACCGTTTGGGTAGAACTAGAGACTTGAGAGGGCTGGAGCCAACCCGAAAGTGTGGTGGAGGTGGGTATAAAGCATGGATTGTCACTATCCAAGGTTTATTTGAAAGAGCCACTCAATATCTACTAGGAGTAGGTTCTAAGGTACGGCTCCCCCGCCTACCTCGATGCATGTCAGCCTATTCATCCTCCAGAGTTGTGAATGTACTTACTCGGGTGAGGCTGGGCTCGGGTGATATCTCATATTCCCAGGTAGACGGGAGAAAGTGCAAATGAATGCCCAATAGACAAGGCCGCCCTCTACCAGCCTCCAGTACTGCCTACTTTAGAGAACTTGACATGAACCCTAAAGCAAATCCATGAGATGCCGAAATCAGCTGTACAGTAGGTCCTTCTCGGTTTCACGGGTATGCTGTCCTGTCCGGTATTGATATTCTTTCATGCATATAGTACTTCTGCGCCTGCAAGAGTGCCCTGACCTGGGCAGGGAGGGAAGTACTGTGTCTGGGTCATGGAGGCTAAGTTGTCTGATCAGCAAGGAAAGAACGGCTCATATCGAGGTCTTCGGTAGTGATCTTCAGTTCGCATGGTATCGGATGAGAACGTGCAGGGAATGTAATAAGAGACACTACATGCATGGATGTAACTTATCTGATTGCAGGTGGCTGTCTGCCTGCTGCCACGCTCGGGGGAATAGGTCTTGATTAGGTCCAACCGCCCGGGCATTAGGTAATGTAATGTCATTCCGTCCCATTTCACGTATTATGCTTCAATCCTGTGGTGCTTCAACCCAACCACCTCCGTAACCTTTCCGTTACTAATGAGCTTACAGTTCATGTATATCGATATCTTCTCGGTCTCCCACACTTGAAGTCATCTTGGCAATAGTCCATATGGTATACAGGAGGTATTTAGTAGATACTAGTACTACTGCCCGCACTTGTGTCAAAGTTGAACAGAATAGTCCCGATCAGACCCTGAGCAGCAGCACTCGAATCCGTAAACGCTTCGAACCTTAGTACTTCGATCCCGGGGTAAAAACGCAATAGGGGAGGTGGAAAGGGGGGTCCAGTACCCAATCATGTCATCCGCAAATCATCGACGCACTCCATCACAACCATCTGATTAGGATAGGAGTTAAGCGTCCCGGTCAGTGATCGAACCTAAAATGATGGGCTAGTGCTACCCAAGTTGAGAAAAGGGGATGATTCATTCACTACATCCCTCAACTGTATGAACTATGAAGGGTGGTAAAGCCGTGCTGTTGGTTCCAGGGCAACTTGACTCTGAGAAGATGGGAACAGCGTGGCAGGCTTACAATGGTCCTCGGAGCAGGTAGCGTGGCCCCCGTCTTCACTTCACCTAGGGTACCTACACTCTACAGTACTACAGTAACACATACCTGTCTACAATCTACATAGGTCCTTCCAATCGCCTGCATCTCCACTGGGTTATTTGAGTCATACAGTACATGACCTAGCCCAGCAGTTGGCTACAGGCTTGAAGTCGCAAGACGTTTAGAAGGTTGAGGGTACCTAAGAACCTGTATCGGGGTGATAGGTAAGGTATACATAGTGTGTAAGTTAGTCGTACTCCCTAAGATACATGTGACTAGTTGGAAGGTGATAGGTTCAATCCCTAGACATTGTTGGAACACATCTACATATACCAGCGGCGCCGAGAATGGATCATCCAAGGTAAGTTAGTGGACGGTACGGTTAAGTAATATGTTTTATGCTCCCATCAACTATCAAGTCCTTCAGGTCCAGACGGGATATAACAAAAATTCCGGGCTTGTCTTCACGAGCTAACATGATTCAAGTCTCTCGGGATAGATCAGAGCACCTGACAACGTGTATTTGCAAAAATTTGTTATCATAATATACATGTAGTCATGTACAGATTTCAGAATCTTACGATACATACAGAATCAATGATGAGTGGTCGACGTTGTGATCATGACCCACTCTATTGGGAAGTGATCGCCACCCGGTCGTGAGGTAGGTTACGATCTCTTTATTGTGAGTCACTCTTCGGCCGCTTCCGGAATCATAGCCATTCATGTTGATCTGTGCTGAAGCATGAGGCTGTGCGGGACCAGTTGCTAATTGAGGAACAAGCACAGCCTGTCAAGGAGGTGGAAGGTACAAGGATACCACAATAATGTGGAGGTCATGGTTGAATATGGGATTCTATTATTTTGAAGAGGTCATTTTTACGATCAGGCACATATACAGCCCAGTGAGTCCTTGGGATGTGGCTTTCGTGATGTAAGGGATAAGCTGTCATGTACGGGGGGTATCCTGAATCATGCCATTGTCCTGATGATCAGGACGAAACGGACCCAATTTTGGAGAGTAGGAAGCCCCAGTACCTCGGACCTCTCAGGACACAGTTAAGTCAATATCGTCTTGAGGTGAGGTTTGATGAGGCGTGATGCTTGAAGTCAGATGATGATCATGTAGAAAAGTCTCCTGTCATGCACTTTTCTGTCATACTCACAACCCCTCCAAAGGCATCTCACATCCTTTTGTTATCTGCTATCCATGTGGTGAGGTACAACATTTAGTAGGTCTACTACTGACTCACTGGGTAGTTACTGACTACTACTGAGTCACTGACAGCCTCTGTGAGACCGAGTATTTCCGCCACCTTTGCCACAACCTGTCGAGGGAGTCGTAGTGATGTCTCCGGGTCGCCGACTCACGCCCACTCATCTGTACAACCTCATTGTCGAGATTGTGAACCGACCTCGGTGTTTCCAGTCAACAGTTGGCAGGTAAAGGACTCGCCTACTTCCTGTTCAGTGTTCAGTCATCTTTCATTATCGTCCCGAGACCCAAATGGATGCGGAGTTTGGTATAACCCGCAAACTAGTACTCAACTGCCACTGCCTGGAACGAGGAACGTCTTCGAAGACCCTTTCAGGTACCTGGCTGCCTAGTCGCCTCTCCCCGTGACCAACGTTCTATGTTCAAGTGTTCTGTTTGCTGGAGAGGCGTGTGACTCCGGAACCCTCATTGGCATTCGGCTTCGCCCACTGCCTCCGTTTTGGGGAGTGGACTCCACCTGGCCATGCGCCCAACTTTTGCCTCTGCGTCTTCCGGAAAAGGACGGTTCTCAAGTCATCAGGTACTGTCCCTGTACCTGTACCTAGACAAGGGTAGCTTTCTGTACTCTCATGCGCTATGAGTGAGTGTAAGTACAAGAGAGTACAGAGACCCACGCAAATGCATAACTCTTGTACCGAATACTACAGTAGTAATTAGTACTTACAGTAGTACTCAGGTCAGTACTCCTACTAGTAGTATTGTACCACTGCTTGATGCAGTCTGGAACTCTGGACCAGGTCGTCTGGCAGTTCCCCCCGGAAGGAGTCATCATTCACAGACCTCCGCGACATACATGCCGTAGAATCACCAAAATTACAGTACATCCTTGGGACCGCTCCCTCCAAGAAAACGGCTAGAAAGCACTCTGCATTTCATTACATACAGTCTCCCTCTTACACAGCGCCTCCAGATCCCAGCAGGTCAGACTTCCCGACTGAACTCGTCTCTCGTCCTTCGCAATCTGCCCACCCGAAATTGACAATCCCAAGGTTGGCACGAGTCTGTTTCTCAACTTTCGCCTCTTTCTCTCCTCCGCCTCTCTTTCCTCTTTCCTCTCTCCCTCTCCAACCGTAGTTGTCATTCTACATTTTCTCCCTCCTCTCTCCGCTCCTCCTGTTTTTCGGTACGACCGTTCTTGATCCGCTCTGCCTTTCCTTATCGTCTGCTCCTCCACCGGGCCTGGCCTTGCCGCCTAATCATCCTCGCCATCCGCCTTCCGACCGTCTCTCTTACCCAACCTGAACGCTCGCCTCCCGCCTGCCTAATCTGCCCACCTCTGCCACCTTTCCCATCTTCACCTCACCCCCGAAGAGTCATCGCCCTCTTCCGACCCCCACACATACACATACATCACCCCCCAAACTCGACGTGACTGCCTCTCCCGATGACTGTCTAGGTGCCTGGCCCCATCTCGTCTGCTCGTCCTTTCCATCAAATCCACTTCCTTGTCTTCCTTTTCAGCCTCATCAAAATGTATCCTGCCGCTACCATTGCTACTGTCCCGATCGCCCGTATTGCCGCTATTGAATCCGTCGCCAACTCCGCTGTCATCTCCTTCTAAGCAGTCTCCTTGGCTCGTGCTCGTCTCAGTCATCGTCCGCTGTTGTTTCTTTTTGCCACGACGGTGCCTTCATAGCCGCAATACCGTGATCGGGATCTCTTTGGGTGACTCTGGTGGCCTGTTTTGCTGAGAATACCTCGGATGGAACAACAGACCTTGCTTCTCTGAACTTGGACCCACCCGTGACTCTTTTCTCGAACGGCTGTCCATTTCGCCTCTTGGGCCTCATTCGAGTCGTGATCGTTCTGCTCTTCCCCCATAATACCCTCACCTCCTCTCCCCTTCTTGATCACCAGCCCTCATTATCTTGAACCCTCTCTCTCCTCCCCTCTTCAACCTGTCGTGATCCCCCTTTCTGTAACCTTCACACCTTCTGCCTCCCTCCCCACTCCGCTCAAGTCTCTTCCTGCACTTCCCCTCACCGAGATTTCTCTCTCCTCATACGTCCCTCTATATCCCACCTAGCCCACGTAGCGTGCCTGGTGGTCCCTCTCTCCCCGCGTGATCTATATTTCTATCTATACTTGTCGACTCGTCACCCTGGCGACTCGCATCTACTAAACAGGCTTCGCCGTCGCCTCTCGCAAAAAGACGGCTCGTGTCTTTCGGCTCTCGTTCCCGGTTTCCTGCTAAACGGTATTTTTGACAACACTTTGTCCGCGCTTTCGCCTTCCTCGCGACAAGTTCGGATCCCTTTTACGTTTTTTTCTTGCCCTCGCCCGTCTTGACGATCGGCGGTGACTAGGAATAACTCCTCTTCTCACTTCGTGGAGTGAGAATCGGTTCCTTGCCCTGTAGGGCAAACTATAGTTGATCCTTCTCCATGAATCCCTCCTCCGCGCCCGATATGTCGGGCATGGCTGTCTTGGGCCTGCATCTCGCCAACCCCGGTACGAAAGCACCCCATGCGCATCCATACCCGTCCTCGCTCGCCTCCTCCGCCTCCTCCGCCTCTTCCTCCTCGTCCTCCTCGGTCTTTTCGCTCGACGCGTCGCATAGCTCGGTCTCGTCCACGGCCACAAATCCCGTGGATGTCATTTGGGAGAATGAGGGGGAGACAGGTCGAGGTGCACCGGGGGCTTGCCCCCGTGTGTTTGCGAAATGTCTGCCTCTGAAACATGATGTCGCGGTGCCCGCAGAGATGCGCATGAATCCTCGGCGCACCTCTGTCGCATCGACCAGCTCCGCCGCCGCTGCCGCTCGCCCGCCGCCCTGCCTGCTTCGTCAGTCTGAGCGAAAAGTGAACTTTGTGGACAACCTGGTCGGTAAGTGAAATTAAAAAAAAAAACCATATTTCGTGTCTACTTCTTTGGGAGAAGACGCCTTCCATCGTTTATGTTCGCAGTTTCGCGGTCGGCTAAACTTCGATTCTCTTTGGTGGTTGTAGATACGGCATCGCAGATCGTCGAGGTGATCTGGCCCCTCTCCGCCGCAGCTTCGCGAAGTGATGCCGCAACGGGGGCCAAGGGAGTTCTCCCCTTACGGACCTTCATTCAGGAGACCCTTCGTCGATCGCGCACCAGCTACTCGACCCTCCAAGTGGCACTATACTACCTCATCAAGGTCAAGTCGCACGTGCCGTCTCACGATGTCTCCAAGGACATGCGTCGGGACCAAGCTTGCACGCGCGCCATGCAGTGTGGTCGTCGCATGTTTTTGGCAGCACTGATCTTGGCCTCCAAATACTTGCAAGACCGTAACTACTCGGCTCGCGCATGGAGTAAGATTTCCGGCTTGAACACCCTGGAGATCAACCAGAATGAGTTGATGTTCTTGGACGCAGTGGGCTGGAGATTGCACATCTCCGAAGCTACCTTCCAGCGCTGGACAGAGATCGTCTTGAAGTTGACTCCTGGCGCAGGCAGCATGCCTGCGAGTGAAGGGCAGTCCTGGCGTAGCGTGCTTCCGCGTCTCACTCCGGACCTAGACTCCTTCGACCTGGAGCTGATGACCCCTGCATCGATGGCTAGCAGCCCGGATCTCGGCCACGTCGACTCTCCTTCGCCGCGCAGCACGTCGAGCATGGAGTCGTTGCGCTCGGCTGCACGCGAGCAGACTTCGGTCTGTCCACGCAGCCTGCCTCGCCCCATGGAACCGGTTTCGGTTCCACGACCTGGCTACGCGCACCTGCCTTTGCCGTCTTTGTCTCGCCCGCATATGTTGCCGACGCCTCAGATTACTCCCCATTCACACGTCTTGTGTACTCCTGCTGCGAGTGCGCCGTCGTGTGATCCTCGCCGTCCGTCCATCGGTAGTGCGATGGCTCAAGTTCAGAATATGGGTATGGCGCGCTCGATCCTTGATCAGCGCCCGCCGCTCTCAGTCTGTCCTCGAGTTCCGTCCTCCGATGGCTATCCGGTCGTGGCTCGCCGGTCATCTCTGGCTCGGTCGACATCTTCATCCTCGTCGGCTTCCTCTCCGGACTCAATGGTTTCAGACGTCTCGACTTTGTCTTCACGCTCCTCGCGATCTTCCTCGGTCTCCTCTATTGCCTCCGGAGTCGGTGCGTCGGCTCCGTCTCGCTTGGCTGTCACGGCGACTCTGCGTTGTACCAGTCAGTCACTCCTTAAAGAGAATCGCAAGAACCTGGCCATTGCTTCGCCCATCGACGAATTGCCTCTGGCAAGCATCTACCCATCCCCCGAATATCCCGTGCATCTGGGCACGGCGACGGATCTGTCCGGCTTTGTCATGGATTCTAGTCTCAACGAAGCGGCGCAGAGTCTCTGCGAATTATCCGGAGCCACTCCCGATCGGCGTCAGTGTCGTAAGCGCGGCCGTACTGGATCGGAAGATCTTCTTCTCCAGAGCAACGTTCGTCAATTGATCGATGCGGGCGCCTCTGGCAATTCTGCGATCTCTGTTAGTTCCGACGGCCAGCGGTCTGAGAACTTGCCTCAGCTTGCGGCGATTTCCTCCGTTTCTGGGCCTGCCGGCATGAAACGAGCCTGTTGCGGCAGCGAGGCAAGGAAAATAGCCTTAAACCCTAGCCTTCGTGCAGAGTATCTTTCTTGAGGAACAACATTCTGAAAAATCTTGTCCCAAAGCCTTGTTGCTAGGGTGAGAAAAAGCCCGTCTCTTTGGTGCGATTCCATTTCTCCAAAAGTCTCGCGGTGTCTTTTTTCTGTTCGCAATGATTCCCCATCAGCTCCTTGGTTTCGCCCGATACTTACATCGTGGCCTCCCTCACCTATCTTTCGTTCTGCCTCCCCCCGTCTTCCAATCTCTCTCTCTCTCTCTTCTATCCCTTGACACACACGCTGCGACCTCTCCACAACTATACGCTCTGTCTACTTTGATATTGAGTTAGGTGGGGTGGATATTGTATATAACCCATCCCGTCACTCTCCGTGGGAGACTTCCCATCTTGGCGTTGTCGGGTACAAGCTATCTTTTCTTGAGATGACCCTGCAGGTGTACGATGCCAGTGGCCTAATGCCTCGGTCACTTCTATTCCTATTCCCATATTTTTGTTGTTCATCATTTCATCTCGTCGTTATATAGGTCTATCATCCTGGAGTGTCGTGGGCATTGGACGGTTCGTTTTCTCATGCTTTTGGTCTTGGTCGTTCTCTTCTTTCATGCTGTTGGCATTGTTCCTCCTTCCTATATACCTCCCCGGGCAAAGTCGGCTCTATCTCAACCATCTATTCGCACGATCACACCATCTTATCTGCAAGAGAGCAAAGTGAATTCCATTCTTTGTCTTCTTTATCTCTTCTTTTTTCCCTTGACCGTTGGAATACGTATGGTACTATTTTTTGGGCGTCAATCCGCCGCCTTGGTGGGGAGGTTTCTAGGCATTCACGGATGGGCAATGGGCAATGGGCAATGGGCAAATTTTTTCTGATGCGATAGCGCTACTGAATCTGACAGCTTTCGCAGAGAAAGAATCTAAATTTTGCGTATCTAGTATCTCCTGCAATCACCAGTGCCCGGTAATGACCAGCCGCCATCCACTCGCTTGTTTGGTGTAATGGATGGTCCTTCTAGTTGAGGCTGAAGCTGTCAAGTTTTTGACCCATAGCGAGCGTTCTGTCATCGAATGATGAAGAATTGTATGAGTAAAGTGTAAGACTAAGAGGTACACTTAATCCAGTGCAAGCGCAACCTTGGGCTAGAAAATGCATCCAGCACCGAGGTGAAATTGCTACTGCAGGATGTAAAGTCTTTGTGTTCTCTGAATGCTGAAGTTGCAATTATGTGGCACGAGCCTAGCCGCTGTTGGCCCATCAGATAAGATCAGATGATGCATTTTGACCCATGACCCGCTGCCTTTTCTCCGCACTCCTCCCCCTTCCTCTCTTCTTTCTCCTCATCCCGTTCAAGTCTTTGCTGTCCTGCTGGGCTGATTTAGACCGTAGTTATCTATCTTTCTAAATTCTCGCCTGCTTTCTCCCACTTCTCCCACCCTGCTGGGCTGGATCGAGACAGTATTGACCCACGCCATTTTCACAATGATTTCAGCTTTGACTGTGGGTCTGCTTGCCCTTTGCTCGTCCACGTTCACTTTGACCTCGGCTTCAACTATTCCACCTTACCCGAAGCCTGGCCAGACAGTCCTTAAAGATGTACATTCTGCGTCCTCGTCAGAGCAAGACCGTCCAGAGGAGCCAGGCTCACATCTTCTGAGTCGACCCTCATGGTTTGAATCCGCTCTTCTCGCTCGCCGTCTTCTCGCCCATTCCCCTTCCGGTGTCATCTCCACCACCTTCCCGGATCACATTTCTGCCTCGTCACGTACCCCAAGCGAGGTGGCAGGGTTTCCGATCGGATTACGCGAGTATATCGCCGACTGCGATAGTGTTCTCTCCACCGATCTTGCCCACGGGGGGGATGAGGGCGATCCGACCATTCTCGCTTTGCGCGTGGCCACCTCATTTCGCAACATTGGAGCTGGGTCGAATCTCAGTCTCGAGATTGACTGGTGGGATCATCTCTCTGACGCGGGCGCGGTATATCCAGGCCTGCCACCGAGTCCGGCTGCTTTGCCGCGCGTCACACTCTTTGGACATTTGGAGACGTTGTCGATTGCGGACTTATCCTCAAGCACCAATGATGCCGCAGCGCGTCTGGAGAGGTGCTTTTTGGAATCTCATCCGGATGCCAAATGGTGGTTGCCCGGGGCTGTGGGATCTCCGCATTCGAGTTTCTGGGCGCGACTGGTGGTGACACAGGCATACTGGATTGGTGGATTTGGAGATGTTCAGCAGATTGGATGGATTAACATGACCGAGTGGAAGGGCATTCGTCCTGAGCGGAGTCTCGATGGAGTGGGTGATGGTCGGGGGTGGAAAGATGTGCGACTTCCGGGGAGAAGCATCATGCGTCATGATGGGGGGAACATTCTGGGTAATTTCCGTTGCAGATATACTGCAAGGCTTCTGTTAGCCATGTAAATGGACAGAACAAAGCTTAGGCGACGAAATTGTCATCAGGGCATTTTCAATCTGCAGTTCGCATGATTATCGAGTGTCTACACTTCTTGCCGATCACCTGATTTTCCAATTCAAACGAAATCTCCGCCCGAGCCCCTTTCTGCACGAGAAACCCATATTTTCTTCTCCCGATGGTAATCTTCATCTGCAGCAATGTGCTTTTCAGAGGCCAGTATCGTCTAGCTTGTCCCCAGGATTTGTCTCACGAATCGATTTGGATTCCGACCGAGCTTTCCTCCCATTCGTTCATCCGAAGCTTATCAGGTCGTCGTTGTTGGTGGATCCTTTGATATCCTCCCCCACAGTTCAAGTGTGGCTACTGGCTTGTCCCGAGTCAGAATAGCGTTGACAAACTTGACAGTGAGGGGATGTACCGGCACTCAGAAGCTGGACTTGACACAAGTTGCCAGAGCAGAATCACAGCGATGGTGGACTTCAGAGCGTGGGCAAGAGAAAGATGCTAGCGCTGTTTGTGAGTAAAGATCGCGGCAAGACAGTCGAATCTGTACATGTCTTGCTATCGATCATTCGGAGCGCTCCATGAGAAGCCATACTCAGTTCGAAGCAGCCATGCGGAGAAAGAGAAAGTGGCTCTTCGTAAGTTTGTACAGCAAGAGAGAGGTACCTTTTCCATGGAAGATTCACTACTACTCGGCATCTATGAGTGTACAACCTCTGCTGATGTGAATTAGGCAGTGCTTCAATTGGATCAACAAGGGCGTCCTCCAACCCCCATCCTCAGAAACACTCTTTTCTGGAGAAACCTCAGACAAAGAGCATGCAAAATGGCCCGGTAGGGCGGTAACGCATGAGGGCTTCGGTATTTTTGATTAGAGGTGATGATCAGCACATCTCAGCCCAATCCATGGCTATCTCCTTCATCCCGTATCGCTTAACTTTGCTAATCCCTCGGGCTGGACAACTCTGAAGTCTGGACTACTGTCCGCTTATCTGCAAGCTCACGAGTGTTTATCTTTCCATCTGCGGCAACACTCGCGCATGGTCTGGACGTTGGACCGGGCAAAAGTCCCCTGGATTGGACGTCACAGAACCGAGCCGGTTTCTCTAATCCCTGCTTCTCCCTATCAGTAACTCTAATGCGACTCTGACTGGGATCTTTGGACTCTCGGCTACTCGATGTGGCTGTTCATCCTTTCCCCCACCCCTCTTATTCTTGTCACGCTACAATGATACCTCCAATGATGCTGCGATAATAAGCTTATCGGCAAGATTGACGCACGAGCGCAAAGAGGGTCATACATGCAGGAGTACTAGTATATTCTCCTCAGCTGCCGCTCCAATGGCGCAGGTTTGCTCTCTTCATCTCCTTCATGATCCAACGATTCGAGCGCTTCGTTTTCTCACCCCTAAATCGTGATTGACACCTCGGACATTGAGACCGACTCAACCGTCAGCCAGGCTCGTATTGAACTCTCGCCATCCATCATGCGCATCGCCCGGCCCCGATTGAGGGTCTCCCAGCCTCAATCGGCCTTCGCAGAGGGTAGTACTCGATGGACCAATTTGGATCTCGACCCCGTGCCATTGCTAGGCCGCAAATGGGGTGTAATGAGTCTCATAGGTACAGTCCCAAACCCATGGCTTCTCTGTCGTGGATGCTTGCGCCACACATGCTTGGGGGCCAAGAAGCCTTCAAATTGCATGTGGAGATGTTTACTCTGACATTCTTTTACGGAATTTTCTAGCATATTGGATCTCCGATGCCTTCAATGCCGCAACATGGCAATTCGCCAGTAGCATCATTGCTGTGGGCCTCACATATCGAGAGGCCCTGGCGATCGTCGCAATCTCCTTCTTCATCATATCCTTCGTGATCGCCGGTAACGGTGCCGTGGGTGCCATTTATCACGTTCCATTCCCCGTGATCGCGCGTGCCAGCTGGGGATTTTGGGGCTCCTATATTGCCATTGTCTCGCGATTAATTCTGGCGGTCTTTTGGTTTGCCATTCAAAATGTCAATGGGGGTAACTCGGTTCGAGTCATGATCGGAGCCATCTGGCCGAGTTTTCTGGAACTGGAGAATGATATTCCCCTGTCGCAGGGCATCACCACAAACGGAATGATCGCCTTCTTGATCTTTTGGATCATCCAATTCCCCTTTTTATGCATGCATCCTAACAAGCTGCGGTGGCTGTTCACCGTCAAGTCGATCGTGGTGCCACTGGCCTGGATCGGAATTTTGATCTGGGCCTTTACCGTGGAAAAAGGTGGTGGCGCGATCTTTGCTCAGCAAAAGGCAACCGTCTCGGGCTCCAAGTATAGCTGGCTGTTTCTGGCCAACATGACCTCGGTCCTGGGAAATTATGCCACTCTCAGTGTGAATCAGGTAAGATTCGTGGATCGTCGGTCCGGCTTTCCCTCGCAGACGCTAGTATCTAACTCACTTGCTTGCGCATCAGTCTGATTTTTCTCGATATTCACGGATCAACCCTCGATGGCAATTGTTGTACATCCCCATGCTCCCCGTGATATTTACCTTCATCTCATTCATCGGCATCGCTGCATCATCCGCCGGTCAAGCACACTACCATCTTGCGACTATCCCCTGGGACCCCAACGAGTTGATCAGTCACTGGCCCAACCGCGCTGCACGCTTCTTTGGCGCGGCATCTTTCGCGATTGCATCGCTAGGAGTCAATATTTCGGCCAATTCGCTATCGGCTGCAAACGACTTTACCGCGCTCGCTCCTCAAGTGTTGAACATTCGTCGCGGTCAGATTCTTTGCGCTCTGCTCTCGTGGGCCCTGGTTCCCTGGAAGATCCTTGCTTCGGCAGGCAACTTTCTAAGTTTCATGAGCGCGTATGCGATCTTCCTTGGACCGATCGGCGCAATTATGCTGTTTGACTTTTGGGTCGTCAATCGCGGCCGCTACGATGTTCTGGCGTTATACCAACCTCGAAACCCCACATATCGATATGCGGGGACGCTCCCATTCTCGAAAACCTCGATCTGGGGCTTGAATTGGCGCGCTTTGGTCTCCTTCATCGTGGGAGTGGTGCCGAGTCTACCGGGTTTGATCAATGGCGTGGACTTGAAGATTGACGTTGGTGTCGGTGTTCATCCATACCAATTTGGGTGGTTGCTGGGATTCGCCGCCACAGCAGTCGTCTATCTTGCTCTGTCGTGGCTCTATCCAGCAAAGCACACTCAAGTGGCTCGGGCGGTCCTTCCGGACGAGATCTACGACGGACACGGGATTGTGGTAGAAGGGGTCGAGGCCGAAAGTTCCGAGAGAATTTCGGCGACTTCCCGGGGCGAAAAAGTGCCCGACGAGTCGGAAAAGGTAGTTTAGACAGTTCCGACTTCTAGGTATCTTTCTGCAACGATGGAATACATGTGAAATTTTACCATTCAGTGGATTTATCGTATCTTCAGATGGAGAATTTCATCACAGTCTGCGACGGGCGCTTCCTCGTCTTTTGCCCCGAATGAGAGAGCCCCAAGGGCCACGGAGGCAGACCGACGGATTTGGAATCTCGTGAAGAGATGCAATCGCGAACATGGGCCAAAGCCCATTGCTGTAGTATAGATTCACTTTCCATATGCAAGAATCAACGTGGCAAGTTCGAATGGTCTCGGTTGGGGGTATCATTTCAATTTCATGTATAGGGATCTCTGTAGTATATACACGTCGCGGGTAGCAGAAGGGGTCCGCATCCCAAAATCCAATGGTAAAGTGACATAGTGGGTAAAGTAGAGTGGCCGCTTCATCCATTAAGATCCGTACCTCAGGAGCTATGGAGAAACGATGTCGATGACGAGTTTCGATGCCGTATCATGCGGGCAAATCTTCAACGCATTCACTTCGGCAAATGACTGAAGTGTGTTCGTACACTGAGAGGGGATCCAAATCTCATTCGCTCGAAGCATGGACACTGGGTGATGTTGATTGAGTCTGGCGGTACGGTACTTTTGTCAAATCTGACTAGGATCGAAATCAGGTGGTGGAGGTTCCTTGTCCATACACTGTTGACAATGCATGATGGAAGATGCGAGCCTGAAGCCACTGCAGCCATCTCATCTCCTAGAGGGTCAAAGGCGTGAGCGGTTTGGATTCAGCTTCATTCCAACTCCCCGAGATGTGGTATGAGCAACCGGTCTCGAAAGAGATCAGACAATCAAGGTCCAGATCCGTATGAAAGGGCCTCCTTAAGAACCTTGGTCACTCCGGAGGATGCACGGCCCAGTTCACCACCCTCTTCTCGCGCACTCTTGAGCCCCCGCTCAACAGCTGGCAGGAACCGAGTCGAAAAGACTCGGAAGCGATCCTCCCGAGTTTCGTACATTTCGCCCTCCTCGTCTCGTGGCTGGCCAAACAGATTCAGATAGGCATAAGGGGTGGCCGAGTCGGAGATCATGTGTTGGCTTGTCTGACACAAGGGGAATGGCCATGTCGAAGACGACTGTACAACCAACGGATCTTCACCTCCATCGGATGCTCCTGGAGCCCCAATGCCCGCGTCCAAAAATCCCGCCAATGCACCCAAAACCTTGACCATGGGCCGACCTTGACTTCCGGATTTTCCAAATGAGGCTCGATTTGACGACCAGCGTGCCGACTCCTCCGTGTGCCATCCTAGTATCGACAAGAAGCAATTGAAGGTCTTGATCCATCCGCCGGCACAGGACACAACAGCTTCACCGGCCGCCTCGACCATCCATGAGAGGATCTCCACGGCGGAGACACGAATGTCAGCGGCCAGATGGGTCATACCGGCACGGACGTAAGGAAGAAGTTGCGCCACGTGATCCTGTACATCGTTGTTGGGGAGGGTGCGCAGGAGTTTGAGAAGCGCCGTGCGAACGTTGTTGTTTGCGTCCAGGATCAATGGAAGTAAAGACGGCAGCATCACGCTGACGGGTTGCGGGAGAGGCGAATTGACCGGTCGCGAGGCGATCGTCGTAGTCAGATGGGCAAGCGAATCGCGCCGTTGGCTATCTGATTTGGAGGAGAGAAGAGAGAGGTGATGAGAGAATTGGCTATCGGCATTGGGAGCGGAGACGTGGAGGGACTGTTGATTGAGGACAATTGCTATTCACAAGCGTCAGAAAAAAAATTGAATCGAAATGTGCAGATGAGTCTCCCGCTTTAGATTTTCACACACAAGGATATCGTGGATGTTCATCATACCTTTGGATCGGAAACTGGTATCTGTAAAGTTCTCCGGCTTCGCCTTGGCCTTTCCGACTTTGAGTTTGGGTTTCTGGGCGAGTCAGTTTGTCAGAGTTCTCAATTCTCCTTCGTAAACGGTGGGAATTCTTGAAGAGCTCACTTGGAAGTCCTTTTGCTTCTCCTTCTTTCTTTTGGCACTGGAACCCATGATTGCTGTGTGTGTCTATTCAGTTACAGGATGGACAGCTGTTGCGGTGACTTTTTTTGGGGGGGGGGGGGGGGGGGGGACGCACTTATCACACGTGATGACAATAACAGCCTCAGGCAGTCTCGGCGTCTCCCCTCAACGATGAACGACCGAACGACCGACTTACGGATGAATTACGGGAGAAAAAGGCCGTGTAACAGAAGCCAAAGAAAAAGACCTTAGTATTGTCTTAAACCCCGTCTTGCATAGACTGGCCAATGCTAAGGAACAATTACCTTGTCTGAGACCTTGTCAACTGCACTTGTTGGTAAGGCTCAAATATCAAAAGATTAGCGGCCAACATTTCTCCGCGTCATGTCACTGTAAAAAGAAGAGAACTCGTGGGGACTGGGGACCATATTGCAATTGCAATCCACTTCGTTTCCCCGGGAGCGTGGTCGAGCGATACCGATGCATTTTCAACTAACCCCTGTCCACTCTTGCGATTAGTCTCCAAGCGCCCCCAATCCATTGCATATATGGAGGTTTTATCCGGTGGTAGTCACTCGCCTCGAGACCCTCCGCCCAAAGCCTTGGCGACCGTCTCATGCGCCGAGTCCAACATTGACTTTCCCTGCTTGCCGGACCCTTTCGCCGACTTCTTGAACTGGCTATGCTCGCTAGTCGATGTATCTGAGAGACGACGCGTAGTTGCCTTGGTGTCACCTCCAGTTTAGAAACAAAATTGTCATACGTTAGTGGGAGTGGCTGGACATCTTTGCTCATCGAGTTGAGAGGCATATACCGGGCTCAAAAAAGTCTGCGAGTCGCTGTCGGGCATTACTGGCCGATTCTTTGGCCTGACGCGTGTATGGGTCTGGCTTGCTCACGTCGGCGATGGTTGATTCAAACTCTTCTAGAACGACGGGTCAGGTCAATTTCTCTAATAGGAGTATGGTTACCAAGTATCAATGATCTTTTGTAGAGAACACCCACCATCGGTGTTTGCGTTATCGTACTACTCCCGGTCGAATTGGGAGGAGATTAGTCCTTGGCGTTTCAGTGAATAAGCCGGGAGTAGAAGGGAAATCACTCTACCGCAGCAGGTCCAGACATGTCTCTTGCTTGGATCAATGATTCTATCTCAATGTTCATAGAGTTTGAAGATTGTGCTATGCCCAGTTGGTGGAAAGAGACAGGTATTACCCAGTGAGTAAAAAGCTGTAAGTGATCTCTAATCCTCAGCTTTACCGGCATGTCTAGGTTTAAATTTATATTGATTGGTGAGGATGACGAGATTGCTATGTAGCAGAGATTGAAACCTAAAGACGATGTTCGAACCAAGCCAGTATCTCGCCTGATGACATTATACCTGCGTTCTACTGACGTAACAACACAATTGACCACAACCATGGCACAGTGAGTCCAGCGCGAGAAAAGAAATCGAGTCTCATCGACACCTCGGCAGTCGTGGCAAATGTGGCGAAAAAGAAATCGATTCCACAAGTCTTCCCAACAGCTGCCTTTACAACACTCAGCTACAGACGCACACCCGTCGAGCATGAAAATTGGCCGTTTCGAATTTGTGATCAAGATGATGACCACGACCTAGATACCAGACGTTAATGCGGGTGATAGGCTGAAGAGTGGGGGATGTGGAGACTTTCGTTTTTAAGGTTAAACTGCCGTCAATGACTATCAGGGCAGGCTCCTGAGGCTAGTAGTAGCCTAGCCCACCAGTAGACCACCATGTATAATTCTATATAAACAAGGCCTTCCAAAGGCAGGTTCCATCGACGAAAGAATCGAATCGAAGCCTCTCAAGCCTGTGGCGCGTTCTATCAGTGCCAGCCTCTCACATTCTCGTCCGGCATTTGAATGTTACGAGCGATCTCCGGCGTTCTCAGATGACTCGTGGCCTCTCTACAAAGGTGCTACCATACCTATGCTATAAAGGTCATCTGCATCAGCCACAAGGATGGAGTACAGACCTACAGTTGGATCAAAGAAGCAGATGAACTAATGTGTTGAAAGAGGTAGCTCGTCAAATTCATAGTCAAAGATCAAGTCTAAAATAAGCGCGTAAAATCCCATTAAAACCTCTGCAGGTCAGCCGCTCAGCAGCGCGTGACTCGACGTAAGAGCGCATAAGCATTGAAGCAAACCAGAAAGAAGACGCGGAAACGAGTCAGAAAAAAAAAGAAATCGAAAAAAAGACATGAGATGCGCACTTCTGCCCGGGTCCAGTATAGATATCAGAAACACAAAGAGGAAAGAAACATGAGAGCAAAGACTAGACACCGGACAGACGCGGTTGTATCAATCAAATCACAAAGATCATCAAGCACACATAACAGATAACGAAACACAGATAGTGACATCACAGTAAGAGAAGGACCAGGTTCACCCAGCTGCCTGAAAAGTGATCCCATGGCAAAGAAAAGGAAAAAAAGAAGGGGCCAGAAGTCGGGTAAAAAGAGAAAACAACCATCTGGTGGATCTGTAGCTCAAATCTCATTTGTCACGCCAACACCCAAGCTCGAGAGACGCAAGAGTACATTGTTCACCACTGGCTCCAGCTCAACAGACTATATGATAGCCAGGCGAAGCTAAAGACTCATGGTCAGCCACTCCCACTCCTGACTGGCGCCTTGCCCACCAGCAATACTATGATTAGCCGGATTGGCAGCTGCAGGGGGCATAGCGGGCGCCAAGGGCACCACTTTCGACCGACCAGCGGAAGTGTTGGCTCGGGGACTGTCTTCGCCATCCGGATCAGAACCCGTAGGAGCCTTTTCCAGACGGCGCTGCCGTCGGGGGGCCACTTGCACCCCTGCGCGAGCCGATGCCACCCCGGCAGGAGGACCTGCCTTGGGTGGAGCGGCAGCAATAGGCACCACACCTGGCTTACCCATCGTGCTAGACCCAAGAATGGCGGGAGGAGACTCTGAGGAGTTGCCGTTGGGTGTACGAGAGGCAATCAAGTTGGAGGGTGCCTGCTGAAGGGAGTTCTTGCGAGAGGACTTTTTGGAGCCGCGGGAGGTACCGACGGCTAGAGAGTTGGCACTGCTGCGGTTGCGCTTCTTGATGACGTCGGTCTTCAGCGACAAGGGACGAACGACGCCGTGAAGCTTCAAGAACAAACCGCAGGCATTGCACAGAGGCTGACCCTCGGGGTTACGACGCCACAACGGAGTGGTCTGGGTGAAACAATTGGTGCATGTCGTCGGTCCGGCATTAGGATCTCCGTTCCTGGAGCCGCCCGGACTGCCTGGTCGTGAGGGCACAGCACTGCTCAGACCAGATTCCGGGGGAGTGTTAGGCGAAGGATGATTGGTGGGCGGGTTGGAGGTAAAACCGGTCATGCTCTGGCGAAGCAAAGCGGGTGCATTCGGGGTCGAGGCGGTACGGGCAATCTTCTGGCGCCGGGGATCCATGTCACGGTTTCGTACGTCGCTCACCGAAGCTGCAGAGCCGTGGCCCCGCCCCGTCAAACTACTGCTGTGCTGCCAATCGGACGAGCCATCCATCACATCAACCGAACCGATGGTGACTTGCTTACGATGCATTCCGTTGAAGCCTGGCAAAGACTGAACGGAGCCTGCAAACCCGCTGTCCCAATTGAGACCCGACTGGAGATCGCCCTCCTCCATGGGGGAGTAGTCGTTGGGCATGGCGATTCCTCCTCGGCCATACGAAGGGCCGTCATCGTCCTCGTTATCGGAGTCGCCTCCGAAGGTGAACATGCTGTTGGTCGGAGCGGTCGAGGAGAAGTCGCCGGCTCCAAGTACCTGGTGTGGATTCACGTGTTGCAGCTGAGGAACCGAGAAGCCAGACGGATGAATGGGAGTGGGCGCGATGGGGACAGAGCTGGGGGCCGAAAACTCGGCGGAAGAAGTGCCCGTGTTGGTGCCGAACATGTGACGGGGTTGTAGGGAGGCCGACAGATTCGAGGTCCGCTGCTGCAGATAGTTCGGAATGCGGCGTTGAGTATGGGGGTCGGTTGAGGGCACGTCGTTGAAGAATAGAGATTGCTCGCCTTCGTAAATCGGCTGCGGGGTCGAGACAGCGGATTGATAACCCGAGGGCGGCGGGGAAAAGAACTCGGTCGAGTTGAGGGACGAGGCCAACGGGGTTTGCGCATACAGATTGGAAAATGGATGGCCCGAGGTCATGGGAGATTCGGAAGGGGAGAAAGTGAAATGTTGCTGATAGGGACCTGCGGAATGAATACCGTGATCCTCACCCATGCCGAGGGTATCCAGGTTGAAGGGGACACTGTTGGTATGGTGGTGCTGCGAACGACGGCCGCCAACAGTACCGTTACCCGGCATCGCGAATGCGGGAGGCGGGTGATCCAACGAATAGTCCGGTAGCGTCGAGGCCAGCTCCGAGTGGTGTGCGAGTGCGGCGTTGGATACGGGAGGCACCTGCGGCGATGCGTCGGCCGGGCGTTTCCTGGTTGGGGCGCCCAGGCCGGAGAAGAATTGTCTCTCGTCGATACTGGTCTTGCGGACTCGACGGGGGACGTACCCGAACTCGCTGTTGTTGCGTTGATCAGGCGGCGGATGTTGGAAGGATGCGGCCACCGTTGTATCATGCATCGGCTGGTCTTTGCGAGTCTTGATGGGGATGGAGGCGGTGGGAGTGGCATTGAACTGGCGATCGGCCGCGAGGTGGTGAGAGCTATATTCAGTGGGGGAGTCAAAGGGAACGATGAAGTCATCAATATTCATCGCATCGGGCGTTGCGTCCATGGTCATGTCGGCATGTTGGTCAGACGAGGAAGTGGAGGCCTGTTCCTCAGACAAATGCAGCTGGGATAAGCCGCTGGTGTTGGGACTGGTGCTGTCTTTTTGGAGTTGCAATGTCCTGAGAGTCAATCCAGGGTCAGTCCGGGGGTCGACAATTTTCAACGGCGGGGGAGGCGAGTTTTGCGAGGGGAACCTACCGCGCTTGCTCTCGTTCCTTGCGCCGTAAACTCATGGCCATCATGCGCCATGTCAAGTTCTCCATGCGTTCCTGGTTTGGGAGCTGGGATTTGGTTCGGGTGTACAGCTTCCAGATCTGAGCGGCCAAGGGATCGTTCTTCTGCAGCTCATCCGGATTGTCATGCCCGCGCGGGGCACCGGTCTTCCATTCGGGGAAGATGGCATCCGAGAGCATGCCGTCCTGGGCTCTGGTGGTGTTGTTATTGGTGTTGGTGTTGGAGGATGAGTCGGTCGGGCTAAAGGGGGAGCCAAAGGACAAGTCGTCGGACATCATATGCGAGTCATCGAAGTCGACACTCGGCAAGGCCAAGGCAGATGAGTGCGACGGTCGGGATCCTCCGTTCGCATTGGCGTGCCCATAAGCAGCCGCAGGCCCGTGCCCGTACCCGCGCCCTCCATGGTTCAAGCCCTCCATGGTCGCTGTGCAGAGCCACAGAAGGAGGGGGGAAAGACCGAGGGGGAAGAAAAATAGACGGAGGGTCTCAGGATGGCAGAGACAAATATAGTTGAAAGGCACGGCGGCGGGGGGTTGGTTGGTGTTGGTGGTGGTGGTGATGGTCACAGACGTGGAGCTGGAGCTGGAGATTGGTTGAATGGGAAATTTCCCCCGTACCCGCCGTAAACGAGGGTCTCGTCCGGGGGAGGGAAAGTTGGATGAGGCCCAGAAAAAGGACAGAGGCAACCGAGCGAGGCGATAGGGCAGGAGGATGCAGCCAGCGACCGGGGTCAGCACCGACGTCAGTACCGCTTTTCACCGAGCGAACGAGGGGTGGGGGGGCAGTCGCATGGAAGCGTAATCCCGGGCAGGTACTCACGATGAGAAGGAGAGAGAGAGGGGGGGGGGGGGGCGGGAGGAGATGAACGGAGTTCAGAGATCGAGTAAGAATGAGAGAGAGAGAGAGAGAGAGAGAGAGAGAGAGAGAGAGAAGAAGGAAGAGTGGACAGCAGACAGGTGTGAAAGTGGGAGGAGGTATATAGGATCGGAGGATATGGACGGGGCACAGAACCCAGCGATCTGACAATTGGGACGATGAAGAAGTGGAAAAAGTTCTAGAGAGAGTTCACGACTTCGGCCAGTCGGACTCGGCTGTAACGTCTGGATGGCCGGATTGGTATTGGATGCCGTTCCTCTTTCTAGTTTCTTCACTTGCTAGTGAGATCTTTTTCTTTTCTTTTTTCCCTTTTACACATCTCCAGAGAAGGTCTCTCGACGTTTCGTAGAGGAGGAGGGCTAGACCCTCCAGGCGCTCATGCCCCGAGCTTGCGATCACGTTCAAGCAGTGAGTGAAGAATACACAAGGGAACAGGAGAGAGATGCAGATTCGACGCCGAAAGATAGGGAAAAAGAAAAGAGGGTCGAGTCGAGATCGAGGCTGAGGTCGAATTGACGGGACGATAGACCGGGGGAAAGATTTGACGTTGAAGGAGGGAGCACCGGTCGGACCTCCTATGGAATAAGTTGAATAAGTAGAGAAGATCGAAGAAGAGCAGGTGAAGCGATCGCGGCCGAACGAGATGGTCGAGTCGACTAGTGAATCAGATGGAGGGGACGACTACGGAGCGACGACCAGCGAAGACGTTTCTTCGGAGAAATCTGGAAATCTGGAAATCTGGCGATGGTCGATGACTCGATGGCCGTTGCGCAGAGGGGAGGATCGTGACCGGGTATGCGTATTACGCGTTTCGTCACCGGTCACATAGGTTTCCCATGCACCACCCTTGGACCCGGTCTTTTATCGTCAAACCCCCCACGCGTGCTGAAGAGTCACTTCGTCACCAGCCCGGAGGAGTGTCTTAGTCTGGCATCCAGCACTCAACACCAACTTAGGCACTAGTGAGGGTTTCCGTGCACTAGCGAGTAGCGCCAGTGCGACGCGGTGGCCCAAAGAAGATAAGTCCATTCAACTGCCAGAAACGCCTGATCGTCTCTGGAGATGAAGCCACATGCCCAAGCAACGTCTCTATTTGCGCCGGGGTCAAACGAGGGACCCGCTGATGAACAACCGGCGATGCCTGAAACCCGGCGCCCACGAGACGGGTTAGTCACGGAGGCTGCTACTATATCGATTATCGGCCGTGGTACATGTTGTAACCGAGATGGCGGCATGGGCAGTTTTGGTGCCACCGATCAAGTTGATCTCGTCGACTCGATCAGGAGAGAAAGGTAGATCGCCCGGACAGAGACAGCGAAGGTACAAGCTACGTAGTAAGACGACTGAGTACTGAAGTAGTATACTGTTTATGTACTATGTAGTCACTACGGTGTAGTGAATGTTGTTACTCAAAGTGTACCTACGTCGATGGAAGGGAAGATATCCAGACTGGCTAGGTAGTGCTTACTGCTTAGTGTCTACACGCTGTTGGAGCCTCCATTTGAAAGATGTATCAGGATAGCAGCTTCTGATCTGGAACCGACCCCGACTCTCGATCTGACCTATTGAAGAGATTCAACCGTACTTGAAAAATAGAGGTCTATGCACGGCCACAGTATAACCGTAGGATATTCGACACATTTGCCATATATGTTGTACGTCTAGTAAGATGAGAGACTCGAAGCCACACTACTAGTTCAGTGGCACTTTTGCACGGACAATGATCATAGTATCTGCCATACATCTGCAGTCTCTCGATGGGTCAGCTCGGCCAGTGCAGGCTATTTGAATAGTTTCAATTTACGAAAGAACATTGAACTGACCCAGTACTGAAAGTCGGATATGCATCATAGCCTCCCGATGTCAGCATTTAGGCCTTCCAGCCGGTTGAAGGTCGTTTGGACTCCAACTGGTCTAGCAAGTATTTCATTGCAACGCATACTGCCATGGATCTAGTAAAATCAACTTTCCCACCATTTTTCTCTGGTGTCATTCCAAGCCAAGCTTGGTTCCCATGCCTAAACACCTCGGAGTAGTGGGGGTATCTCCGTGAGGCCGACAATCATCCATCGTGCTGCAGTACGATTTTCCACGAATCGGTGCATCTGGCAAGGCCTTCATAACGCACCGAACCCTCCTCCACTTTGAATGAGACCTACAGTACCTCTAATCTAGCATCTACTGGTAGCCAGCTCGACCATCGGCACCGAGCCTCTAGGTCACCCGAAGACTGTACGACTACGCGCATATTCCCAAGTGAATGCTTACCACCTACCTGTAGTTATCAAATATTTCCGATTGACCTCTATTCTGGCATCGTATTCATGAGCTCAAGCTCCGTGTCCCCGGCCCCCTACCCATCCAGTCGTACCCACATACCAGACTCATTCCCTTCCCCCTCTTCCCGTCCGATATCCGGACCTCTCAACGAGATCAAAGTGGAGTCGACAAACTGCAGTGCTGCGAAGCTAAGCATATGATGCATGGACGTGCAGGCCAATCTAACCTGTGGACATTACACGACCGCACGAGCCACCGCGCTCACGGATGCACCCGCCACACGATCACAAAGTTTGGGTTCCTTGAATCGGGACCTTGGGGAGGAGCTGGACGACCTACTGCACCAAACAGTACTGAGTCTACTGACTACTGAGTCTACTTTGGACTCTACGGTCATGATTCATGATGTACGAGAGAGCGCTTAGGCGACCACAGTTCCAGGGGGCCCCTTTTAGTACTAACGTGCTGGCCATGCTCTCCCGTCGACCACCGTGCTGACATGCCCGCGTGGCCCGTGTTTTCGGCCCGAGTCCGAAATAAGTGCCGTGGCCGAACGGGCAAGAATTCATAGATAATCCAGCGACTGGAAGTAATAAGCAAATCACAGGACTGTCAGCAGGGATGTGTCAGGGACGGAGCACCTGCAGACAAATCTAGTTGTCTTTAGTGCGAGGAGGAGGCGGATTTGACAAGCGTCAAGGGCGAACCCAGGGGGGGGGGGGGGACTAAAGCTGCGGTAAGGGTTGATGGAGGGATATGCCGAACAGATGAAGGTGACACGTGTGAACGAGTACGGGATTGGAGTAAGGTTAGGCCGTCAACCAAACTCACGTGCTGAGAGTTAACTTCTCTTCACGTGATAGCTTTGAAAGGAAAGCGGCTGTTGACTACCTTAGTAACTACTATGAGGTTACGATTCTGCTGTCCAGGTATCCACCAGGGAGGTTTGGGCAGCACATGATTACAGCAATGTGTGTCCTTCATGACCTGGACCGGATGGATCTGGCCTTCCATTCCATAGGGTTATGTTCAAATCACACTTCGGTCCGAATCATGGACAGTGACCTATAGCACACCGTAGGTAAGGGACTCTGCAGGTAAAGTAATGTTTATTGGACATTGATGAGTGTGAAATCATACTTTTCTCAGTCCCAGCAGAGGCCCGCTGGATTGAACCGTACTCCATCGCAGGCCACATGTTTCAAATTTTCTACATACACTCTTCAATCTGGCCAATAGCTTCAGTACAAACTACAGGGTGGCCGGCCTACGATATCGTCATCTTCCGTTTGTTCACACGTTTCCACTTTACATCCAGGCCAGAAACCAGATCCATGCTCCCACCCAAGAAATTGAATATATACATCTGAAGCGCCCTCCGAACCACACATCGGGAAAGTCACTGTGGTAGGTTACTAAGTAATAGGTAGTCAGTATATTCAGTAACACCAACAAGACTACAAGAGTGATTGCCATTTCACGGAAGCCCACAGTCCTCCGCGCCGCAACCTTGAACCCACCTCTCGGAGCCTCGGTGCACAGTCACCCAGTCACGGCACGACCAAGTAGGGTGGCGGGGCCGAGAATCTGGACTGCAGATAGGATGGCGTCCGAAGAAGCAAATGGGAGTGGGAAAAGGTTTTGACTCAAGATAAGCCGACCCGGTTCACGGAGCTACTTCGGTCCCTAGTCCTACTCGCAACTTTGACGGACTCGTTCCAGATCGCAATACCAGGCTTTGTCCAGTATTGAGTACAGGTATCAATATTCAATAGTCGCATGTAACAGGACTATGTAGTATGTACTAATCAAGTATGTAGTCATGTACTTTCTAGTTGATCTAGTAATGTATGTACTACTTAGGTAGTTAACAGTAGGTCGTTAACTTACTACTTAGTTATGTACTTGTAGTATCAACGATGCACTACTGAATACGACTACCTATACTCGTATACTCAGGGTCGCTGAGGTGGACCGGGCGGTCCGTGTCAGGAACTGGAGAGGCCTGGATTCTAGAACAAGACAGAGTTCACGTCTGGTAGGTGGATGGATACCCACGTATATCCAATCTCAAGCGGCTCAGGGCTGGATCTGGAGGATATTGCGCATCTGAATCTGAAAGTCAGGTCGAGGTCGCCGGGTGGCGATCCTCTCGACATTAGACATGCTTCTTTCAAATACAAATCATCCAGTCACCACCTCTGAGTGAGATTTCGAAAACCAGCCTGAAATTTGATGAAATAGGGAGTGAAGTCAAGTCAGA